TCTCGTTTTTGACAGAATTACAAGCCTGGTAGATGAAGGGAACGCAGTGGATGTAGCCTACCTTGATTTCAGCAAGGCATTTGACAAGGTGCCTCACGATATCCTTGTAAAGAAGCTGGTAAAATGTGGTCTTGACTATGCTACCACTCAGTGGATTTGTAACTGGCTGACTGACCGAACCCAAAGGGTGCTCATCAATGGTTCCTCTTCATCCTGGAGAAGAGTGACTAGTGGGGTGCCACAGGGTTCTGTCTTGGGCCCGGTCTTATGCAACATCTTTATCAACGACTTGGATGATGGACTCAAGGGCATCCTGATCAAATTTGCAGATGACACCAAACTGGGGGGGTGGCTAACACCCCAGAGGACAGGATCACACTTCAAAACGACCTTGACAGATTAGAGAACTGGGCCAAAACAAACAAGATGAATTTTAACAGGCAGAAATGTAAAGTATTGCACTTGGGCAAAAAATGAGAGGCACAAATACAAGATGGGGACACCTGGCTTGAGAGCAGTACATGTGAAAAGGATCTAGGAGTCTTGGTTGACCACAAACTTGACATGAGCCAACAGTGTGACGCGGCAGCTAAAAAGCCAATGCAATTCTGGGCTGCATCAATAGGAGTATAGCATCTAGATCAAGGGAAGTAATAGTGCCACTGTATTCTGCTCTGGTCAGACCTCACCTGGAGTACTGTGTCCAGTTCTGGGCACCACAGTTCAAGAAGGACACTGACAAACTGGAACATGTCCAGAGGAGGGCAACCAAAATGGTCAAAGGCCTGGAAACGATGCCTTATGAGGAACGGCTAAGGGAGCTGGGCATGTTTAGCCTGGAGAAGAGGAGGTTAAGGGGTGATATGATAGCCATGTTCAAATATATAAAAGGATGTCACATAGAGGAGGGAGAAAGGTTGTTTTCTGCTGCTCCAGAGAAGCGGACACGGAGCAATGGATCCAAACTGACAGTAAGAGCTGTTCGACAGTGGAATTTGCTGCCAAGGAGTGTGGTGGAGTCTCCTTCTTTGGAGGTCTTTAAGCAGAGGCTTGACAACCATATGTCAGGAGTGCTCTGATGGTGTTTCCTGCTTGGCAGGGGGTTGGACTCGATGGCCCTTGTGGTCTCTTCCAACTCTATGATTCTATGATTCTATGATTCAATGGACCAGAATGTGGTCTAAACCCCCCTTTAAATCCATATCAACGAAAAGAAAAGAACTCACACTGAAACTCACCTACAGGTGGTACCTAACACCAAGGAAACTAGCGCTAATACCTTCACCCCGGTATGGCTCCCCTTTATCACATACACAGCCCAACAGGACAATGACAATAATCCACCAACAGCATACAAATCAATATGGCTAACCTGATCCAAAACACCCACCCACCTCACTCACACACGAAAACAAAGATCACCACAGCCAATCACAAGCAAACAATCACACCCTAGGCCAACCCCAACCTCTCTCACCACCAAAGGAACACAAGTGAACAACACAAGCAACGCTGACACCAAACTCTACATACATTAAACATAACAGAAACACCGCCACCCGACCCCACCCCCATCCATCTTTCCTCTCTCCACCCCCCCTTTCTTTTTTCCTTTTTTTCTTCTCCCCCTAATGCCTCAACAAATGAAATGGATTTGTAAAAATGTTACATGGGAAAAAAAATACGAGGCATTACACTTACTTCTGTAAAACAAGAAAATCCTTAATAAAATATTTTTAAAAAAAATAAAAAAGGAAGAAGCTAGCAAATGGTGTGAGGCGATGCAGAAGGAGATGAACTCAATGGAGTCTCTTGGTGTGTTCTCACTCACACAGCTGCCGGCTGGCAAGCAGGCTGTGAGTTGCAGGTGGGTTTACCGTCTTAAACCCACAGAAGCTGGAGAACCCCAGTATAAAGCTAGATTAGTAGCTCAAGGATTCACACAGAAGAAAGGTGTCCACTTCACGGAGGTCTATTTGCCGACCTCGAGAGCTGAGACTTTGAGGACGCTTTTAGCAGTTGCTGCACAGAGAGGTTGGAAGGTGAACCATTTTGATGTGGATGTTGCCTACCTGAACTCAGACCTCCAGGAGGAGCTGTACATGCTTCCTCCTCCAGGGTTTGAAGTCAGTGTGCCAGGCATCGTGTGGCGGTTGCACAAATCCATCTATGGATTACGCCAATCTGCCAGAAATTGGAACGTGTGTCTGAATGAAGCCTTAGAAGAGCTAGGTTTCAGGAGAAGTATTGCGGACAGCTGTCTTTACCTTAAAGGTTCAGGTGAGACACAGCAAGCTGCTCAGATTTTTGTCGATGATATCTTGATCATGGTAAGTAGACAAGTAAACAAGTGGAGGAGTTTGCTAAGGAGCTTGGAAAACGGTTCAAGCTCAAGCAGCTTGGAGATGTCAAGTCGTATCTAGGCGTAGAGATAACGAGAGCAAGAGATGGAAGCTTTTTGCTCAGCCAGAAAGGTAAGATTGAGCAGTTGCTTGAGAAGTTCAGAATGTCTGAGTGTGCAGGTGTCAAAACTCCCATGGAGGCTGGTTACGTGAAAGAATGTCAGCAAGTAGAACGCGCTGTGTTCGAAAATACTGAACACTTTCAGTCAGCTCTGGGTAGTCTGCTGTATCTGTCACAGTGGAGCAGACCAGACATAGCGTTTGCAGTCAATCTGCTCAGTAGAGAGGCTTTGAGTCCTAGTGTGCAGGCCTGTAATGGTATTAAACGGGTGCTACGTTACCTGCAAGATACCAAAGACTTTTGCCCCAAGATGTCAGCTGAGGGCGGTGTCAAGCTGACTGCATGGGTGGATTCAGATTGGGCTAACCTTGAGGACCGCAAATCAGTATCAGGCCTAGTGGTGAAGTTTGGGAACTCAGTAGTTGGGTGGAGGTCCTGGAAGCAAAGTCTCATAGCGCTTTCATCTACTGAGGCTGAGTTCAGTGCGCTATCTGAGGTTTGCAGAGAGTTGGAGTTCTATGTGTGTTTGGTCGAGGAACTCTGTGGAGAGCATTGTCTGCCCGTCGTGGTGCATGAAGACAATCAACCGTGCCTCAAATTGCCCGAGACGGCGCAATTCAAGGCCAGGACCAAACATTTGGACATACGTTTTCAAAATGTGTGTCAGAGCGTTCGTGAAGGGCTAGTTGCTCTAAAATACTGTCCCTCAACCAAGAACCTGGTTTCACAAAACCGTTAACCTTCCAGAAGCATGAGGAGTTCTGTGAAGGTCTGTGTTTGGGATGAGCATTGTTGCTTATTTCCCCCAGATGCAGGACAAGAGGGGGTGTGGAGTTTGGAGTTTACAGGGTTAAAACTCCTTGGTGTCCTGTATCTGGGGAGGGGCCTGACGCAGGGCCGTATGTCACAGGTTTTGTCTGTGTTGTCTGTGAGAGTTGGTTTCACTTTAGACTGAAAGAAGCAGCGGAGAGACTGTGTGTGCTTTTAGCACGGAGAGATGCCGGAAAGTTCTGATGGATTTATGGCTTGTAAATAAACACTTTTAGAGATAGCAACGAACTGTCTCTGGACTTGATTTATCCCTCTATCTCACACGGACGGCAGGACTGCTGCGACTCTGTTTTCCTGCCCAGGTCAGCCCCAAGCAGAACTACGCAGGGAAGCGCTGACTGGACGGCAGGATTTAATGGCCAAAGAAACACCACATCAATTGATCCTGGGAACTAGTTTACCCATAACAGAGCTACAGTTCTCAATACCCTTAACAAATTACACTTCCCATGATACTTTAGGGGAAGCTGTGTGTGCTCTTTTATGTATGGCATTCACAGCTTAACCTTGTATTGTCCCTATCGGCCCAGTCACAAGTTGAATAACCAACAAGGTGCTACCAGGATGCGAGGAGGCTGCTGCTAAGTTGTGCAAGAACTAGTTATAGGAAACGACCACACAGAATCAGGATCCTATACCATGTTTTTCTGTGTGTCCCCATGTATAAAACGACCCTTATTTTTTTGAACCCCAAATTAAGAAATCAACATTTTATGATTATGATGAAATGATTGGCAGTTCCGGCAGCTTCTTCATGGCAGCCGTGGGAAGGTAAGTAGTGTTTTTGTAACCCCTGTGCATTCCCCATCCGTGTATAAGACAACTCCCAATTTTTGGCAGATTATTTAAAACAAAAAACATCGACTTATACACGGAAAAATACAGTAATTGTAAAGTTGTAAACTAGAGGCCCAAAGGCCATCTAGTTCAACCCGCATGCAATGCAGGAATCTCAACACATGTCCCCCTGCCCAATTTGAAACCATACCGGACGCTGCTCAGCTTTGCAAATGTGCTAGCAGTTTTACTGCCACACTGCTAGGATTGTTTCTAAAGGAAAGTGACAAGGGAAAGTTACAAAGGTTACTCAGTTTTTACTGAGCACCCTCTGACACACAGCCCTTGCAAATGCAAAATGTTGGAAGGAAAAGGGCAGCTGTGGTTAAACACTGCTGCTAAGCAAACCACATTCCACACATGTTCATAGGACTCGTCTTTATTCATTGTTTCGATGCTGCTTCCTGCGTGAAAGCCCTGATAATAATGTTGTGCATTTTTTAAATACTTGTGCCTGCACAGAAACACACACGCACAAATATACAGAGCATACTGTCCGTGATAGCTTTTCCTCAAACAACAATTTGGCTAAATGTTCTATATCCTTGCAGTATAATCTAGAGTGAGGCAGGTTGTTGTTGTTCTTGAAGCAAACAAGCCGCCAGGGGGTGCTTTAATAAGCATTTAAAAGGCTACTCTAAAAAGCCAACTCTTCAAAGCTGGTGATCTAAAACTGAGGACAGAACTGTGTGTGACATTACTTAAGCAAATACATATATTCACAGTAACTAGGTAGTAGGGTGGTTGGTTTGATGCTTAGGGGAGAATTAGCAGGGGCAGGTTCCTGCACCTGCCATTTCTTCTCTGTAAAGTTGCTCCCCTCCCTGCAGGACTTAATTCCAGTCTTGGAGCCAAATGTGGAAAAATGGATTAGAAACAACTGAGGAGGCATCTACAAGGAACAATTGTTAGAAGTGAAGAGGATTACCGTAATCATCCCAACTCAGCCTGCCAATTTCCCCTTCCAAATACCCTCTGCCCCCACATCAGTGTTAGGAGGCAAACACAGGTAAGTGAAATCCATAAGGGCTGAGTGGGTTTGAGAACTACATGCTTTGTAACACTCCCTTCAGGTCCTGTCCCTTGAGCTTCAACTTGAACTTTAGAAATAAAACAGCTGCAAACAAGTAGGGGAAAATGAGACAGGCCTGCCCACAGAGCAGTAAAAGGTACTGTAGAAATATATTTTGGTGCAGTTTTCTCAACATCAAATATTTTGATCTAGTTCTGCTTTGGTTTATATGCCCTAAAACTGATCCACCTCAACAAGACTACTATTTTTGCACAGATATTTTTTATTTGTTTCCTTGTTTGTACCCCACCCATCTGACAGGGATGCCCCAGCCACTCTGGGTGGCTTCCAACATATATAAAAACATAATACAACTTTAAACTTTAAAAAGCCTCCCTATAGACAGACATTAAATATACAGAAGATATTGGTGCTTTATGGTCTATAGAAAGGAATTGGTTAACTTAAAAAAAATTAGAATGAACATAATAATAAAAAGAGAAGGCAATTATTGGCAAGGCATGCATGCGGAAACTGAAGTCTTGGTACAGTCATCTCCCAGTTATTAAGACTTCAGAAAATACTTCAGTCATCTCCCAGTTATTAAGACTTCCGGAGGTGGCGCCAACGGTAATGGCGGATTCCCTCTGATTCGGAGGGAACCTGCTCCACAGAAATCGGGTCCTACACCGCTTCAGCGCAGCGGGGACCCCTTAAATCACAGGTGGGTGAAGCCTGTGACCCTGGGACTCGGCGGGCACTGTCTGCGCCCCCCCAATCTGCAAAGGAACCCGGCAACGGGCTCCGGAACAGAGCGGGGAAGTGGCGCTGTGCTGTGAGTCGTCTGCTTCTTCTGTGGAGTGAAGCTGCGCAGCTGTTGCCGGAGAGCGCTGCCTTTTTCCTTGACAATTTGGCTCCGAAAACAACGATCCGTGAGTAGGATAACTTTATAATTAAAGGAACTGTACAAAATTGGCTACCGAAGCGGAGAGGTATAAAAAGGAAGTCTGCCTCCCGCTCTTGTAAATAGAACAAAGCATTGAACTTGAAAGCGGAAGCTTTAAAAGACGCGCAAAAGGATTACAATCCGATCATCAAACTGTGATTTCCCCCCCTCAATTCGGGGGAGGAGGGGGAGAAGCTTTGAACGTTGTTTCCCTAAGAAAAAGAGAGGAAGAGGAGACAAAAACCACCGCTCAAAACCCCCGGAACGTATTTTGAACGTATTTTGACAGCTAGCTCTGCATCTGAAATACAACTTGGTTACAATATTGCTGATAGGTATCTCCTGGTTTTAAAGTAACAGCCTGAGATAGATTGTTGTCTTTCTGGTGAATTGGGGGACTAAAGGGAGAAGTAAATTACTTTAAGAACTTTATGACTGTTACAGTGTCCCCCTAGTGGAATTTGGAACTAGTTACAACTGCAGCTGGCCTGAGGAAATCTCCCACAACAATTTTCTGGGAACTTTCCATTTCAAAACAACTTTGACTCTGACTGTATGACTGACCTTGAGTTTTATCTTGAGGGTTATGGCAGATGGGAAAGAGAAGATAGATTTGTTACAAGCAACAAGGTCTGGCAGAGTATTTCGCACAGACGGTGGATTACAATGGAGGGCTTCGACATCTGGCCCCCCCGGAGTTCCAACAGCAACCTCATCGGCACAACCTAAAACTAAAGGTATGGCAAGTGACGATGCCCTGGCTCAGGCACTAGCTAAAATTAATGAATCTTTGGATAGAATAAGTAAACAAGTAGCCGAGGCATCGGATAAGATTGATCAAAATACGACAAGTATTAACCAAAATACGGCAAGTATCAATAATTTGGGACAGAAAGTAAATACTAATACAGAAACTATTCAGAAATTATTACAGGAATCTGCTTCGACACATAAGACTGCCGAAGAGGCTAGGGAAATTGCTACAGCTACTGCTACAGTGGTTCAAGAGAAGATACCACCGCTACATAAACAACTTGAAGACCATAAGTCAATTCTGTCTATGATCGAGTTGAAGGAGAAACAAGTGAACTTAAGGGTCAGAGCTGTACCTGAAGTGGAGAAAGACAATTTGGTTGAATTTCTCACGCAGGAATTTCTAGATTTTTGGAACCCAGATTTGGGGAAAGATAGTTTTAAGATAGTGAGTGCTTTTAGACTTGGAAAAGGAGGGAGAAAGAACAGGGTGAGAGACTGTTTGATCACCCTCCGAACAAAAGAAGAGAGAGACAAGATTTTGAGTTTGCATTTCCAGAAGACTTTGGAAATACAACAGTCAAAAGTGGAGATATTCAAGGATATTCCGAAACATCTTCTGGATCTCAGGTTTAACTACAAAGACTTGGTTACCCTGTTGAGAAGCAACGGAATCATCTTTAGGTGGGAATTTCCTCAAGGTCTATCCTTTAGTTACAAAGGAAAGAAGATAAAAATAAGATCAGAAGACGACAAAGACAAATTTTGGAGAGACCACGGAGAAGACCTACAGAAGAAAGTTACAGGAGAGTTAAGAGCAATTGTAAGAGAAACTTTAGACACACCAGGACTATCTCTGGAACTAAAAGACCGCCTGAGAAACGTGATACCACTGATGGAACAGGAACAGGCACTGGGTGCTGTTGGAGGAGAAGCAAAATAATTACATCATGACCCTGCAACTATTAAGTTGGAATTGTAATGGTTTGAACTCTCCCCAGAAAAGGAAATCTGTGTTTCATTTATTAAAAAAGGAACAATTGGACTTGATTTGCCTACAAGAAACACATATAACAAGGTTACACAAGAAATTATTGATAAATAAAAGACTTGGTCAGGAGTTTATTTCATCGGATAAAGTAAAAAAAAGAGGAGTTGTGATTTATGCAAAGGACAGACTATTACCGAAATTTATTTTTAAAGATGACCAAGGAAGATTTGTGGCAATTGAAATTCAGACACAAGGAGAAAAATTCTTGATAGTAGGGATTTATGCACCAAATGAGGGGAAATCTGACTTTTTTAAGAAGTTGCATGAGACTCTGATGGACTATCTGGATTATAACATGATTTTGATGGGAGACATGAATGGAGTGGTATCTACACATATGGACAAGGCACAAAGACAGGTAGTCACCAAGGATGGTAGACTACCGAAAACCTTCTTTGAGATGACAGACAACTTGGATCTAGTTGATATTTGGAGAACAAGAAACCCCATGGCTAAAGAGGGAACCTTCTTTTCTGAAGCCAAAATGACATGGACTAGAATTGACCAAATATGGGTAACTAGAGGAATGGCACCAAAGACAAGAAAGGTGGAAATCTGCCCGAAAACTTGCTCCGACCATAATGCTGTCAAGATGGAAATGAAACTAATACCAACTGGCTCCTTTAGATGGAGGATGAATGACACCTTATTTAGAGATGAAGAAGTGCTAAAGAAAGCCCAAAAAACCTTGAGAGACTATTTTGAGATAAATATGAATACCAATGTGGAAAAAAGAGTAATCTGGGACGCAAGTAAAGCGGTTATGAGAGGGTTCTTGATACAACAGAATGCATTAAAGAAGAGAATTCAAAATGAGAAGAAGGATAAAATACTGGAGAAAATAAAGGAAAGTGAAAAAAGATTGAGAACAAAACCAAAATCCCAAGAGATTCTGAGAGAATTAAAGCTATACCAAGTACAATACATGAAAATGACGAATCAGGAGATAGAATGGAAAATTAAACAAATGAGACAAAAGACATTTGAGTCGGCTAATAAATGTGGGAAACTGTTGGCTTGGCAAATGACAAAAAGACAAAAATTAAATACAGTTACAAATTTAGAAGTGGAAGGAAGGAATATACAGAACCCAGCTGAGATTAGAAATTGTTTCCAGAGGTACTTTAAACAATTATATGCACAAGGGCCACTGAAAGAAACTGATGTAAATAGATTTCTGCAAACAAATGGATTACAAAAAATCTCTCAAGAAAATAAATTAATGTTGAACTACAAAATAACTGAACAGGAGATAGAAGGTGCCATTCAAAATATGCAATTGGGTAAATCTCCAGGACCGGATGGACTGACTTCTAGATATTACAGAACCTTGAAAGAATGGTTAGTACAACCTTTGAAAAAGGTTTGCAATGAAATAATGGAGGGGAAAAGGGCACCAGAGTCGTGGAAAGAAGCTTATATTACACTTGTACCAAAAACAGAGACTGAAAAGACGCAGCTTAAGAACTACCGTCCCATATCATTACTTAATGTGGATTACAAAATTTTTGCAGACATTTTGGCGAAGAGACTGAAAAAAGTGTTGTTGGAAGAGATTCATAAAGACCAAGCGGGCTTTCTCCCGGGTAGACATTTGTCTGATAACATGAGGAACATAATTGACATTTTGGAGAAACTAGAAGTGAATATAAACACTAAAGCAGTTTTGATATTTGTGGACGCGGAGAAAGCCTTTGACAATATTTCTTGGAGTTTTATGAAGAAGAACCTACAGGGTATGGGGGTAGGCCAAGGCTTTGAAAACGGTATAAGTGCAATCTATTCAGAACAAAAAGCTAAATTAATTGTAAACAATGTAGTGACGGAAGAATTTAAGATTGAAAAAGGGACACGACAAGGTTGCCCAATCTCCCCATTGCTTTTTATTTCGGTCCTGGAGGTTTTGCTGAACATGATTAGAAGGGATCAATTGGTTAAGGGTATACAGGTTGGAGCTAAACAGTACAAATTGAGAGCATTTGGAGATGACTTAGTATTGACGTTACAGGAGCCAGAATCTAGTACCAAAAGGGTTTTAGAACTGATTCAAGAATTTGGTCAAGTTGCAGGATTTAAATTGAATAAAGTAAAAACTAAGGTCTTAGAGAAAAATTTAACACCAATAGAGAGAGAGAGGTTTCAGAATGAGATAGGTTTAACAGTGGTCAAGAAAGTTAAATATCTGGGGATTAACTTGACAGCAAAAAATGGGAACTTATTCAAAGATAACTATGAAAGATGTTGGGCTGAAGTGAAAAAAGACTTAGAAATTTGGTCAAACTTGAAGCTTTCACTGCTGGGTCGTATTGCTGCTGTAAAAATGAATGTATTGCCTAGAATGTTGTTTTTGTTTCAAACATTGCAAATTGTGGACAAAATGGACTGTTTCAAGAGGTGGCAGAGAGATATTTCTAGATTTGTCTGGCAGGGCAAGAAGCCCAGAATAAAATTTAAAATACTAACAGATGCAAAGGATAGAGGTGGATTTGCCCTGCCAGACCTTAAACTTTACTATGAATCAGCAGCTTTCTGCTGGTTGAAAGAATGGCTGCTTCTTGAAAACACTGACATTTTGGATCTAGAAGGTTTTAACAATGTGTTTGGATGGCATGCATATCTGTGGTATGACAAGGTCAAAGCGCATAAAGCATTTAAAAACCATATTGTCAGGAAAGCATTGTTTAATGTTTGGATAAGATACAAGGATTTACTGGAAAACAAAACTCCAAGGTGGCTGTCACCAATGGAAGCGAAAGCCTTGAAAAAGCTCAATATGGAGGTCAAATGGCCAAAATATTGGGAAATTTTGGAACAAGATGGAGACAGATTGAAATTGCAGAGTTTTGAAAAACTAAAAACCAAAGTGCGAGACTGGCTTCATTATTATCAGATAATGGAGGCATACAATTTGGACAAGAAAATTGGCTTCCAGGTGGAAAAATCAAAATTAGAAACAGAACTGTTAGAATCCAAAACTAAGAATTTGTCAAGAATGCATAACTTGCTGCTGAAATGGAATACTCAGGATGAAACGGTGAAATCTGCTATGATTAAATGGGCACAAGATGTTGGACATAACATTATGTTAGCTGACTGGGAACGGCTATGGACCACAGGTATGAAGTTTACGGCATGTAATGCCCTAAGAGAGAATATTATGAAAATGATATACAGGTGGTACATAACCCCAGTCAAGCTTGCAAAAATCTACCATTTGCCTGATAATAAATGTTGGAAATGTAAAGAAACTGAAGGTACATTTTTCACCTTTGGTGGACGTGCCCAAAGATTAAGGCTTTCTGGGAGATGATATATAATGAACTAAAAAGGTATTTAAATATACCTTCTTGAAGAAACCAGAGGCCTTTCTCCTGGGCATAGTCGGCCAATCGGTGTTAAAAAAGGATAGAACTTTCTTTATGTATGCTACAACAGCAGCAAGAATACTTATCGCAAAGTATTGGAAGACACAAGAGTTACCCACACTGGAGGAATGGCAGATGAAAATGATGGACTACATGGAATTGGCGGAAATGACTGGCAGAATCCGTGACCAGGGAGAAGAGTCGGTGGAAGAAGATTGGAAGAAATTCAAAGATTATTTACAGAAACATTGCAAAATTAATGAATGTTAGAATAATGTTGGATTGAAGTTAAATGGCTTCTAGCTGTATAGGTTTTAAAGCTATAAATATATTAAGATTAAGGATTAGGATTAAAAAAGTTAAAAGAATGGAAAAATTGGTTTCAAATAGGTAAAAATCTAATGTCATAATACATTAAGATTAAGGATTGGGATTAAAAAGGAGGGAAAGAAATTGCTGGATTAACAACCGGAATTGGAATACAAAAGAGGGAGGTATGAGGAAGTCCGGGAAACAAGTAAATGTAAAAGAAGTTATGAAAAGACGGAATTGTTTTTAACTTTTTTTTCCCTTTTTTATTTTTCTGTATTTTGTATTTTGTATTTTCTATTGTGTATTTTTCTTTTTTCTTTTCAAATTTCTCTTGTTTATTAATGTGATTTTATTTTTTCTGAAACTTTAATAAATATTAATTAAAAAAAAAAAAGACTTCAGAAAATACTTCTGGGTGGAGCATAATGGATGGAATGGGGAGCTTTTGGTTATTCCAACCATAGGTCATGCTGTATCTTGAAAGGAGGCTTTCAGCTTTGCTTCTTTTCCACGAACTCTTCAGAGCAATAAAGCTGTTGTTCAGCATTCATTTTGACTTGGCCCTGTACTAACCTTACAGTAGCAATGGAAAATACTGCGTTAGAATTGTTCAACACATTTTAGCAGAATGATTAAACTTGCCACATTTTCTGCAATCCTTCCCACAAGCTGGGCAGTGAATTCCAATTTGGCTGATGTCACACACACAGCATGCCATGTCTTTCAGGGGTGTTTGTCAGTGCTCTCTCCTTTATTTGAGGCTGAATAGCCTTGCTTTTGTTAGAACTGCTTTTTCACTGTATGGTGTCCCGTGTGTGTGTGTGTGCACTGCCCCTCAGAGTTGTAGCTGCTTACTCTGCCTTGCATACACCCCTGCACACTCTATGGTTAAATGAGTCTTTCTCAGTAAACTGATACGGCTTTATGCCATGTAGTGTTATCTAGTACATGATACACACCATGAAAGCTTATGGTTTTGAACAGAAATTAAACCAGTCATCCACATGTGGCATCTATGCTCTTCTTCACTCTGAGCTGGTGTAGACTTTGTGCCTTTCAGACTTAATCATTCTGAGTGCTTCACATTCATTTTTTACTTATTTTAATGTTTTGTTGGAAGGCGCCCATAGTGGCTGGCGTAACCCAGCCAGATGGGCGGGGTATAAATAATAAATGATGATGATGACGATTAGTATTATTAGTATTATTTTCAGAAAATATTTCCTCTATCTTCATTGCCATCAAAATGGAAATGGAAAAAATAAGATAAAGAAATAAATGCCATATTACAAAAATGTCTAAAGCCAACTGAGCAATCTGTTGGTCCCAGAACCTGCCATGTTCCAGCAAATGTGAAGGGGAAGTGGATTCCAGAAGCAGAAAGTTGGCAAAAGTTCCAAATGAAGGATCCAAGTCCACAAAACCATTTTTGGGAGCAAAATAGATGGTTTAACTTATCTCTACAAATGAGATACCAGTTGAGTGCAAAAATGTGCAATGAGGTTTTTCAAAAAGTTGTTTAGCTCCTGAACTAATGTCATATTCTCTGCCCAGAAGCATCAGTGTGAGCTGAGTTGTTTTCAGAACTTTCTATAGCAATTGCTCAGTAAGGCAAATTTGGCACCAATCTCTCTTGGAAACACTGCCTTAAGTGTTTGTTAAAATTGGAATGTCTTTGTGGGCACAGCTGCTGCAACAGATAACTGGGAAATTGTAAGCTTTGAATACGTGTGTGTGTGTGTGTGTGTGTGTGTGTGTGTGTAGGTTGTAATGACCCTATAATCATCACAGTGTATTATGCTTTCCCACCACTTTCATATTTTTATTTGCGCAATCTGGGCCTTCTTTTCTAATTCTTTATCTACTCCATATGTCTGGCTTTATGTTTTGCTAAATGCTATGGTAGCTGGATCCTGATTATTTACTAAGTGGGGGCAAGAAAGCAGTCATAAAACACAGCATGAAATGAGTATCATAGCAACTGCATGCCACTCTGTTCTGATTCTGCTGAAACAGAAGCAACAGAGAGGAATATCTGCTGGCGTGTAAACAGCTCTGCTGCAACCCCCTTTCCATCTAGAAGAGAAATATTTTCCCCGATGATCTGTTATGTGAGTATTGGACTGAATCCTTGCTCTGTCGGCTTTTTTGAATGATCTCTGAAGAACAAGCTGCCGGCATGAGCCAGCACCATTTTCTTTCTGCCAGAGTTCAGCTTAAGAGCCAGTCTGCATGTTGCCATGGGATTAGCATCCCCATAGCAACTCTACCCCACTGCTTGGATGTATCCTTTAGAACATATCCATGTATGAGTTGAGGCCATCACACTGAGTTTTCCCCAGCCCTGCCAGGGGAAAACCACTGATGAAGACACAACTGTCTCCCACACCTTTTTACCTCCCACTGTCACAAATATTTTATGCTTCCCCTTCCTCCTGCAAAGGGAAAGCTCTTCCTCATCAGTGTTCAAATGTATCTCTTTATCTGAATAAAAATGCTAGTCCCAAAAGAAAAGGGAATCCTATGACAGTTGTGGCTGATGACCAATGGAACCACTGGCACAAGAGGCAGGGAGGCCAACTGTAGAGCAAATGTCAAAGGAGTGGTCAGTAATCACACAGTTCAAAGAGGGAGCCAACTCTTTATTAGCAGAAACACAACCTCCCCAGACTTGGCTGAGTCAGGCCTAATGAGCACAGCAGCTCATTCCCAGTGGTTTTCCTCCATGAAAATCAGTTGCCAAGACTGAAAGACCCCCACCTCCACTTCAGGGCTTTTTCCAAGCAATCAGAGAATGTGTGTACAGTCAACCTTCCCTCCACCCTTTTCATGCCTCTCCTGGTTCTGGAGCATGGGAGAAGGGGGAAGGGAGGTGGTCAAGGGGGGGAGACACTCACCTTTCACCAGCCTGACTCAGCTTCTGCCTCTTGGTCTCCCTCCTCCCACTCACCGGCTTCAGCTTCTGCCTCTGATTCTTGACTTCTCTCTGCCACAGACTCACCCGACTCACTAAGCCTGTCACCTCTTCTTCCCAGCCTTCTCCCTCTTCTCCCTGTGACCAGTCATCATTGTCCCACCACCACTCCCCAGACTCTGAGCCTTCATCCCCTGGGGGTTCCCCAGCTGGTTCCTCCCACCATTCCTCTGTGTCCAACCAATCCATAATAGCCAATGGCAGGTGCAGTCAGCTAATTCTAGTTTTATCCCATCCTGTGTCAGAGAACGAGACTCTGACAGGCAGAGACGAGACAGATACAGTGGAAGGAGGGGGAGAATTCCTAAGAGAGGGGGGAGAAGCAGTCAGCCACAGGAATTTGACCTTTGCACACAGAGAGACACAGAGAGCAGAAATGCAGCTGCAAAGCTCAGATAGTGACACACACACAGAAATAGTGGGAGTGCAATCTCCCCAATCTCGTAGACTCATGAGATTAAACGAGAAGTGCAAAACTAACAGGAAGAAAAGGTGGTGCTTTTCTTGTTGGAGGGAAAGGGAGCGGAGCTTAGTTCCGGCAACTGCTATCGAAAATCTGAAATAATTAACTGCTAGAGTCATCTCGTGTGTGTGGGAGAGACCCAAGCCTGACATCCTGTTCCTTTGTGAATTCAGCAAGGGCAAGACTAAGACAAAGAAGCAGTTCCATCTCTGAACTGGATATCAGCAAGAAGGCAGGCAGGTGGTGAAGGCTGGGGTTAGTGGGGCAGTGCCCCAATTGCCCAAATGGAACAGCCTCCCTAGAACTCAACTCCTTTTTCAAGCCCTGGGAACAAGTGCATCTTGATGCAACTATCATAGAATTATAGAGTTGGAGGGACCCTGAGGGTAATCTAGTCCAGCCCCCTGCAATGCAGGAATCTCAACTAGATCATACATGACAGGTAGCCATCCAGCCTGTGCTTTAAAAACTCCAAGGAAGGAGAGCCCACCACCTCTCTTGGGAGTCTGTTCCACTGTCAAACAGCTCTTACCACCAGAAGGTTCTTCTGGTGTTTAGTTGGAATCCCCTTCCTTATAACATGAATCCATTGGGTCAAGTCCTACCATCCAGAGCAGCAGAAAACAAGCTGGCTCCATCTTCCAAGTGAAAGCCCTTTAGATATTTGAAGAGGGCTATCATATCTCCTCTCAGTCTTCTCTTTACCAGACTAAACATACCCAATTCAACTGTTTGTCATAAGGCTTGGTTTCCAGACCCTCTTCTGCACACTTTCCAACTTGTCCTTCTTAAATTGTGATGCCCAGAACTGAATTCCAGGTGTGGTCTGACCAAGGCAGAATAGAGCGGGACCATTACTATAATGGATAATTTCTTCTTTGAAAAACAGAGTCCAAATCATAACTTTTTAGGCAAGAAGATATCATTTATTGTGAAACATGCCTTCATCAGATGCCACATAAAAACATTTACCAAAATAAAAAGTTAATTCACAACAAGTGGTTTAAGTGAGATGGAATATGCTATGAAGAGTAAGTACCAGATACTCAGTTCTTATAAGCCCCGTTCAGAAGACATAGCTTGTCCAGTGAATGCATTGGATGGAGCAGAGGAGCAGGATTGTGCCTCCTGACCCCTGTGTGTTCAGCTCAGCCTGTTTACAGAACCGTTGCATATACAAACTATATGCAGGTAGGAACTGTTTGTGTAAGCAAGACCCTAGATTTTGCGGAACAGCCAGATCACATGGAGAGAGTCTAAGACAGGGGTCTGCAACCTTTTTGAGCCATGGGCCGGTCCACCGTCCCTCAGACCATGTGGTGGGCCGGACTATATTTGGGGGGGGGGGTGTGAACGAATTCCTGTGCCCCACAAATAACCCAGAGATGCATTTTAAATAAAAGCACACATTCTACTCATGTACAAACACGCTGATTCCTGGACCATCCGTGGGCTGGATTAAGAAGGCGATTGGGCCACATCTGGCTCGTGGGCCTTAGGTTGCCTACCCCTGGTCTAAGAGGATATAATTTGTGCACACACAGGTTTAGGTTTAGCTGAATTCACATCTTGTTTTAGCACACATTTAATTCAATTTCAGGGACGTGGGTGACACTGTGGGGAACACTATGGAGAAATGATATAGTACCTTACTTAAAGAGAATTATATGAAAATGAGTGGCTGGGGAAACTCAGCCAGATGGGCGGGGTATAAATAATAAATTATTATTATACTGTAGGCGGTATTTAACACTGGTTAAATTGGGACGCGGGTGGAGCTGTGATCTAAACCACTGAGCCTAGGGCTTGTCGATTGGAAGGTTGGTGGTTCGAATCCCTGCAATGGGGTGAGCTGCTGTTGTTCGGTCCCAGCTCCTGCCAGCCTAGCAGTTCGAAAGCACGTCAAAGTGTAAGTAGATAAAGAGGTACCGCTCCGGCGGGAAAGTAAACGGCGTTTCCATGTGCTGCTCTGATTTCACTAGAAGTGGCTTAGTCATGCTGGCCACATGACCCAGAAAAACTGTCTGCGGACAAACGACGGCTCTCTTGGCCAGTAAAGTGAGATGAGCGCCACAACCCCAGAGTCGTTCCCGATTGGACTTAACTGTCAGGGGTCCTTTACCTTTAATTCAATTTCACACAGGGAAGTTTGCCTTCTGAAATGGGTGCTAAATGCAGTGAAGTGCAGCAGCACAGAGGACTGTGGCTGGCTTTGTAGCATTCTGTCTGCTGCTCCACCCCTAGTTACTGACTTGTTTCGTTGCTATGGAGGGAAGAGTTGAGCTATCCCTCAATACATGGATGCAGTGTTTTGTGAGAACTTCTTGGGCTCTCGTTGAGAAAAGCAGATTGTTAATATGGGCTCACAGTCTTGACAGTTTATTCATCCTGATAATTGTGTTGCTTCAATGAATTCAATAAATTATTTCCCCCTGTCTTTGGAGTAATTCTGTTACTCTAAAGAAAAAATGCCCAGCTGTTTAAAAAGAAAACTGTGTTGCTTTTAAGCTGTGACACCATCTATTGTGTGTCATTTCACACCGGAAAATAAAGATTAATCACATGTGAGTAAGACCTGCAACAAAATGTTGCAGTGTATCCTTCTTCCCTAATGCTCCTGTTCAGGATTGTAGCCAGCCATATGCTCCTCCCTATACACTGCAAGGGGCTCAAAAAGACCAGTCCATTCTCTCTGAATCCCCACCCCACCATTCCAGTTTTTCTTCTCCAAGTGATGCAACTCCCATGATTCCTGGAGGTAGTTGAGCATGCTTAGTCTTTGGGAATGGGGGTTGCCCTTTTCGCTTTTGTTATTTTTTAATTTTATACTTCTGCAAGTTTCTCAGCAGCCCTGTTTTGATTCTAATCGTGTCAGCACCAGAGTTTACTAGTAGATGGAATGAGATACCCAGCCAGCCCCGTCATCACACAGCACAATAACTTCAGAGATATGGCTACAGTTTCTATAATAATGATGACAATAATAATAATTAATGAAGATGACTATAAATATAAAAATTCCCAAACACTGGGTAGCAATCTGACCGTTGTAGGGTGAAATTGAGACTCTCTTCTTATTATGGGCTGAAAGAAGACTCCATCTTTAGATTTTTTTCTTCTTCTGTTTCTGCCAAGTGGATTCTGCAAGAAGTAGCCATTTTCTTGGTCCATGCTAAAGTGAATATGACTTTTATTTATAAAGTTTTCCTACTGAATTGTCAAAATTGAAGTGAATATTTTTAATTTTAAAAATTCTCACAAAAACTGCAAATATTTGGTAAAATATATTTTTCATTTGAAGTTGCCTCTCTTGGATTGCTAATACAGAAGGCTATCTCACAACTGGTTAATGTGAGGAAGCCTTACAATCTGGGGGGAAAACCCGTGACTGGGGCTAGCAGAGCTCACTACAAAACACAATCAACCAAGCAAATCTGTTGGGGGGGAGATAGTGAGCTGGTGATCTAGTCTGGGCCACTGAGAGAAGAATTAGGATCTTCTGCCTTCATGTGGAAATAAAATTTAAATTAACTAAAAGTTGTCACCCTTGATACGAGCGATGTATTTCATGAGTGTGAAGATAATGTGTGTCCCGTGGTGCTTATTCCCACCATTTAGTACTCACCTAAAAGCTACCCATAGACCAACCACATAGAGATATGTGTTTTCTGGTAGAATCGGAAATCAATTTGAATGAAATGCCTCTTGTTTTATTTTGCTTTTGCTAACCAATTAAAAATATTTGTATACTGTGTCTAACCATTTCTGACACAGGCTCATTAATGTTGCTGAGTGCCACAGCTCTGGTCATTTTGGGTTGTTTCCACAGACATACATTGTGAAAAGTTTGATCTTCAAACAAAAAGACAAAAGACATCTCCTGGGATGCATACCCAGAAATTTAAGAAGTGATTTCACAAAAGCAAGGCAATTTTTGACCATTCCAGGCTGCCTTCTTTGTGCTTTCCAGAAACAGCTGAATACATTTTTGTTTTGACAAAACTTTTCCAACTTGCTCAATAGGTCCCTGCCATATAGATGTCCATTTTGTATTGTTTTAAACTTGCATTATGTTTGTGTGTTTGTTATGTTTGCACACTGTATTGTAACTTTTAAATATATATTTTATATATTGGGGGCATAGGTGGAAGGTGATTAATTGATTGGTTATAATGGCAGTGACAGATCTAGGAGGACCTCCAAACTCCACACCTGCTCTTTCAAGGAGAGTGCAATCCCATCCAGAGCAGCTGTACAACCCAATTGCCAGACCTGGGAACTGTCCACTGCTTCTTGTCAGCACTCCATCTTATAAAACCTCCTTGTCAGGACTCAACAATTTATTAGCTCTAATCCAGCCTATGATTGCATTCAGGCACCAGTTTAGGACATGTGCAGCTGCTCTTGATTCAGATATTATAGAGTAATAATATTCATTCCATATAACAAATAATTCATGTATACTGTGTTATCTGTATGATGTTAGGCGCTCTGAGCCTGGCTTCTGCTGGGGAGGGCAGTGTACAAATAATTTTATTATTATTATTATTATTATTATTATTATTATTATTATTATTCAACTGTGCTTTTTAGTTGGATGGGAAATTCCTTAAACAGCCCTGTAATGTGATCCAAACACCGAAATGAGGTGATTGCCCATTGAACTCATTAGAAACATCTTGAGCTAGAGAAAGTTGGAATCAATGGGACCTAAGTTAGGGCAAATCCAATTCTGTGTTTGAAGGATCTGAAACAGGAGAGTGCCCTCACCCTTCATGAACACCCTCTTTCCTAGACCCATTCTAAAAAAATAAAATAAATAAAGTAAATAAAAAAGTGACTGCGACCCTGAAGGTAGCGAAGTCTTCCTGTGGAAGCAAGCACCTCCGATTGCTTCACAGTTCTAGCTTTCTGCATCTGATTTATTTCTCCTCTTTCGAAAAAAAATATGGTCGGATTGGCAGGTGGACGATTACCTTGCGACAATCTAGCAAGGGCTGGGAACTATTACTCATTGGAAATAAAGCGCGGGGGGGGGAGAGCTTTGGGTCATGACGTGTTGGGTCTCTTTGCGGGATGAACTTAACAGTTTGTGGCTATAAGTAGGCGAGGGGGCGCCCAGACTGGGGGTCTGCTGTGTGCCCCGTGGCCCTGGGAGGCTGGCATCGGCGGGGTCGGCGCCTGGCAGTTTCGCCTGGTCCCCTTGGCATCTCGGGCTCACGTCGCTCCGCGCCGGTCGCTGTCCACGGGGGGAGGTGCTGAAGGACGCCGGCGCGCTGCGGGCATCCTCTTGTCCTTGGCTGCCGCCGCCTCCCCGCGAGCGGCGCTGATTTTCCTCCCCCCGCTGCTTGGCTGCTTCTGCCGCTTCTGCAGCCATTTTGCAACCAGCAGAGCCGGAGGCAGGGGCAGGCTGCCGGCGGAGCCGAGCGATGGGCTAGCAGCAGCTGTTGCGGGCAGGCGAGCCGGCACCATGGTGAAGAGGAAGAGCTCGGAAGGCCATGACCAGGAGAGCGGCCGAGGGGTCCCGCTGCCCATCCAGACCTTCCTATGGAGGCAAACCAGGTAAGAGAGAGTAGGGGGCGCTACCTGCGAAGCCTCGCTGGGGATGGAAAGGCTGGCGACCCCCAAGCAAGTGCCTCCTCCTCCTGCAACAGCAAAAGGGAGCCGTGTGTGCGCCTGGCTGTATGGCGCTTGTTTCCAAGGGCTCGCCGTCAAATCAAGAGGGCTGAGGCTTTTTCCTTTTCTGATGAGAGTGCTGCGTGCTATAAGGGGTACTTCGAGCTTGTTTTTTAGAATTAAGGTGCTTCCACGTTTTCTCCCCCTCCCTGGCACCTGATGCCGTCCTCCAGCTGCAGTCAGACCCAAAGGCTTCACAGCAGCTCTGCCAGTCCCCTCGGTGAGCCACACTGGTCTGTAGAACCGGTTACATCGGTCGTCCCTGTGAGCAGCACAGTCCAGGAGAAGAAACCCCTGAAGCAAGCTATCAAACGTCAGAATGCATCTGCCTTTGAGCGGTGATGCTCTCCCACTGCCACCATGGCACAGCAACAAGCTTTTGCTTCAGAGTGTGGTGAATGCTGGGCTTGTGGAATAGGCTAGTTCACCAGCTATGGCTGTTCCTGTATAGAAATAAGCCTGGCTACAGTATACCCTGCTGTAGCAACCTCCAGGTTAGATGACTGTAATGCACTGGGGGGAGGGGGCTGCCCTTAAAGACTGTTCAGAAGCTGCAGTTGTTGCAAAGGCGATGGTCAGTGTGTTGACCCGTGCAGCTGCTTGGAACCAGAGAACAATTCTGAAGAGTTTTTCACTGGCTGCCTACATGCTTCTGAGCCCAATTGAGGTTTTAGTGTTTATGTACAAAGTCCTGAATGACTTAGGACCCAGTTCTATGAAAGAATGCCTCTCAGCATTTTCCTGCTCAAGATTTAAGACCTACCAGCAAGGCTCTTCTTGTCATTCCATCACCAAGTGACACCTGTGGTGCTTTAGCTCAGTGAGGAGCCTTTTTGGTGCTTGTACCCTGGGGGTGGAATGCTATTCCCTCTGAAGTACAGCATTATTTAGCTTCTGCTGCCAGATGTAAACCCATTTCTTCCTCCAGGCCTTTAGTGGAGCTGGGTGTTGACATGCTGAGCTACCTGGCATTGTTAGATGAAGCAAATTAAGTTATTCAGGTTGAGGTAGTTTTATTGTTTTATAGTCTGATTTTATTGTATCTGTTTGTATTGGGTTGTAAAACCAATGGCACTTCTACTCAAAAGAGACCCTATGAAATTAATAAGTATTAATGATTAGACTTAGATTTAATAACTTTGGTGGGCTTACTCTTAGTATAACTAACATTGGATACAACTCATTGTATTTATTTGAACGTGACTCATCATGAGATTGCTTGCAGTGAAGGGAGGGCTATAAATATTATAATGAATTAATTCAATTTATAGCATGTTTAAGTCACTTTGCACAATTTTGTTGTTCACTACTTCACAGCATAACCTTATATTGAAATAGAATCCTGAAGACTTTCTGAGATAAAGCATGGAAAATGTCAGTTTACTATGATTTACACACAAACGAAATTATATTTTTTAAAGTACAATGAAATTAAAGCCATGCAACATCAGATGTAAATACATAAATATATAACTACAACTGGTATCACTTATACATCCCATTGCTTCCAGTCAGATAAATCTGATTCTGAACACATCGTTAAATAATCCATTAAAATCAATGAGATTGAAAGGTGTTTCACTTTGACTGGATAATGCTTAGTATATTTATGAATATAGTATAGAATATTTGTTAACTTCAGAAAATTATTGTTTATCATTTCATTTGCCTTTATAAGCTCAGACAAACAAAACAAAAAGCATCACTTTGCAATAGATATATTCAAAAGATCTCTTCCTCCACACCTTTAGTGGAGCTGGGAGTTGAGATACCGAGCCATCTGGTGTATATAATTATAGTCCATCAAAGGCCTTCATAAATGGAATTGTTTGCATCTAGTGCTTAAAAAAAATATAGTGAAGGAGACTGGGGAACATCCCTAGAGAGAGTGTTATACAGACAGGGGCATCTTCCGTCGTCCCCCCCAAAACTGCCCCCAGGAAAAACCCCTCACCACCGCTGAGAAAGGAGGCAAGACTTCAGAAAATGAAATTAACCAATGTCTTCATGTTCAAGAAGTTGGTGCTTCAGCTACCTGGGCCTCAGGCATTAAATGAGGCAAGGGGCTGTATTGTGTGAGTTTGGAAAGGGGACATTTTTGGTATCATCTCACACTATAACTCATTTGACATTTTTCAGTTAAGTTTGTTCAAGTGTTGCATTATCTTCTTCTCGTATGAAAACAACATTGACTTCTTTATTATTGGACTGATCCTACAGAGCAGGCCATGCCTTAGGCATGTAGAGGAGAGTTTACAATGGCTTCCACCTCACATTAGATCCCAGTACTAGTCACCTTTCCTTGCACCTGCATTGCCACAGCATCCTAAACCAGCCTTCCGCAGACTGGTGCCCTCCATATGCTGGCTGGGGCTGATGGGAGTTGTAGTCCAAAAACTTAAAGAAGATGGCAGCTTGGGGAAGGCTGTCATAAACATTTCCCAGGCCTGCTGGATGACTGTTATGAGTGGGTTACCACTGCTGTCCACTCACCTACACTGCACATATTTACCCTGAGACTCCCAGAATTGAAGCCTCTGATTGAATGGGTCTCCCTTGCTTTTCTTTAGCGTCAGCCCACCCCACCCTGACATGTACCATGTACTGTTGGGAAAGGGAAATCCCTCTGTCTCTAGTACTTACTGTAGCCCCTGCAGAAATCTCTCAGATGCAGCCACATGGGGCTATTTGTCAGCTTTGTAACATGCAGTTTCCTTGGGACCTTGGCGTGTGATTTATTTATATAGCCACAGTGTCGTAAGTAATTATGCCATTGTAACCTTCATTGTAATTCAGCATGTTTAATTGTGTTATGTACCTATGACCATTCCTTTGACAAGCTTCTTTTTTCTCCCCTCAGTGCATTTTTGAGGCCCAAACTGGGAAAACAATATGAAGCTTCATGTGTGGTATGTGACTTTCAAATATATATATATATATATATATATATATATATATATATATACGGATTTGCATGCATTTCATTAATTTTAGTAAAGGAAACTGGCAGACTTTTGTTAAGCTCAATGGCCCAAATGTAGCACTTGCCTTACCATGGCAAAAGTAGCTAAGTACAAACCAATATTACTATATATAAATTTATTATCATGATTTACACTGTTAGCTGTTTTATACAAAAAAAGTTTCCATTATTATGTACTGGCAAAATCAATATAATTCTGACAGATGAGATTCTGAGCATGAAGATTGCAGAGGGTGTGTGCTCATATCCATTGCAGAATCCCTGCCAGTAAGGCTGGTACACAGGTTTTATAACATCAGGAAGAACTTTCTGGCAGTAAAAGCAGTTTGGCAGTGGCACAGCCCCCTAGGAATGTGGTGGACTCTCCTTCAGTGGAGGTTTTAAAGCAGAGGCTGGATGGCCATCTGTCAGGGATGCTATGGTTGAGATTCCTGCAGTTCAGTGGGTTGCACTGGACGACTCTTGAGGTCCTTCCCAACTCTACAATTTTATGATTTAATGAACTCAGTTGTTCTTGAAGCCTTTTGGTTCTGGCTTTTGCTAATATAGGATATCAGCACCTCATGTCAATCACATATCACTGATGCAGATGGTTATGCCTTGTTGTGTTTGCTGGACCTCATCAGACATACTATGAATGATGCCCTCTAGCTTAATGCATGAGTTTTGACTCCCTATGCTCTTCTGTTCAGTTGGCACAGCTACAAATGCTACTTCAAAGAAATATGACCCATTTCTTTTCAGGCTTCTAGCATATGACCTTGATTTACTGAATCACTCCTGCAGAGCAAATAAATCATTTACTACTCATGCTTTATATATCATGTGAAGAAAACACTATTTTCCTCACTTTCTCAAAGTTCTTGAATTCTGACAGGTACAAGCAGAAAATTCACAACTGTTGCTATGCTATACTGTTTCACACAGCTGAAATGTGGGGTTGTGGGAATTAATGTTTCAATGCACTCTTCCATATCAAACACTCCTCCCCAAGCATGTCAGGACAAAGCATCCCAGTTAGCTTCCCTTGTAGAGGATTTTGTTTCGGTCTGCATTTTTGAGCAAACTGACCTGATTCACACACCCTGGACTGATGTGTGAATTAAAATGAAATTATCCTTTGGTCTTCACATTTCTCCACATATAAAAACAAAAACAGACAGACACTCCTACAGGAGGCAGTTAATCTGCTGATCATGTTTCAGAGTTCTGGGGAGAACCATTGCAACTCAAGGTGCTTCCCTTTCAAACAACCCGGACTCTCACTCTCTGAATTTTTCTCTCTTCCTGTCCATTCAAGTTGCAGACTGGCTCCAAAACATCACTCCTGCTTTCAGTCACCAGCTGGAGGACATAATCTTCCCAAACACATTGTACTGTATTCCAAATGTTGGAGAGAGGGTCCTAGTTATCAGGAGAACAACTCTTGTGATTTGCTTTCATAATTTGCTCCCATTATGTTCTTATTAGTAAGCTATTAGCTTAACTAAATATGGTCTCCCTGCGTTCATAATGCCACTGAAATACGATCATAAATTCCTTTTAGGGAGCTCATTTGCTAGCTTGCTTTTCACAGTCACAGTCCATTACCCTACTCCAAGTACATGGATGAGAAGAGGGAGCAGTGGCAGTATTATTCATGCAGTCCTCCATTATGCTAATATTGCTTTGATACTACACAGTATGTAGGAGATGGAGTGGGAAGGTGAGGGTAGCATGAGGACTCTGGCACAGACCACTTGGACCTACATTTTTAACTTTCCACAAAATGTGTCAAAGCACTTCTAGAGCACAGATAGTCAATGTTGTGTCCTACAGACATTGATGGACCAGCACTCACAATCAGCCCCAGTCAGAATGGCCAATGGTCAGGAATGATGGGTATGGTAGTTCATCAATATTTGGAGGGCACTACATGCTTCCCCTGCACTGGAGTATGGAGCAGAGTAAGAGACCTGGGAGGAGGCTTCCCATCAATGCAGAGGATTGCTGGGGAGAGGCAACCAGTTACTACATTTCCATTCTGCTCTAGCTTCCGGGCTACTACATCACCTCCAAGGGCATTGAGTGTTGGACCTCTGCTCTCGTGCTTCTGACTTACCAGTGTATTTCAGAAGCAAGCCCTCTATTAACAAGCCTTGCTGTAGCCTTTTCATTTAATCAATCAGAACATATTGTATATACTCGAGTATAAGCAGACCCGAATATAAGCCAAGGCACCTAATTTTAGCACAAAAACCTGGGGAACTTGTTGACTCGAGTATAAACCCGTTCACCACATCACAAACCTGGTGGTGGCGGCAGCGATGGAGGAAGAACAAGCAGCCCAAAAGGGCTCCTTTTGGGCCACTCGTCCTTCCGCCGGCGCCTCTGCCGCTCACAAGAGCAGGCATAGGAGCCGCAGTTGGGAGAGGCACAGCACAGCGCCTCTCCCATCTGCGGCTTCCTGTGCCTGCCCTTGCGAGAGGCGGGTGGCGGCAGCAGGACCAGGGGCGAGAAAGGGCTCCTTTCGGGCTGCTCATCCCGCCACTGCCGCCTCACTCAAGTATAAGCCGAGGGGGGCTTTTTCAGCATAAAAAATGTGCTGAAAAAGTCGGCTTATACTCGAGTATATACGGTAATTAGATCCAAAACATGCTTCCCAAGCTAGATATTGGAGCTCTTTGCTTTGTATCATCATGTGGAAATGTTCTTCCTGGCTCTGTCAGTGCTTTCTGCCCTGCTCTCCAGTCTTTTGTTCTATTGACACTGTAATTTCCTAAATGTCAAGGAGACAAAGTCCTTTTCTTTTACCGTTTAAGATTGTAACGGTCTTATAAAATTCAATAGTGTCCTGTGTATTTTTAGAATCTGAGTTGCCAAGTTGAAGCCATTGAAGTGTGTGATGGTGCACTATTTTTAGACACATCCCTTTTGTATTTGCTGAATTTGTTGATGTATTGTGCTGTATTTGGAGGTCACTTTTAATGTTGTACTTTCCAACCCAACCCAAAAATATAGAGATTCCCCCCCCCTTTGTCTCATCGGCCACCATATAACTCAATATCTTCCTGTTTTCCTATAATAGTTAAACTTTCAGTAGCTATGGATGAATGTGGGACAAAACCAACCACAGTATTCTGTTTAAAACAATACATTACAACTTTATTGACGCTTAATTGCAATATTAATACTATGAAGTTTATTTAAAGGATTACTTATAAAGCTTGTGGTTTCACTTAGTTACTGTATGATTAAATAGCGCCCACATACACAATAGGGTTACTGTCTCTTTAAGAGTTCTCATCCTCAGGTGCCTCGCACTCCTAGTCTGAATCAGAGGACTCAGGAGGAACCATAACACAGTAATCGCCTTAGTGACCCATACCTCCTGCAATCTGGAGTTTTTCAGGATTCTCTCAGGATTGCACCTATGGTCTTTAACTTGGTCCAGCAATAGCTACCACCTCAAGTTCATAATGAACAATGCTGTTACTTACAGCAGCTTTCTTGAAGGCTGTCTTGCTCTCATATTTCCTCCCTCGACTCTTTGCTCCAGTGATATCAGCTCCTGAGCTGGATCTCCAACTTCCTTTCAGACACCAGCCTCTGCCACTGCTCCCTAAGCCCCTTCCAACTTCCCCACTGACCTCAGTTCCAACAATTACTCCCCTCCAGAGCAGGATGGAACCTGACCCTTTTTTTACATTAAGGACTACAGTTTCCTGACCACTGTCCTGTTAGCTAGGAATGATGGAAGTTGTAGTCCCAAAACACCTGGAGGGCCAAGTTTGGAGATGCCTGATCTAGAATCAGGGCACTTCATTGTTACCTAAAAAAGTGGTACAGATGGTTTGAAAGGACATACATAAAATAAGTCTTTCATAGAATGATAGAGGATCATCTAGTCCAACCCCCTGTAATGCATGAATAGGCAGCTGTCCTTTATGTCCTGCAACATTGGCATCATCAACAACATGCTCCAACCAACTGAGCTATCCATGGCGACACTGCAGTTTTAAAATGTCCTGAAAATGTCTTAACCAAGTATTGCTACTATTCCCTGCTGATTATTATATGAGAGTCTTGCATGAATGAAAAGCCTTGTTCAAACACGCTATCCTGTGTTTAAAAAGCAAGCAAAGGACTTGTCCACACTTACTTTCCCCCGCTCTTTCCAGTCACAATCCATGATTTAAAGCTCTAAGTCCGAGCACCCTGTTTATTTTTACCCTAGAGCTTTTCCTGCAAAAACCTGCTCTTTAAGGCTCAATCAGAGCAAGCGACAAACCATGGAAAATGAAAACTTATGTTTGCTCCAAATCAGCTTTCAAGAGCAGGTTTTTATGGGGAAAGGTCTGGGACAAAAAAAGGAGAAATGTTCGGTCATGGAGTGTTAAAAGAAATTGCTGAACAAAAGTGTGGGTAAGCTCAAAATGTTCTTTTCTATTACACCTTATAAATTTGTTCCAAAAGGAAACAAGGGGAGACTCAGGGGTGCCAACTTGAATAAAAGATTGGGGGGGGCAGGTAAGCCCTGCCCCACATAATTGATCACGTGACATGGTGCGCGCACACAATTTGAATGGCAATGCCCATCAACTTGGGGAGGATAGCCCCCTCAAATATTTTATTGGGGGGCAAAGCCCCTCAGCCCCTAGGAGTTGGCGCCTCTGTGGAGACCATTGATTTATGTTAATTTATCCATTTATGCTACCCCACAGTGGCTTCCTGGTAGCTGTTCTTTAACTGAAGGTTTTTTTGGGGGGTTATTTACACTTGCTAGCAATCAAAATTTCAGCACTGACAGGCCGATTTTCAATCAAAGTCTGATTTGTTTACTTATAAACTTATTTATAAGCTGCCTTTTGTGAAGTTGCCCACACAGAGACAGCTTTACATATCAATGAACACAATACCATTGAAAACGAAACTAGGCAATTTAAATGGCGGCAGTACATAATAATTTAAAAACATAGCCTGGTTAAAAATAAATAAAACAGCAGGCAGAACAGATTCAGCACTTTAAAATGCTACACATTCTAAAACAGCTCTCACTCATTAAACAAAGGCATAGATTAGGAAAAAGCTAGTCCCCCCAAAAAAATAGGTTTAAAACACCCGCTTTAAAATTTGCAGAGTTGGGGGGGGGGGCCCTCCACGGTTACATAATCTTGGACCTCCACAGAAAAGCCTGTTTCTTGTGGCAGCCAACAAAACTGGCCTTATAGACAGGCCTTGAAGAAGGGTATAAGTGGTTCTTCTAAATCATTGAGGGAAGGGGGTTATTGGTTAGCTTTTGTCTTTTTAGGTTTTTTCTATTCTCATTTTGCATTTTTATGTTGTGAACTGCCCTGTGAAGTTTTTAGGTCAAAAACAGCACTTTGAATGGTTGGGCTTTTATCCTTTCACAAAAACATCTTAGGACAGTGCCAAGCAAATGCAAATGTTTTGATGGGTTTCCTGAAGCAAACACTGCTGCTGCTGCTGCTGCTGTTGATGTTACTTAAATTGATATACCACCCTTCACCCAAGAATCATAGGGTGATTTACAGCATGAAAATACAAAATGCATGAAACAAACAAAACAAACAAAAGTACAACCCCTTACAACTTTCATCAGCTCTGACCATTAGCCATGACCTGGCTGCTCATGGGAGTCCAACAAGGGCCCAGAAGTTCCTGACATATTGACAGACGTGTGTCAGCCCTCTGTACTTAAATCTAGGAGCAATGGGCTGAATAGGGTTTCCATGCATGTGCACATGGTTTCCAGAGATAATGTGCCCACTGTCCACCATTGCACCGTGGGCCAATCAGACTTCCTGTGTGAAGAATGGAACTGTCCTCATTAAATTTACGTATGGTACTATTTTCATACAAAGCAGAAATGTTCAGTCTTTCCAGAACATGTAATAGGATTGTTTTTTTTTTCTTTTTCCTCCTTCATTTTAGTCCTTTGAAAGAGTTTTGGTTGAGAATAAGTTGCACGGTCTTTCACCGGCCCTTTCTGAAGCCATCCAGAGCATTTCTCGCTGGGAACTGGTCCAAGCTGCCTTACCACATGTTCTTCACTGCACGGCGACACTGCTTTCCAATCGGAACAAGTTAGGTCAGTGCACATGTTAGGATGCTATTATGCTAAAAACCTAATTATGTTCTGTCTAGTTTAAACTGATGGTTCTCAAAGCAGGATAAGCTGTGGCTAAGGGATGCATTTACCTACCCCTTTTGATTTCAGTTGGTTGTGATTGAGCAGAATGACTCCTGGTACACCCTGTTCATTTCTCAGCTATGTGGGTTTGGGAGATCTATCCTGAGAAGGGCCCAGAAGTCCTGTTTTCTTTCTCTGGCACCACTAGGTAAACAAATTGTCTTAGGGCAATCTGGGCATTACATTAAGGTTACCAGACGTTCCCGTTTCCCAGGGACATTCCCCGAATTTACAAATCAGTCCCCTGACAAAATCCTATCATTCCTACTGAAGTTGAAAAGTGTCTCCGGATTCATTGAAAAAAATCTGGTAACCTTACATTACATGCCTAGGTCCCTTTGCTGCTTCTGGGTGGATGACTGTGAGTGAAGAATCAGGGGTGGAAGAAAAAGAACGTGTCACTCTGCCTTTACCTGCTATTCAAAAGCCTATTTTCAGTAGGAACACACACACACACACACACACACACACACACCCATCAAATTATGGGGGGAGGGGAAGCTAGAGAGAACGTCTAGATAAAGACTGAACATTGTAACAGCCCATGGCCTTGGTCTGGAGGAGAACATTTAAACTTTCAATTAATTATATCACAGTAGTAGTTTTAGTAGCGTAGTAGTAAAATAAATGTTGCTTGGCCATAAGCCATAGCAAAACTAATATATCAACAGAAGACAAAATCCAACAACAGTGCATAGGAAGACCCAGAACGTCTTGCTGTATTTTCTCATCTAGGACATCAGGATAAACTTGGTGTTGCAGAAACGAAGCTGCTTCATACTCTGCACTGGATGTTGCTAGAAGCTCCTCAAGACTGCAGCAATGACCGCTTTGGAGGAGGAGGAGACAGGGCATCGAGCTGGAGAGGGAGCAGCAGCGCTTTCATCCACCAGATTGAAAACCAGGGATCTCCAGGGCATCCAAGGCGTGACAGCACCAATGAAGAGGAGGAGAACAACAGGAGGAAGTTCTTTCAGAATTCAATGGCCACAGTGGAGCTCTTTGTATTCTTGTTTGCTCCGCTAGTTCATAGGATCAAAGTAAGTGCTTAAAGTAAAGGCTCATCAGCACTTCTGCTTGTCCCGTGCCTAGAAAGTATTAAATTACTTACAATGTCCAGAAGTGGCTACTGTGTTTCCTTCCTAGACCTCCAGTGTTGTGGGACACTCTGATTCCATCACCACTCCCAGAGTTCCCCTTGTCCCTGCTTTATTTCCCTCAGGTTCACTCATACTTATACAGACAGAAGCATGGAAGCTCAAGTCAGACAACCCTCCAAATCCTGCTGTGGAGGATTCTGGAGGAGGCCTGGACCCACAAGGGCAACCATTCCATCTTTCATGTCTGGCATTCCTATGGTATCTTTTCTTTTAGGATATCAAATGGAGGGTGTGGCACAGTCCTTGTAAGCAACCCCTTTTCTTTCTTTCTTTCTTTCTTTCTTTCTTTCTTTCTTTCTTCTGTATAAAATGTTTATTCGGTGCATGAGATGATTCTTACAATTTCTACCACCTTCATCACAGGTAGAATTGCATTACATTTTTGGAGAGTGAAATTGGAACCAGCAATAAGAACTTCAGATACTCTTCCCCAACTACAGCAACACAGAGCCAATGGCTGCTCCTACTGCCTGCACCCCAAACCCAGTCACAAGACACCTCGTGCACAACATACCACCCCCATGATTGTCCACACACTTTTGTGGATAAACCATGTGTAAAATGGAATAAGAGAGTGGTTTATAGGACAGAAGGACTCTACCTATGAGATTTTGGAACAAGGAATCTCTGGGTTTAAATAAAAAATATCAATGCTCTTCTCCGTCAGATCCACAGGTGTCCCCATGTTCTTGTGTCCTTTTAGGAATCTGATCTGACTTTTCGTCTGGCCAGTGGCCTTGTTATTTGGCAGCCGATGTGGGAGCACAGGCAACCTGAAGTTTCCGCCTTTACTGCACTGGTTAAACCCATCAGGAATATAATCACAGGTTTGTGGTTGTGTTAATGCATGCAAAAGTACTTAGAAACTGAAAGTCATAGAGAAGTAGCTGGTAAGTGTCTGTTATAGAGTTTCAGAGGCTTCCTCAAACTTCCACCAAAGAACCGATAGCAAATTCTTTTGAAGAGAACCACCTCTTAATAGTAGATGTAGTATCTAACAGGGCTCCAAGTCCCTAACACAGAGCTGGGGAACCTTTTCCAGACCAAGGGTCACAGTGTCTCATGGGAAACATTCCAGGGGACACATGACAGTGGTGGGTGGCCATATGTCCAGAATTTCCTGGAATACTGTGGTCAAAAGCAGTGTCCGGGCAGAAATCGGCAAGACTTCCCAGAAAATCCAGATGTATGGCATGCCATGTCAACTTTGGCCCCCCAAAAACTTTTGTGTCTGGATTTTCACTTTCTGAAATATGGCAACTCTAGCGGCCAGAGGCAAAGTAGGGGCAGTAGTGCATGTGAATGTAATCTTTGTTCAGTAGTCTACTATCTACAGACACTCAAACACCCTCTCTATCATCCATCAAGAGGCATTTGGTGGTATTCATTGCTGCACTATTGCAAAAGTGCCAAATGGAACGACACTCCCCCCTCCCGTATACAGTTCTGGGGGTTCACACCCAGCTAATTTCAGAGGTGCATGGAGAAGGATAGGGGAGATGCCCCATTGCACAAACTGAAGCCCTTCCACAGGGCTTTCACTGACAGAGTTAATCAGGTGACTCCTGTGCATTATCAGAGTTCAATGACACCTCCCACCCAGGTGAAAGCACTAGAAGAGGGTGTGAAGTAAGGTTGGTGAGGGTTGAAGCCTGGGGAGAGCCTGAAGGGATTGATAGAGAAGCCTGGGAGGCTGCATTTGCATGATTCAATAGGTTTTTGTTTGTTTTATTTAAAAATCCATGCACTTCTTAGCCAATTCCAGTGTTTCTGTGCTTTGAGTCACACAGCTTGCCTACTAACAAGTTCTTCATTTGCCAGCAAAGAGGAGTTCTCCAATGAAAAACCAGACTCTGACATGTGAATCTCCTAATGTGGATGCTGGACGTACAGAGGTAATGTCTGAGGCTGTACAATCTTTATTGGAATCACAGGGAGGGGAGGGGCAGTGGGGCGAGCTAAGGAACTGGGCTGAGGAAAGCATTTTTCTGCAGGGAAGGAAGCGATCCTGGAAAGGAATGGGTTGTCCTTCCCACTTGCTCCTCTAGGCAGGTGAATGTGCAAATACCAACCACAGTCGCTTTGGGAACTCAAGAGAAGTGTAATAACTTTAAACAAATGCTTGCTGTATAATGCAAATTAAATCCTAGCAGAACCTGAAATAACAAAAGCTAAAATCCACTTAATCCATATCCACTTAACCTCAGCCATGAAAGGTTGGCTTTAAATGATTGCCCTCTGTAAGAGGTTCAGGCCTTTATTCAGGATTTCAGGGAAAGAAAGTTTCATAAGCAGCCACTGTGAGAACAGAATGATGAACTAGATAGGAGCCTTCTTGGATCAGATCTATGCTAGGTGTGGAGAGCTGCCAACCATCCCAGTATCATTCCACTTTAAACAGCCATGGCTTCCCCCACAAAAGCCTGAGGACAACAGTTTAACCACTCTAAGAATTGTTGCTCTGCACCTAGAAAGATAACACATCAGAGAGCTAGAACAAGTTTTACACGAACACAGTTCTTTCAAAGAACAGGTTTGAACTGTGCACTTGACATGGACTGTGTTTCTTATAAAGGCAATTCCTTTCCCTTTAATTGCAGTCTAGAGTTGCACCACCACGCTCCTCATTTTGCAAATAGTGTAGCAGAGTGAAGTAGAAAACAGCAACAAGATTCCTGCATGGTGGATGCAAGGCAAGCTCACTGCTACACCATGGGAGTAGATCCTTACAGTGCAGTCTTTTATATATGTGCTTCATTCAAAGCAAGTGCAGTTTCTTTCAGTGGGTTTTACCCTCAAGAAAATATGCAAAGGATTGCAGTTTCAGTGTGTAGCCTAGTTATGCAGACTTCAACCATTATTCCTGCAGTGAAGCTTTCAAGGAGGACATCTGAATGTTCAGTTCCTCCGATTAACAGCAAGAGTAGTTTGGATTACATGTTAGGCAGAACAGCAAACTGCACATTTTGATTGCATTTCTCTCTGTGAAATATTTTTGCACCCACAGGGGCTCCAGGTAGTGTGTGAAACACCCCAGCCAGATGCAGTGCCCCCCAGGCCTGCTTTCTCAGGCTGCCACCGTGGAAATTCTATTGATGGAAGTGTGTCATCCCAAGCCTCCCAGGAGAAAGGACCCCCCTATCCTAGGTAAAAGCTGATCTTCTAGAAGGGCTCCTCCTTGTCTCTCTTTTCTCCGCATCCCTGTCCCCTTCTTCTATGATCATAGGATACTTCCCACAGTTAGAAAAGACAGAGAAAGATTATTTCTGTTCTAAATATTAAAATGGGAGTCTTCCAGTTGTGTGATTCTGTTTGAAATGTATTTGGACTATAAAATGTGTGTTGAATATAACACTAATTTAACACCCACCGCCATCATTGGTGGCCTTGCTATTTTCCAGGACTTCACTTCACATACAGCTCTGGAGGAGACTGTGGGACGTTGGTGCCTTCCATATGCCCTAGCAGTGCTGTGGGAACTGCTTTTCCTTCCTCACACAGCATTGCTGCGAATGAGGCAGGCACCTTCCTCTCAGTTTGTCCCCTTCAAAGCTTCCTGAGGTGTTACATCGTTGCCACTAAGGGGCATTATTTCTTTGCCCGTTTAAGTTTTGACCCTGGGTTGTTAGTCTCTTGTAGGATACCATGTTTTAAGCTGAAGCCATTACCAAGCGGATCGAAACACAAATTGTTGTTTAGACATTCAAAGACACTTTCTCTTGCAAGAATCTCTGGCAAGCATTTTAATTTTTCAGAAAAATGTTTGAAGCATAGTGCCTGAAACAAGGCATTCATGTTTACTGACCTGGTCCTGACCTGTTGCCAACTATATTAAAAGGGCACAGCTGACTTCCCCCACCCAGGAACCTTATTTTCTGTGAAAAAAGCATTGAAAAGCAACTTCTGTGATGTAGGAAAGTTAGCAGTGCCATGCTCACAGAGAGTGGAAATGAAGACTTTCCCCAAATATATACACAGAAGGGGGGGGGAGAGACACAAACACAAACATAAAAATATATCAAATATTCTTTTTCCTGCTGAGCTACAGTTTTTGGGCAGCTCTCTTTACTTGATTATTTTTAGGCTAGTTCAGAGTGCCCAAAGGAGGAAGGAACTGGTTTTTAGACAGCAAAAATGAGGCAGTCAGTGTCTGAAACTGAGCTGGGCGGTCGCTATGGCAATGAAGCTGCAGGCAGGCTCTCTATTCTGCGTCATTAATTTCTCCTCATTTGCTGAACTCATTGATCACTACAAAGTCAACTGGATACGGGGGGAGGGGTAGTTGTTGCCTAGCAACATGCAGTGAAGAAATAAATGTTGTTTGCTCCAGTTACTAACCCAGCATCCATGGAATTATTTTGTCCTTGAAGACCAAATTCAACCAAATTGCTACATCCACAGCCTTTGGGGGTCGTGGTAGCTGAGTTGAGTCAGCACAGAGTTGAAATTAAAATTCAGAAGACATGAAAATGTCTAGATTTTTTTAAAGGCAGGTTTATTCAAGAGAACATAGATTGGCTTTTTGGTAGATATCCTGAGCTTTTTTTTTTTTTTGAACTTTGGCGTTCTGTTTCTGAATATACTATATGCAGTCTACTATTTGTCCCTAATGTAGTCCCCAGTCCAAAAGAACGAGTCACCCTCAGAGTTCATAGCCACAGTCTGAGTGACATGTAGAAAACTGGGAGGTGGGTCTTTGATGACAAGTAGACTGGGAATTTTAGCAAGGCCACTTCTGCTCCAGCAAAAATTAATATAAGGTAACGATTCTTAACCAGCAGAGCAACCTTATCCGTTTGTTAACTTTCTTAATCTCAAATAAATTAGATATACTTTTTGTATTATTTTTCAGTCTGTTTGTTAATGTTAATGTTGTCCTAGTGCTCATTAATAGGGAAGAATCAGGTGTAAGATGCACAATCTGTTTCTCAGCAAGGATTAAACACTCTTAGGTTTTGGGATTTGTGCCAACACCAGTGTTTATTGTTTCTCTACCAATGCAGCTTTATCGGTACAAATTCTCAAAGCAATTTACAAAACCATAAAATAACAGAGCATTAAAAAACAATTTACAAACAAGATTAAAGAGCAACTAAAAATAGATCACAGTATACCAGCGGATTAATCACTGGAGGGGGAACATAACAAAACACACATGAATTCCTTTTGAAAAAACAAAAACCATTTTGGTTGACCTAATGAAAGTATCACCCTTATATTGATTTCAGACTATACAAGTGTCCCTATTTTCCGGGGACATACCTGATTTAGAGAAGCTGTCTCAGTTTCTGATTTGATTCCAGAATGCCCCACTTTTCTTTACGATGTCCCTACTTTCATTGAAGAAATGTTGGAGGGTATGGAGTTATTCGACCCCTGAGCCATCTGAAGCCAATCCTGCATAAGGAAGTTTTCTTAATGTTTAATGTTTTATTATGTTTTTATATATGTTGGAAGCTGCCCAGAGTGGCTGGAGCAACCCAGTAAGATGTGTGGGGTATAAATAGTAAAATTATCATTATGGAATGGGACGTCCCTATTTTCATCAGAGAAATGTTGGAGGGTATGCAATTTTGGAGTTTTCCTTATGAGCCAACATGACTACCATCCTTTTTTTTTAAAAAAAATAATTTTTATTAACATTTCCCCCCCCCCAAAAAAAGAAAACATAAGTACAAAATAATAAATAAAAAATTAAATACAATATTCTTTACAGTTATATATAGTATCATCTTATCTACATTGCGTTAGATCACGCCTCGACTTCCCTCCTTCCCAGTTGCGGTTTTCTTATTATTTCTTATCTTTTACAGTTTCTTCATATTCTTTATATATATATCACAAGAGTTAAGTTAATCCTGCTGTAGTCCTTAAGCTTCTACAGTTAGTTTCTATATATGTAACAAATTTGCTCCATTCTTCTACAAGCTTTGATACTTTTTGGTTTCTAATCCTATGTGTCATTTCGCTAATTCCGTACATTCGAATAGTTTTACCTGCCATTCCATAACAGTTGAAATTTCTGATGTCTTCCATTTTTTGCGCTACTAGAACCCTAGCTGCCACCGTTGCGTACTGAAATAACTTATGATCAATCTTTTTTATTTCATCCCCTATTATCCCTAATAAGAATGCCTCTGGCTTTTTTGGAAAGGTATACCTGAAGAATTTCTTTAATTCATTGTATATTAATTCCCAGAATCTTTTCATTTTCTCACGTGTCCACCACATATGATATAGGTCTCCATCTTTACTTTTACATTTCCAACAAGCCTTATTTCCCATTTTATACATTTTTACTAATTTAACTGGGGTAATATACCACCTATACCTCATTTTTTCTAGGTTCTCCCTTAAAGTGGAACATGCCGTAAATTTCATTCCCTTATTCCATAAATTTGTCCATTTATCAAAATCTATATTATAACCCAGGTCAATTGCCCACTTTACCATCATCTCCTTAATTTCCTCATCTTTGGTATCCCATTCCAGTAAAACATTATACATCTTCGATAGAAGTTTTGTTTTCGCTTCCAAAATTTCTGTTTAATATTTAGATTTTTTCTCACTAAATCCTGATTTTTTATCTTCATTCCATAAAAAGGACAGCAGTTTATCCTCTTCCATAACAGTCCCAGCCAACAGAAGGTGTAGCTACTTCTACTATGGGGCAAGGTGAGGCAGCCACCTCAGGTGTCAGGATCCACAGTGGCAGCAAATTTGGCCTCTAAGCAATGCATTGCCTACTGCTGCCACTGCTGCACTGCCCCCGCCCACCCCTGCCCCCAAAGTAGTTCTTCACACACACCCTTGTGCCTGATGTAGGTGTTCACTCGCCCCTTAATCCCTGATGGGTGGGGCGACACCATTTTGTGGTTCAACTCAGGTGCCAAAATGTCAGGGCTGGCCCTGGTGTGGCAGACCTCATGTTGCATTATTCTCCAGCAGTCTTTGGCATTGATGTACAACCTCAGCTGCAATAGACCCTGGGGAAAAGGGAGATGACTCTGGCAGCAATCTGGGGACCCTCTTTAGAACAGGCAGGCGAGTGCTCTTGAAAGGGCTCAGCACTTGTGGAAAATTCACTGGAAGCGCAACATCTAGGGTTCACAAAAGCTGGGCTAGAAGCACTAATCAATTAACTGGTGTGACTTATTAATTAATCACACAGTTAATATGTGGGTGCCTGGTCAGATTTCCGTAGGAGAGGGTGCTTAGGGTTGATTGGAAGTGATGCAAATGCAGGTAGTTCATAGTAGTACATATTTTAATCTGTAAGCAGGGTATAAATATATAATAATAATAATAATAATAATAATAATAATAATAATATAGTAATAAACCTTCCTTGGAATCACAATTAGTCACATTCTTTATTCTTCTCCTTGACCTTAAGCTTTGATAGAAAAGCTATATTTCAAGACAGCTTGAATACTGAATAGTTTGTGCCATTTTACGAATTATATGTTTAGATTGCAGAGTTAAGCTTTTCTGGTTAGAATTTGATATCTTCTGCTAATAAGGTTGCTATTAACTTAAGCAGCTTTCTCCAGACTGAAGTAAGCAGTTTGTCCTTTGACTTGTCCTGTAATAAGATGTACTTGGGAGCCCTTAGGGGTCTGGCTGCTTCTATAGTTCAAAGCATTTGTTTCTTTATCATTTGTTGACAGGGTGTCTTTGGTCATCCCACCATGCCAAAAGTCTCGGTATGCTACCTATTTTGACGTGGCTGTATTACGCTGCCTACTTCAGCCACACTGGTCCGAGGAAGGCACTCAGTGGTCCCTGATGTATTACCTCCAGAGGCTGCGGCATATGCTGGAGGAAAGGCCTGAGAAATCTCCTGAGCCAGAGGTCCCACCGTTGCCCAGGCCTCGCAGCAGTTCCATGGTTGCAGCAGCTCCATCACTGGTGAACACTCACAAAACACAGGTAAGGACAACGGGACAGCCCACAAAGGTTTGGGGGTGGTGTGGCTAACATGTCTATAGTTTTAGGTCTTATGGCCTGGTCAGAAACCTGGCCGGAATTTTAGACCAACCAGGGAAGAAGTACACATATAATTTAGCTGCCTTTCTAGGTTGCTGCTCTTTTGTTCATTTGGAAATAAACAAAATATTCCTTTGATTTTTAGGATTTATTTATTTAAAATATTTTTACACTGTTCTATTGACAATTTCAGTGCAGTGCACAATAAAATACAACAGTAACAACAGTAAAAAAAAATCATTAAAAACCACTCAATTTTTGAAACATACACAGCATTCAAATTACTGATTGAACAAAAATATGTTTGCCTGGTTCCCAAAACATTGCACTGGGGGATACTGGGCAAGCCTCTTTAAGGAGAGCATTCCATAATTGGGGTACCACCCCCCAAAAAGCCCTTTCCCTTGTTTTCATATAGTGTACCTCTGATAAAGGTATAATGAAGGATGGTTTCAGCAGAAGATGTTAATGCACTGGCAGCTGATACGGAAAGAGGCACCCTGTTAGTATTATAAGCAGCAGATATAAAATATCTTGACTCACCACTATTACTGTGTTCAAAGAGGAATGTATAGAACCAAACATGAGTTTAGAATTGCAATGAGGCATGTTTGAATGGTTGCAGACCTGTAAGGATACATTAATTAGTAACAATTACACAGTGAAGAGAATTACAGAAGTAGTGAAAAGTATGTGTAACTGTAATATTTACTACACATGCAGTATTTCTAGAATGTACAAAAATATGTTGCATGCATTATCTGTGTGATCTGGCCAATAAATGTTATTTCCCCAATAGAGCAGCTATGGAACTGAGAGACAGTCTCTTAGACACCCAACTATGCAAACTCCACACTAGTGCCATGACAGTGAATAAGGGCTGTGGGTAGCTGATATTTACAGCAAATTGGAGCATGCAAAGGTTCCTTGGGGTGGGATTGACCGAAGGGGGCAACGGAATAAAAACGGATCCCTTTCCTTTACTCTTGCAAAGCTGCCTTAGCAGATCAGCCTCCCATTGCTCCCAAAACGAGAGGCAGAAAAAGGGATTGGGCTCAGATAAAACTTTACTCTTGGTCAATGCTATCCCACCCACAGCAATTATTTAACGACAGACCCTACATAGCTTCCCTCTACCTCTGAATTTCTTATTTTGGGGAAGGACGTAAACTAAGCAAAGAGATTATGCGTTTGCAGCTGAGTGCTGCCATCTGCTACCCAGGACATTCCCTGCCAGCATGAGGGAAGTGTACCTGGCTTAACCTAGTCGAGAGCCATCTTTCCCATAGGGCTTAGTGGTGCATTGCGCCAGGGTGCCGGCCTCTCAGGGGCACCCCAGCGAGTGGGGAAACTGCGGGTGTGCAGCTTGCCTCCCAAGCCTCTGCGGAAGGAGAGTGATCCTGCAGCGGCATGGGGGAGAGTTGCCCCCCCCATGGCTGGCAGTGCGCAGCTTTGCCCCCCCCCCACTATCCGTGGTAATTTGGGGGCGCTGAGCAGATATTTGCACCCCGGCATTGCATCTGCTAAAGACAGCCCTGACCTAGGCTGTAGCAGGTTTGGATGAAAGATGGGGGATCTGCCTATTTTCTCTGCTTTTTTCTTCAGGTTTTTGTAGACATTTCCCCTCCCCCTAGTGGCTCTTTTGGTAGCCACAAGTAGACATTGAAGCTTCTCTATGGCTGAAGAAAAAAGAATAATATAGCATAAATCTGTCAGTTGGCTGTTGGGAAATATTCTCCAGCTTTTCAAATATAATATCAGTTGGCATTTGAGAAGATGAAAGATGAAATTAAATGGAGTCAGTTTCCCTTTTTTAGTCATTGTTGCGAGTTAAACTGGAGCACAACTTTGTTGGCTTTTGGGAATCTGATTGATGGTCAGCAGATCTGCTGCCTGTTGTAGAAATGTGTGCTAACTTACACTATGCTTACACACCAGAAGCCTCCAGTGTTCTCACCCAAAGGAAAGAAAACACCAATTGTGCTAACCTTGGAACTGAGGAATGGGGAGTATGTTACAACATAATAAGAGATTATTATGTTTATATTATGTTATTTGGCTGTTTATCCAGTCTTCCTATACATGGTAGTATGTTTCTTGTCTCTCTGCGGACGTATAGGATCTCACAATGAAATGCAATGAGGAGGAAAAATCATTAAGCACTGAAGCTTTTGCTAAAGTGTCGCTAACCAACCTGCGCAGGCCAGCTGTTCCAGACCTCTCCTCTGATTTGGGAATGAATATTTTTAAGAAGGTAAATGAATCACACCTTAAATTAACATATTGGATCTCTTCCCTTAATTACTTAATGCTGTTATTTGCTAAAGGTGTGGACTGCATAAACTACATGAAGGCCGACCCTCACTGAACTAAAGCGATCTAACTAGGAAAATTCAGGCAAAGAGCTAGTGTGGTGTAGTGGTTAAGAGCAGTGGACTCGTAATCTGGTGAACCGGGTTCACTTCCCCGCTCCTCCACACGCAGCTGCTGGCTGACCTTGGGCTGGCTAGTCACACTTCTCTGAAGTCTCTCAGCCCCACTCACCTCACAGAGTGTTTGTTGTGGGGGAGGAAGGGAAAGGAGAATGTTAGCCGCTTTGAGACTCCTGAAGAGGAGTGAAAGGTGGGATATCAAATCCAAAAAGGACTAGCCAGGACTAGCCGCCTGAAAAACAGTTTCTACGATAATGCAATTCTGGTTCTAAATGCAGCATAAGGGGTTTCTGTAGTATAGTGTGTTTTAAAATGGGGTTTTAGAGTTTTTAGGGGTTTTTGAATGTTTTATGTAGTTTTTATGTAGTTTTATGTAGTTTTTATGTAGTTTTATGTAGTTTTCAATTTCATTGTTCCGCAAGGGACAATGACAATAAAGATATCGTATCGTATCGTAAAAAAAAGAAAGTGATGAATCTAAATGATACCTTTGTGCAGTAGGCTAATAACTACACACTCCTTCACACCCCTCTTTATCTGCCAGCCAGGCAAGCAAGAGGTTCAAGGACACATTCCAAACACACAAAGAAACTTGAGCAGGGGTGCAGATTGGGAGTCTTGAAAGACAAAGTGGCCTCAGAGGCACACACATTCTTCACCTGGGATAGCTCAGTTGGTGGGGTTATGAGACTCTTAATCTCAGGATTGTGGGTTCAAACCTCACGTTGGCCAAAAGATTCCTGCGTTGCCGGGGGTTGGACTAGATGACCCTTGTGGACCCAGTCGACTCTACCGTTCTTTGATTCCATGATTCAGGTACTGGAACCTGAGGTTCCCCACCTGTGTCTTATGAGTTCTGCTGCTAAGATTTCTTCCTGTCTTCTTCCTGCAGTTCAAGAGCCGTAAAGAAGATCGCGAGCGCAAGGGCTCCATTCCTTACCACCACACAGGGAAAAAGCGGCAGCGAAGGATGGGGGTGCCCTTCTTACTCCACGAAGACCATTTGGACGTGTCACCTACTCGGAGCACCTTCTCTTTTGGCAGCTTCTCGGGGATTGGAGAAGACAGGCGTGGCATTGAGAGAGGAGGGTGGCAAACGACCATCCTAGGTGAATGAGAACATGGCCTTCAGAGTAGAGAGCTCTCCAGACCCTGAATGCACTAGAATGTCCTGTTGCTTTTACGGACCAAAGGATACTGTTTGATTATGACTTAGCAATCTAATCTGATTTAATATTTTAGAAATTGCAGTGAAATTTGTGCCAGCTTTATAGCTGAACCACACATTTCTCTTGTTTGTCTGGGCTTAATAACTATGTTAATATGAATAACTATGTTTAAATATTTAATGATTTCAACAAACTGGGGGCAGAACATTTCCAGACATGCTCATTGATCCTGTCTTCACAGTCCAAATCCTGCAGCTTTTATATCACCCATTCACTGTGTTCAGTCCCCAGAAAACGTTTGCTTGGTGCATTTCTATCCCATCTATTTTCAGCCAACAGACCCAAATGTGGCTTGATCGCTGCAGCTTGCAAACATGATCATTTTGCAAAGCATCCTCATTAATAACATTGCACTATGAGCGTAACTGTGTGCTTCTTTCCCATGCTCTAGGAAGGTTTACCAGGCGAGGTAGTTCCGATACAGCTACAGAGATGGAGAGCTTGAGTGCTAGGCATTCCCATTCCCATCATACCCTGGTTACTGACCTGCCAGACCACTCCAACAGCCATGGTGAGATTCTATTCCAAGAGAGATTCTATTCCAATAATATAATTAACTATTATACCTGCTGTCGGCGTGCATCTGTCTCAAAAGACAGTGGAGTGCACCTCATGGGTGAAGTCAAACACCTGTGTTAGCAGCACTGAAGTGACCTCCCCAGGGTGCAAGTTGATCCGGAAGCTGCAGTTGGTGCAGAATTCTGCAGCATGATTGCTGACAGAAGTGACACCACATAACACCTGTGGCCAGAGATCTGCATTGGCTGCCAATTTGTTGGTGGGCCAAGTTCAAGGTATTACTATTACTAAATATTACTATTAAAGCCCTTAAGAACTTTGGATCAGTTTACCTACAAGATCACCCTACCCTGCATGCACTCACTAGACCACTTGATTGGAGGAACTGGCACTACTGCAAGTGCCACATGATACCTGTTCCACATTTGGAACTCAATTGTTCAGTGTGGCAGTGCCTGCATTTTGGAACTCCCTGCCTATTGAGAGCAAACAAGAGCCTTCACTGTACCCTTTTCGGAGCCTGCTAAAAACATTCCTGTTTTGACAGGCCTACCCAGATGCTTAGAAAGCTGAGGTAATTCTGTTTTGGCATTTTAACTTTTGTATGTTTTAAAGTAGGGTTGTAAAAAATTATTGATTTTCTTGTTTTATCTTTTGTAAACCGCTTTGAGGGTTTTAGGGTTTTTTTCAAACAAGTGATGAATAAATTTTATGGGGGGAAAACAAAAGACATAATATAAATACATTACCCCCCTTGTGAAGCTAACATTATCTGTTGTACTTCTGCCTAGTACGTTCCCAAATTTCCACCATCACAGTGGCAACATTCAACACCACTCTGGCCTCTTTCAATGTGGGGTATGCAGACTTCTTCAGTGAGCACATGCGCAAGCTCTGTAACCAGGTGCCCATCCCAGAGATGCCCCATGAGCCCCTGGCTTGTGCCAATCTCCCTCGGAGTTTGACGGATTCCTGCATCAACTATAGCTGCCTGGAGGATACAGACCACATCGACGGGACCAGCAACTTTGTCCACAAGAACGGCATGCTTGATCTTTCGGTAAATATTTATGGCAATACTCATTCTGACATTAGCTACTGCATTTTTTATTTTCTTCCCACCCACCCCATACATTTTTATTATTTTCTTTACATATTCTTTCTTATCGTACTTTAAACAACATATACACCTTTTTGCTCTGCCAAGCTTGTGATTTCCCTCCCTCCCTTCAGATGGTATCCTTTATCCACTCTCGTATTTTATCTTTTCATATCTTATCTTATCTACATTGTAGGAGTTACTTCAGTCCTGCTAGTGTTTTTAAGTTTTTACAACTGTCCTTTAAATATTCAATAAATTTACTCCAATTGTCCTGGAATCTCCGATCGTCCTGGTCCCGAATCCTTCCGCTCAGTTTGGCTAGCTCCACATAGTCCGTCATCTTCGACTGCCACTCCGCAATGGTAGGAACTTCTTGCGATTTCCAGTTTTGGGCCAACAAAGTCCTTGCAGCAGCTGTGGCATACATGAATAATCTTTGATCTTTGATCTTAATTTCCTTTCCCATCAGGCCAAGCAAAAAGGCTTCTGGCTTTTTGGGGAAGGTATACTTTAATATTTTCTTAAGTTCATTCTAAATCAACTCCCAAAATTTCTTCACTTTATCGCACGTCCACCACATATGATTGTACAGTGGTACCTCAGGTTACATACGCTTCAGGTTACAGACTCCGCTAACCCAGAAATAGTGCTTCAGGTTAAGAACTTTGCTTCAGGATGAGAACAGAAATCGTGCTCTGGCGGCGCGGCAGCAGCGGGAGGCCCCATTAGCTGACGTGGTGCTTCAAGTTAAGAACAGTTTTGGGTTAAGAACGGACCTCCGGAACGAATTAAGTACTTAACCCGAGGTACCACTGTATACACATTTTTGCAAGGCAATTTTCCTTTCCTTTCAGAACCGTACATGCCGTAAATTTCATACCTTCATTCCATAATTTTATCCATGCATACAATTCAATCTTATGCCCAAAATCTATAGCCCATTTTATCATAGCTTCTTTCACTTCCTCATCTTTCGTAAACCATTCTAGCAACAAATCATACATTCTGGATAGTGTTCTACCTTCTGCTTTCTATTAATTTGGAATCTTGATTTTTTACCCTCAAATCTGACTTTCCTTTTACCCTCACTCATTATGTCATTTACCTGATGGTATTGCAACCAGCCTGTTAACATACCTTTGATTTGGTCGTATGGTTTAAGCTTTAATCCTTGTTCCGTTCGTCTGATAATTTCCTCATACATTGCTCGCCTCCCCTCCATATTCACCTTTTTAACCGTCAATACCTCTATCGGTGATATCCACCATGGAGTTTTCCTTTCCAGTAGGTTTTTATTCCTTTCCCACACTTCATAAATTGACCTTCTAATCACATGATTTAAAAACCCTTTATTAACTTTTACTTTGTCATACCATAGGTACGAGTGCCACCTGTACTTATTATCGTGACCCTCTAAGTCCAAGAGATCTGTGTTTTCCAGTGTTATCCATTCCTTCAACCATACTAGACAGGATGCCTCATAATATAGATTCATGTATGGCAAGGCGATCCGCCTCTTTCTTTTTTGTCTATTAATATTTTCATTTTAATCCTCTGCTTTTTCCCTTGCCAGATGAATCTTGATAATGATTTTTGCCAATCTTTGAGTTGTCCCATCCCTCTGATTACTGGAATTGTTTGGATTAGGAATAGCATTCTAGGTAAAACGTTCATCTTTATCACTGATAATTCTACCCAGAAATGACAATTTCAATGCTCCAAATATCTAAATCCCTCTTAATTTCTCCTTCCATGTGTTTTCATAATTGTCTTTGAACAGATTAATATTTTTCATTGTCAACCAAATTCCAAGATATTTCACTTTCTTAACCACCATAATTCCTGACCTGCATTGCGATTCCTCTATTTCTTCTTTATTCATATTCTTTGCTAACATTTTGGTTTTATTTTTGTTAAGTTTAAATCCTGATACCTTTCCAAAGTCCTCCATTCTCTCTAAAGCGTCTCTTACACTGTTCTTTGGATCTTCAACAGTTAAGACTAAATCGTCGGCGAAGGCTTTCACCTTGTGCTCTTTTGTTCCCACCTTTACACCTCTGATTTCTGACACTTCTCTCAAATTCTTATTCAACACTTCCGAAACAGTAATAAACAGCAAGGGTGACAAAGGGCACCCCTGCCTAGTACCTTTGGAGATCTCAAAATTGTCTGATAAATTATTGTTAATAATAAGTTTGGCTTTTTGCTCTGAATATATAGCATCCATGCCTTTCAAAAACATTTCTCCTAATCCCATTATTTTTAAATTTTCTTTCATAAAGTGCCATTGTAACATTATCGAACGCTTTTTCGGCGTCACTAAACATTAACGTCGCCTGTTTTTCATTTCTCATCTCCAATATTCAATTATGTCTACTATATTTCTCACATTATCCTTCAACTGTCTTGATCAAGCCGGCTTGATCTTTGTGGATTACTTCATTTAACACCTTTTTTAGTCTATCAGCCAGTATATCCGCAAATAACTTATAGTTGTTCAATAACGAAATAGGCCTATAGCTTTTCACGTTCAAACCATCTGTGTCTTTCTTTGGGATCAAGGTAATGTAGGCTTCTTTCCAAGTATTTGGGATCTTTCCTTCTTTCAGAATATTGTTCGTAACTTCACATAGCACGGGTGTTAATTGACCTGCTAATGTCTTATAATATTTTGCTGAGACGCCATCTGGGCCTGGGGCTTTTCCAATATTCATTCTTTTTATTGCCTTCTCAATTTCTTGTTCTGTTATTGTCTGATTTAGCTGTTCTTTTTCTCCTATGGGAATCTGCTGTAATTTATGCTTTTGTATACAGTTTTCTATTTTCTTAACGTCTTCCTTCTCTTTTTTATACAAGTCCATGTAAAATTTCTGAAAATTTTTCCTAATTTCCTTAGGCTCTTCCACTGTCCCATCTACATCTTTTATCTTACAAATTGTATTTTGTTTTTGTTTAACCTTTAATTGCTATGCCAAGAGTTTCCCAATTTTGTTGGCCAATTCAAAATTCCTTTGTCTCATTGTCATTATTCTCCACTCTACTTCCTGGTTTACCACCATGAAGAACTGGGTCTGCAACAATTTAATACTTTGTTTTATTGACTCATCCTTTAGTTTTATTGTTAGCAGTCTCTCATTCTCCATGAGGTGAGCCAGGATTTCTTCTTTCTTCTTCTCCTTTCCTCTTTTCTGAAAACTGTTCTTTTGAATCAAGAAACCTCGCATCACTGCTTTGCTTGCATCCCACACTGTTTCAATAGGAGTTCCTTTATTTAAATTCCATTTAAAATATTCTGCAATTGCCTCATTTGCTTTTTCTACTATCTTTTGATCGTTGAATAAACTTTCATTCATTCTCCATCTGAAAGATGTGGGGTCTTTCCCTTTTAGTTCCATATATAGTGAATTATGCTCCTTGGGGAGATCTCAGTTTTTGAAACTCTTGGAACCAACTCCTTAGAAATCCAAAGTTATTCCATTCTGCCAGAACTTTGATTTGGTTCTGAAAAGAACGTGAACTGTTTTGTTGTTGGGTTTTTGAGTCTCCAAATGTCAATTAATCCCATAGCATTTACCATGTCAAAGAATATTTTCGGTAGTTTGCCTTCATTTACATTTCATCTTTTCCCTGATCTGTCTAAATCTGGCATAACCACTCCATTAAAGTCTCCCATTAACATCACTTTCTGATCCATACTATCTCTAATAGTATTTCATTAAGTTTTAGGTAAAAGTCAGCTTTCTTGTCAATAGGTGCGTAAATTCCCGCAATGATCAGCTTTTCACCTTGGAACATGATTTGTACAATCAACACTCTCCCTACCTCATCTTTGTAAATTAATTTTGGATTGTATTTCTCTTTTATGTACAATACCACCCTTCATTTTTTATTTATGTCTGAGGTTATAAAGTCTCTCCCCAACCTTTTGTTACTTAAAATCTTTTTATGTTTCCTTGCAACATGTGTTTCTTGCAAACAAATTTTGTTCTAAATTCCGTTTAATCAAAACATGTTCAGTTTTATTCCTTTTATTTTTATTGTTAAGTCCATTCACGTTCCATGATATTATTTTCAGAGCCATTATCCAATTTATTTAAGTCTCTTGTCAAATTTAAGTTAAGTTTGGGGAGCTTTGTTATTATCCTCTTTTTCTTCTTCCTCCTCCTCCTCCTCCTCTTTTTCTTCTTCCTTCTCTTTTTTCTTTTTTTCTTCCTCCCTCTGGTCCCGTCCTGGTCTTGCTTTCTCTATTTTTCCCAACTCTTTGTCATATCTCTAGGAGAATTTCTCTAGTTCTTGAAGGCTACTTAATTTGAACCTTTTGTCTTTTTAATAGAAGGAAATTCCTTCCAGGAATTCCCACCTATGCTGTTTCCCATTTTTTTTTCAACAATCCAACCAGTTGTTTATAAATGTCCCTTTTTCATAAAAATCTGGATGGAATATCTTTAAATATGATAATTTTCTTCCCTTCAATACATAAATTTCTATTATAATTCAATCTCAGAATTTCATTCCTCATATCCATTGAATTAAACATGACCAAGACATCTCCTGGTAATTTCTTCACTTTTGCTTTTGCTGACTTTACTTTTATTCTAAATGCATTTCCAATTGTAAATCTGATGTCTTCTTCTTTTAAATATATCCAAATTGGTAATTCTCTAATTATTTTGGCCCTTATATTCTAATTTGCTTCCTCAGGGATTCCTCTAAATTTCAAGTTCAATTGTTTTTGTCTCATCTCCAAAAGAGCCATATTATCCAACATCACTTCTTGTGTTACCTCTCCTCTGACCTGTTCTGTCTCCCTCTTTCTCTCCTTCAATTCTTTCTATGTTTGTCTCATTGAGTCTTCCAGTGTCTTAGATCTAGCTGCAATATCTTTTACTTTACTTGTCAATTCCCTCACTACTCCCTCTAGTTTCTTATCTAAAGTCTCCTTAACCTCCAATATTTTTTCTCCATATATTGTTCATTTTGTTTGAATTTCTTCCTTATTTCCACTATTAAACTGTCATAATCTTTAATTTCCTTACCAGCCTTTCCCATTTTCCTGTCTTTCCCCTGGGGTGCCGGTTCCCTTTTTCCCAGCCATAGAATCTTTTTTACTGTTAAAATCAATAACCAATTTTTAAATTCTCCTATGCAATTTTACTATCCTCTTCCAGGGGTTGCAAATCCATTCTAACTTTTCTCTTAGGTACAGTTCCCCTCAACTCCACTCGGTGGCAGCTAATGCATAAACGCCAAGTCCTTAAACAAAGTTACTTTCGATTTCTTTCTCTACCACGATGCTGTGTTCAAAGAAAGGAAAGGAAGAAAATAAAAAGATATTTGTAATCCAATTGAAGTTTATTATTTTTCAGCCACTTGTCGGCTTAATCCAAAACAGTGGATATCCCAGGAGACCAAATATTTGCCATCCAGTTGGGGTTTTTCTTATTTTTCAGCCGCTTGTTGGCTTAATTCAAGGCAGTAGATAGCCCAGAGAACCGACACAAATTCCAAATGCAATTAAATACAGAGTTTCCAGCACTCTCCTCCGATAGAAGAGCAGAGGTTTTTTTTAAAAAAAGTCCCGACGACAAAGCTCCCTTCCCCTAAACTGTGATAAACCAAGTGAAAGCCTTTAGCCAAGTCTTACACTTTTCCAAAGTTCCACAATAGTTCACTAATCAAAGCCTTTGCTGATTTTTGCCCGCTAGAACTGGCAAAACTTTCTCCATCAGAAAATGGTGGAGTGTGTCGAGTTCGGATTTTAAGCCACTGACAGGTTGAACTCCGACCAGAACCAAAAAGGAGACTCCTCCACTCTACTTCACTCGCCACAAAGTTATTTCTTATAAAAAAATCAGCCTTCGCACTTTAAACAAAGTAACTGAGGTCTTTTAGTAACACTCACTCAGCAGATACTTTCTTTCCTTGCTCCTTCCTGCAGCCTTCCGCCATACGCCCTCTTCTCCCAGCTGCCGGGACGGACTCCCTTTTTTCGCCCCTCAACGCTCCAAATCTTAATAAGTTAAATTTTAACGCGATGGTCAAATAAACTTTCCCAATTATAGTTCCAGGTTCTTTTTTTTTATTCTTGGAAGCTCGCCACTTTCATTAGAAGCCTGAGACTGCGCAGTGCGGGGTTAGTGCTGCCTCCCCTTCGTGCCTGCAGCTTGATCCCGTCTCTGGATTTATTAGCAAAACCCGGGGAGCAGGAAAGCACGACCGGGCACCGCCGGGTGCCATGTCCCCCAAGATAATCCTCTTGAGGTTCCGAGGTCCGCCTAGCCTTCGCTAAACTTCTAAAACACCCCGTGTTGCTCAAGATTCCCCAGAGGGCTATCTTGCACTTCTTTTCAATGGCCGTGGCTGTTTGCACTTGACATTCCTGGTGCAACTGGACTTCTCTCAGTGAGTTTTGTGTTCCAACACCTGGCACTCTGCTTGAGACCATATAAGGATTTCTGAAGTTTACAGACCATTCCCTTCTGTATCTGCATTCCATCAGGTGGAAGCATAAACAGCTCCTCCCCCAAAACCCCGTACAAAAAAGCTGTATTAATGTCGTGATGGGAAATGTGCAGTTTCTCCTCCGCAGCAATCTTGAGCATTAGCCGAATGCTCTCATACTTGACGGTGGGTGAGTAGGTCTCGTGGTAATCCTGTCCCGGTACCTGTGAAAAACCTCTGGCAACCAATCTGGCTTTGTGTCTGACAACCTTGCCATTCTGGTCTGTCTTGGCCTTGAAGACCCATTTGCTGCCAACCAGTCTCATTCCTGGGACTACCAGTACCAGCTCCCAAGTTTGGTTCCTATTCAAGGAATCAACTTCAGCCTTCATGGCATTAAGCCAAGGCTCAGCATCTTTAGAGGTTAACTCCTGAACCTCTTTGAAGCTTGAAGGTTCCCATACCTTCTCTGAGCTACTAAGAACAGCAGTTGCTGTGTTAGCAAACGCATCAGCAAATCTCTTTGGAGGTCTGCCTTTGGTGGCCCTTTCAGATCTGCGTACTATATGCAAGTCTTCTTCACTCATCTCCTCCTTCTTAGGAGAAAAGTGACCAATGGTGAACAGTGGTTCTTCCAGTTCATTGTCAGACGCATCAGATGGTCTGACTGAGGCCTTTGTGCTCTTGTAGTCTGCTGAGTCATCACTGTCGCTGACACCAGCAGCAGCGCTGCCCACTGAGCTGGAATCCGAACTCTCATCATCATCATCATCATCATCCTCAGCTTCCTCTTTTACCTCAACATTATCTGCTTTTTTCACATCATCTTCATCTTCCTCTGGGTAACTCTGGAAAATTCCCACATTCCCCCCCCCACTTAGGATTATATTCAACACTCTTTGTGAACTTAATGGACTTAGAGTCAGTCATCCATACCCTGTATGAACCTTTTTCGTACCCCATGAACAAACCATGTGCCCCACGCTTCCCAAGCTTGTTGCTCTGTGGGGTGTGTACCCACATGTCAGAACCAAAGATTCTCATGTGCTTGACGTAAGGTTTCTTACAAAACATCTTCTCATAGGGAGTACAACCAATAGGTGATGACAGTCTCCTGTTATAGGAATATACGAACGAGTTCAAAGCCTCCCCCCAGAACTTCTCAGGGAGATTGGCATCATGCAACAAGGTTTTTAGGCCTTGAAGCAAAGTTTGGTTTGCTCGCTCAGCAAGTCCATTCATCCATGGCGATCTAGGCGTTGAGAGGTCATGCTGGATTCCCTTCTCAATCAGGAAAGCTTCAAACTGCTGAGAAGTGAACTCCCCGCCTCGATCAGTAAACAAACAGCCGATACGTTTACTGTGAGCATTCTCCAACCAAGCACAGAATGCCTTGAACCTAGGAAACACTTGCGATTTCTGCTTGAGCATAAACACATGAATGTACCTGGGAAAAGAATCAATTAGAACCATGAAGTACCTTGCTCCACCCAAAGAGGGCGCAAGTGGACCAACCAGGTCTGCGTGGACTAGCTGGTAGGGTTTGGAAGCCTGCCTGCTAGACTCCTTGCCTTTTGGAGCAACCTTCACCTTGTTCTCTGCACAAGATACACATTTCATGTGAAACTTACAGGGCTTGATGTTCAAATCCTGAACCAACTCAGGCATCTTGGCCAGTGCCTGCCAAGACATGTGTCCAAATCTTCTGTGCGCCTTGTGAATACATCCTGCATGAAGAACTTTGTTAGTTTGTGCAACACAACAAGAATCAACATTAGACACAGCAACAGCATTGTCATCATAAGTTATACAGAATAAGCCATCCATAAACTTTGCATGCAAAATGTCCTCTTTGCCTTTCCTGATGACACAGACGCTCCTCTTGAAGGAAATCTCAAAGCCACGCCCAGTCAGCTGTGGGACACTGAGCAAATTGTCTGCAGAATCTGGAACATAAAATACATCTATGATGGTTGTGTGCAGACTTGCCAGTCTCACATTCCCGACTCCTGCAATTCGCAACGTCTTTCCATCAGCCTGGTGGATCTCTCCATCTTGAGGTGTGAAGGAGATAAACAGATGCTTGTTGTTGGCAATGTGCCTTGAATCAACAACAAATTTGGCTTTGGCCTTTGGAGCAGCCTTTCCAGCAAGCAAAACCTTGTCTTCCACCGGCTTGGGCTGCTGCTTGCCCCCCTGCTCCTGGCCATCAAACTTGCCTTTGGCTTTTGGAGAAGCAGTGCCAGCAAACAAAGCCTTGTTTTTCCCTGGCCTGGGCTTTCCTCTCCCCCTCTGCTTCTGGCCATCTGCTGGCTTCTTCCTTTGTTTATTTCCAGTCTTTGGACAAAACTTCTGAGTGTGACCTTGGGTCCCACAGTTCCAGCACTTCACAGCTGCCAACGCTTTGGCTCCCCCTGGAGGCTGGAATGCTGTCCCACATTGCTCCCCCTGAAGCGCACAAGCCGACTCAGCTGCATTCCACCTATCATATTCATTTTGCAAGGTCGCCAAGACCTTTGTTGCAGTGAGGTCCTGTGCAGGTAGAGTCGCCAGCTGACTTGCCACGGCATGGTAGCTTTCATCCAGGGAGTCCAGGATGAGAATTGCAAACAGTGACTCAGGCATATTGAAACCTCTCTGAGTCAATTCCTGTCTGAGATGCTGCAAATGTAAAACGTGGGCTCTAAGGTCTTCCCCTGGTTCCAAACGCTTCCTGTGCAGCTTTCTGAAGTAAAGCACAGACCCAGCCTCTTGTCGGAGATGACAGCCTTTAAGCCCGTCCCACATCTCACGGGCACTGGCCTTGCCAGCCAGGGTGATTAACTCTTCAGGAGCTACTGAGAGCAAAATTATCCCCATGGCTCTTGAATCCTGTGCCTTCCATTCATCTGTCACAGGGGCTGGGGGGTCCTCAGAAATAGTATTCCACACACCAAGCCTTCTCATCTGGCCCTCACAGTACCTTGCCCAGGTCTGATAATTGTGGCCATTTAGCTTTGGTGGACACGGAGCAGCTTCTGAGGATTGTAAAAGATCCATCTCAGCTATTCACTTGAGCCGTGAGCCTTTTTCACTTCAGAGGCTCCTTATCTTGGCTACTCATAAATCTCGAAGACTGCTTGGCTCGACTCCCAGGCTAATGAGCCAGCCGGAGTTCAAAGACTCTTCCGCGGCATCGAAAAGTCTTACTTTTCTCCACATACCTCACAGCAGTCTGTCGCAGTCTTACTCTCCTGTAAGTGCCATGAATCTGGGCCCGAAACCTGTTGTTGGGATACTGCCAGGGAGACAAAGGCCATCATGCCTACACGTCGATTCCGGACGATCCATCGATCTCCCGTAGATACAGTATCAGTCAATTAGCGACACAAGCCTCAGAAATAGCTTGCCACATTCCAGGGCTTGTGCACGCTCTTTCAGCAGAGTTCGCACAGCGAAAGATGCACTCAGGAGAGCATTATTTACAACTTTATTCAGCGTTGGGTTGGAACAAAGAGAAAACATGACTGCCTGCTTCGATGTTCAGGCGCAGAGAGAGAAACAAAAACTACATACAAAACAGAAACATCCTGTGAACAGGAAATACGCAGGCTGTGACACAACAACCTGCTCCCTTTTTAAGGTGGAACGGAAATATCCGCCGGAAGTCTGCATTTTTAATTTTCTAAATATATGTAAACCACTTGGAGTTCTTGGATAAATATTTATTTTGCGAGGAATAAATATAAGAAATAAGAATAAACATATAAATAGCAATTTGAAGGACTGTCCATTTCTGTGCATTGACTTCCACTGTGGTCTCATTATGAACCAGGTCCCTCACCCCTGCAATTTGCACTTGACAGAAACTCCCTATAAATTGAACCTGTAAGGTGAAAGACTAATGACTGTCCAGTCATGAAACACTCTCAGTTTCTGATCCCAAAGTACTTTTTCAATAACTGCTGTGGCTGGTGCATTACTCTCTCACCTCTTATGACAATTCATTATGGTTTCGCTAAAAGGCAACTCTGTTAGAAACATGACCTAGATCAATTCTGGCTGAAGAGTAAAGACAGAGACTTGTTTTGGTAAGCTTCTATAAATGGCATACACCTCAGTGCACAGCACATCACGCCACAACCAAGCTCACCTTGAAGTGACGTACCAACCATGCTTTGTAAATGACCACATAAAAGTTCCCGCAGTGAATCCCATGGCAAAATCTGTCTTTGCTGCCAGCTCAGCCAGGATTTTGAATGCTGTCTGTAAGAACAAAATTGTTTGCAACATCTTGCTTTATATACTCCAAGGTGGTTCTCAAGGCTGTTTTCCTGGTCCTGAATCACGACATCAGCTCCCGAATCTGTGATGTGGCCCTCAATATTGTGGAATGCCTGCTTCAGCTTGGTGTGGTGCCCTGTGTGGAGAAGATCAGAAGGAAAAGTGACAACAAAGAGAATGAACCCAGTGAGAAGAGACAAAGTGAGACCTCCTTCCAACTCAAGGGGGCTCTGAGTAGTTCAACCTCTGGATTTGGTGTTGCCCCAGCCAGCACAGCTGGAGATGGCGGTGGAGAAGAAGGAGGAGGAGAAAGTGGTGGAGGAGATGGAGGAGGAGGTGACGGAGGAGGAGAAGGTGGAGGAAGACCTTATGAAAAGAATGATAAAAAGGAAGACAAGGTAAATGTTGGTTATATGAGGCTGATTAACCCACCGTTCATTGTCATAGATTGGATTGTCTGGGAGCACAAATAATAATATAATAATTTATTATTTGTACCCCGCCCATCTGGCTGGGTTTCCCCAGCCACTCTGGGCGGCTTCCAACAAAGATGAAAAATACACTAAAATGTCACATATTAAAAACTTCCCTGATGTCTTCTGAATGTCAGGTAGTTGTTTATCGCTTTGACATCTGATGGGAGGGCGTTCCACAGGGCGGGCGCCACTACCGAAAAGGCCCTCTGCCTGGTTCCCTGTAACTTGGCTTCTCGCAGTGAGGGAACTGCCGGAAGGCCCTCGGAGCTGGACCTCAGTGTCCGGGCAGAACGATGGGGGTGGAGACGCTCCTTCAGATATACTGGACCGAGGCCGTTTAGGGCTTTAAAGGTCAGCACCAACACTTTGAATTGTGCTCGGAAACGTACTGGGAGCCAATGTAGGTCTTTCAAGACCGGTGTTAAATGGTCTTGGCGGCCGTTCCCAGTCACCAGTCTAGCTGCTGCATTCTGGATTAGTTGTAGTTTCCGGGTCACCTTCAAAAGTAGCCCCATGTAGAGCGCATTGCAGTAGTCCAAGCGGGAGATAACAAGAGCATGCACCACTCTGGCGAGACAGTCTGCAAGCAGATAGGGTCTCAGCCTACGTACCAGATGGAGCTGGTAAACAGCTGCCCTGGATACAGATTTGACCTGTGCCTCCATGGACAGCTGTGAGTCCAAAATGACTCCCAGGCTGCGCACCTGGTCCTTCAGGGGCACAGCTACCCCATTCAGGACCAGGGAATCCTCCACACCTGCCCGCCTCCTGTCCCCCAAAAACAGTACTTCTGTCTTGTCAGGATTCAACCTCAATCTGTTAGCCGCCATCCATCCTCCAACCGCCTCCAGACACTCACACAGGACCTTTACCGCCTTCACTGGTTCTGATTTAAAAGAGAGGTAGAGCTGGGTATCATCCGCATACTGATGAACACCCAGCCCAAACCCCCTGATGATCTCTCCCAGTGGCTGCATGTAAACGTTGAAAAGCATGGGGGAGAGGACAGAACCCTGAGGCACCCCACAAGTGAGAGCCCAGGGGTCTGAACACTCATCCCCCACCACCACTTTCTGAACACGGCCCAGGAGGAAGGAGCGGAACCACTGTATCACAGTGCCCCCAGCTCCCAGCCCCTCAAGACGGTCCAGGAGGATGTTATGGTCGATGGTATCAAACGCCGCTGAGAGATCCAGCAGAACTAGGAAACAGCTCTCACCTTTGTCCCTAGCCCGCCGGAGATCATCAACCAGTGGGACCAAGGCAGTTTCAGTCCCATGATGAGGCCTGAATCCCGACTGGAAGGGATCCAAATGGTCCGCTTCTTCCAGGCGTGCCTGGAGTTGTTCAGCAACCACTCGCTCAATCACCTTGCCCAAGAATGGAAGATTTGAGACTGGGCGATAATTGGCCATCATGGCTGCATCTAAAGATGGTTTTTTAAGAAGCGGTTTAATAACCGCCTCTTTCAGCGGGTCTGGGAAGGCTCCCTCACGGAGGGAAGCATTCACCACCCCACGAAGCCCATTGCCCAGTCCTTCCCGGCTAGCTTTTATAAGCCAGGATGGGCAAGGATCCAGGAGACAGGTGGTTGGCTTCACTCGTCCAAGCAGCCTGTCCACATCCTCGGAGGTAACAGATTGGAATTGATCCCACGCAACTTGACTAGACAGGACTCTAGCACTCTCCCATCCTGGCCCTGCTCCCACGGTGGAGTCTACTTCTTCCCGAATCTGAGCGATTTTATCTGCAAAAAACTTTGCAAAATCATTGCAGGAGATCATGTGGCCCGTACTGGGCCCTGATGTCGCAGGTGGTTCCGCTAAATTGTGAACCACCTGAAAAAGTCTCCTGCTGCTGTTTTCTGCAGATGCAATAGAGGCGGCGAAGAAGGTCTTCTTCACCGTCGCTATCGCCACTTGGTAGGCTCGACGTTGAGCTCTAACCTGTGTCCGGTCAGATTCGGAATGAGTTATCCGCCACCGGCGCTCTAGCCGTCTCAACAATTGTTTCATTGCCCTCAGATCCGTGGAAAACCACGGGGCTGTCCGGGCTCCATGCAATCGGAGAGGGCACTTCGGAGCCAAACAGTCAATAGCCCTGGTTAACTCCACATTCCAGTTGGCCACCAGGGAATCGGCTGAAAGGCCATCAACATGGGATAAAGCATCCCCTACCACTCTCTGGAAACCATTTGGATCCATTAAGTGGCGGGGGCGGACCATCCGAATTGGTCCCACCTCCCTGCAGAGGGGATGGGTCGCAGAGAAGTCCAGTTGCACCAGGAAGTGATCTGACCATGGCACTTCTTTCATTTCGCTTTTACTTAGTGTCAGATCACCAACATCCATAGAGGTAAACACCAGATCCAAGGCATGTCCGCGGCTATGGGTTGGGCCAGAGTTATTCAGGGACAGCCCCATGGAGGCCATGCTTTCCACGAAGTCCCGAGTGGCCCCTTGTAAGGTCGTGTCGGCATGGATGTTAAAATCCCCTAGGACAACCAAGCTAGGTGTCTCCAGGAGAACATCCGCCACAACCTGAAGCAGCTTGGGCAGGGAATCCTTGGTGCAGCGGGGAGGTCGGTACACCAAAAGGAATCCTGTACTGCCCCTATTGCCCAACTTCTAGAACATGCACTCAGAAAACTGGGTCTTCCCAATAGGACACCTGGTGCAAACTAATGACTTCCTAAAAATCACTGCAACCCCCCCTCCCCGCCCACATGACCTGGGTTGCTGTGCGTAAGAGAAACCTGGTGGACAAGCAGCGGCAAGGACAGGCCCATCTGCTTCATCCAACCAAGTCTCTGTTACACATGCCAGGTCAAGTCCTCCATCCATGATCAAGTCATGGATGGCAGTGGTCTTATGAATCATTGACCTGGCATTGCACAGCAGCACCTTCAGGTCATGTGGGTATCCCTTGCTGATTCTAGTATCCATCCGGTCAGGACCAGACCTGGAGGCAGGGATAGTCCTCAGACAACGACTAAACCTGCCTCCTCTGTAATGATATGGTCTGGTCTTAGCGTAACTCCTCGTCCTACCCGTGATCACTGAGATCGGTTGTCCCAGTGCATCCCCCCCATGGAACATGCCCCAGCCATTTTGTTGGCTGGGACCCACTCCCCGGCAGCCCTGACCCCCCCCCTTAAGAACAGAATAACACCTTAAAAAAACAACCAATAAAACAATACAAACAAAAAACAGTAAAAATTACAAAAACATAAAATCAAACAAATTCCCAGGCCCAATAAACATCCATCCCACCCCCACCCCCCACATACAAAAAATTCAAAAGAATTTTTAAAAAACATTTTAAAAGCACTCTGCACCCCTCCAGAAGTAACAGCAACTGTCCTAGTGAGGCCCGTCAGGCCCTGCCCTGGGCCAGGTGGTAAGTGGCAGGAAGGAGCAGGGGCCCCAGACACTCACACAGGAGAGCCCTCCTGGGCAGCAGAGCGCAGCAGTCCCTGTGAGGCTTCAGGCCCCGCCCTGGGCCAGGTGGTAAACAGCAAGAGCAGGGCCCTCAGACACCCACACAGGAGAGTCCTCCTGGGCAGCCCCACAAAAACAACCTGGAATGTTATATACATCTGCTTCATGCAATAAAATGGGATATTGTTGTCTCTTACCCCCTGTTGCTAAGGAGGAAAGCACTCCAGCAAGCACACACAGGTTGGCCCTGACAATGCTGATAAAAATTGTGAAGTCTCTGGGCTGTGCATATGGCTGTGGAGAAGGTCACCGTGGGCTCTCTGGAGACCGGCTGAGACATCAGGTATGCCATGGCAGAACAATGGATGGAAGCAGGATTCTTAAACCATTTTGTAGAGTTCCTGGTCTGAGCAGCTCACAATGTTCATCTCGGTCTGGAATTGTATGCGGAAGGCAAGACATTCTGCACTCATGATTCCTAACTGTGAAGCCTGTGATTTAGCACTAGAGGACAGGAGTGAGTAAGGGGCATTTTGCTGTATGTGAATGCTCCAGCTAGAAATAGAGGAATCCCTCCTAATCTGCCCCATCTTGCTTCCACATGTAGACATTTAAAAACACACCCCAGCACATTTCTGTATAGCTCTTTTAGGATAATTCCAGGGAAATTCTAAAAAGTCCACACACAAACTTTTATACAAACACACTTGAATATTTGTGAGGTCCAATGGCATCCTGCCATTTTTCTTGCTTATTTGCACTCTGGTCAGTGACCGAAATAAATTGATTCATTCTTGCTTATAACAGTGTAAAGCTGGTTAGAACAGCTTCAAAGCATGGCACCTCTGCCACACCAGGTAAAGATGCTTTAAAAATGATGCAGGAAGTGGTCACACAGTACTTCCTGTGTAATTCTGTGCACAAAAGACCACAATCCATTCAAAACAACGGCTGCCCCCATGTTGTACTGTTGGGCAACCATTATTTTTTTTAAACCATTTACATCAATGCCCACTTAATGGGACTGCATCATGGTCAGCTTTGGTTGAACTGCTCTGATTTTTCAGTCTGTGTGTACATGTGCATGCATTTGCGTGTCCTGGCTAGACTGGCTCCAATAGCATCTGGAGAACTGAAAGAGTTGGCCAAATGGAATCCAAGATTAACCAGTCATCCCTAAGACATAGCATCCTTGATAGGGCAAGACTTGCCAAGACTGTACCCCTTGCTGGCACTGCATGGGAACCAAAGTTTGGTGTGGGAGTTGAACGAAGGGCAGAAATGCGTGCTCTGGGTGACGCACAGCTCCCCTATGAAAATTGCAACCCTGTGTGTCCATTCATCTCTCCTGTCGTGTGTTGTAATAGATAACCCATGACCAACTGTTATCAATTATTTTTTTGTCCCTTCACATTGAAGCTCTGTCACTGGGAGCATTTTTTACGCCTTCTCATTTAGTACACATGGTCAATGAAGAGGAGACGCAGGGCTGTTCCAGGCTCAGTTTCTTTCTTTGTTCTCCAAATAATACATGGTTGCTGTCACCAGAACCTAAGTGCCTGATCTTCCCTCCATAGGCTCAGAATTGCCTCACAAAGTTGTACAAGCTGGATAAAATGCAGTTCCGACAAACCATGAGGGACTATGTAAACAAGGATTCACTCAACAATGTGGTGGATTTTTTACATGCCTTGCTAGGTTTCTGCATGGAGCCAGTCACTGACAGTAAGTATAAGCTGTTGTTGGAAAACCCCCCCACACTTTACCCCCCCTTTTTTTAAAAATATCTTTCTCTCCTTTCCTTCCTTCTTTCCTTCCTTCCTTCCTTCCTTCCTTTGGTGTCCTCTGCTATGGACTGTTGTCCGGGCCCAAAGATTGCACACGCATGAAACTGGTAGGTGGGTGGTGGAAGGGCCCTGAGAGAGATGCAGGGAAGGGAAGATCTCCCAGGGTGAGAGACTGGGAGAAGAAAGGAAAGCTCCCAGGTGAGAGCTGGGAGGGTCCACCACTTTCTGAGTGAGATAAGGGTTAAGAGCTACCTTTGAGAGAAGAATCTGTGTTTTTGTTTTTATTTAGATTAGCTTATTTTATCTTATTGTATTATGGAAAAGCATTAATAAAACCTTAGTAAATATAGGCTGTTATTATAAGATTCCTTAAGAGAAATGACACTGCTACAAAACATAGGAGCTGTAGATGTCAAGAGTATTATTGATTCAGATTTTGCCATTTTTTGTGTGAAAACCGAACAGTTCAACTTGACTATTTAATGCTTGCGTTTTGCAGACAAGGCTGGTTTTGGAAATAATTTCACAACAGTGGACAACAAGTCTACTGCCCAAAGTGTGGAAGGTATTATTGTCAGTGCCATGTTCAAATCGCTTATCACCCGCTGTGCCTCTACTACACATGAGCTTCATAGCCCTGAGAATCTGGTAAGGACAACACTGAAATCCTAACACGATTAATTTCAGTCCATACTGTTTTAGTGGCCTAAGTATTGATACTATTGTTGACCTGAGAGAGCACCAGACAGAGTTCATCCATAAGGAAAATGTTGACTGTATGCACTTCTTTTGCCTCCAGTTTTGACAAAGATTTCCAATTAACACAAATTTAAATCCTCTGTATACTAGAGCTGTGCCACTTCTCTCAGTGGAAAATCATGTTGCCTTCCAGAATCTGCTCTGCAGTTCTCAAAATCTTTATGTAAAATATCCACATTTGTTTCTAATCCAATCACCATTAATTTACCTGAATGAGTTTTTTCCATGTTGGGTGAGATGATGGCAACTCTTGAAAAAGCCAAAACACTTTATTGGTTAAATTTACTTCATATTTTTGAGATTCTTAGTTACGGCTGCTTGAAAACGAAAGGACCGAAGCTTGGGCCGATATTGTTTCAAAGCATGATTCGGGGGAAATGATTCTGATGTTTGCTTCAATTGGCTTCCAAACACATTAAATCTTTCATTCTTTTTTTCCTTTTCACTTTCTAATCCTGCACTCCATAGGGATTGTATTGTGACATCCGACAACTGGTTCAGTTTATCAAGGAGGCTCATGGGAATGTCTTTAGAAGAGTAGCCCTTAGTGCCCTTTTGGATAGTGCTGAGAAGTTGATACCAGGAAGAAGAGCAGAGGAAACAGCTGAACAGGAGCCCAAACCATCAGGCAGTAAAAGGTTTGTAACCGAAGTGCAAAACACACAGAGATGTTTGAGTGATGCCCTGTTCTACCTTTCCCCTAATGCAAATGTGCAGAACCAAGCACCCCAGCATAAGGAGTATGCAGGAGTAAGGAGATAAATGATATTCACACAATTTTGCTAGGGCTTAAAAACTTTTATAACACAATTCTTCTCCTTCAGACCTTGTTGATATTAATGCAACAGAGAGCACAGTTTATTTGCTTGAAGTCCAATGAAATCCATGGCTCTGAAGCACACTTAAGGGCTGCACACAGATTATTCATCATCTCAAAGACCGCCCCATTAGATATCCACAAAGCAGGACTGAAGGACTCTTGACTTAAGCAGACACCTTAAGTTTGATCATAATTTGTACCTGTGAGATCCAGACTTAAAGCTCACTCTGCAGGCTTGTTTCTTTCTAGAGAGTGTTTGAAAAGTGGAGTGTGGTCCTATCCACGTTTATGTTGCAATTCTATGCATATTTACTAGGGAGTTAGTCTTCTTGAGCACAGTGGGACTTACATCTGAGTATGTATCAAGCTGTGAGTCTTTAAAAGTGGATCGTCAACTATTTATTGCACATTTTGAGCACCTCGGTGCTTGTTGCCTGTCATGACAGATTTGTGATGGCAGTGCATACAGATGAGGCAATTCCTAGAATGGGAACATGGACCTCCAACTTCATATTACAGGAATACAAGGTAGGGGTTTCAAAAAAAATATTACTGTACATGTGGCTGTTTCGTCTGCATAGATCTGAAGTGGGAAGTGTTGTCATTGACAAAGGACAACCGTCTTCAGCTCCCGATGAATGCCGCAGTTACATCTCAAGCCGCCCAATGCAGACTCCAGAGCAGTAAGTAAATATTTTGGAGCTCAAAGGTATATTCAGTCTTCCCAAGAAATCTGGTAAGCATTCTAGTCACCACCTTTAGATATTCTAGCCTTAATTGATGTAACCCACAAATGTTCACCCTTCTGAGCATGAATTGTGCTGACGCTTTAAATTTAAGCGTAAGAACAGCAACAGACAGGCTACCATCATGAATTGTTCAAACCATGGATAGTTATGGAATGTGGGACTGGGTCATCGGTGAATCCATTTGTGAAATAATATAATAATATTTTGTTCCCGGCCCCTGTGTGTGTTGGCAAATCGTGTATAAGCAACCCCACCCCATTATGCCCTGCCCCATTCTGTTACACCTTTTTTGTGACACATTTAGTAATGTTTTCAGTCACTTCTGGGTTCAGTGCTGTGTGTGTGTGCATCATTACGTGTTTTTTCGGACACAGATTAATCCAGGGGTTGGCAAACTAAGGTCCGTGGGCTGGATCAAGCCCAATTGCCTTCAGGATCTGGCCCTCGGACTGTCCTTGGATCGGCGTGAGGATTCTGTTCATTTGGGCTGCACCATTTCCCCCCCGCGCCATTCCATTTCTCCCCCCCCCATACCCAGTAGTGGTGCCTCCTCCCTTCCTCCTCCTGGCTTCTCCCCGCCCTGCCTAGAGGAGGAAGGGAGCTGGCTGAGCGCCATTTTAAGCAGCCCCTCTCCAGAGCCAGCCCTTTCGCACCGCTCATCATCCGTCTTTCGCGCCGCTCATCATCCGTCTGCCGTCTCTTGTGCTCCTGTGGGCCAGAGAGTGGAGCAGACGAGCTCACTCTGCCTACCCACAAGAAGAAGCGGTGGTGGTGGTGGCAGCCCCTGGGAAGGTAAGCGCAGCAGCTGGGGCTGGGGGGTGGGGACTTCTTGCCCCCCTCGCCTCTTCTTCTAGCTCCCCCTCCCCCGGTGCTGCTTCTCCAGCCCGCGACAAGGTGTGAGTGACAGTGGACCGGCCCATGGATAAAAAATTTGGTGATCCCTGCATTAATCAGTCATCGCCTGTAGTTGAAGTAACAAAGGATGAGGTTATCAATGTCTACACGAGGGGCAGAATTGAACTAAGTTGTTGCATGCATGGACTGAGGTCTACTTACGCAATGGATTTCCCCCTCTCCTCCCCCTGTACCCATCCCCCTAAAGCTGCCCTGGAGGATTGAGAACTGCATATAATGGAAATCAAATTTCCCTCGCACTTTAAAGATTTTTGTGTGTTTAGGGTTTTTTTTGCAACAGAGATGTAGGTGTAAATAATACATGAAGTCAAAAACATCTTTTGGTATGTCTTAATTTGTAAATAAGAGGTATGGAGTCAATCTCGTCTGAAAATCATAGCTGGATTCATTTAAATGGAAGCTCTTTCTCTGTCCATAAATGTGCAGAGAATTTTTTTTTTTTTTTTGAGGGTGGGGGGGACAACGGCTTTCTTCACCTGTGTAATGCCACACTTTCCTAAGTAAGTGCTGTATATTACCTATTGCAATGAAAACAGCATAGTTAAAAATTGCTGCCTACCAAATCAAAACATTACCATCTGCCACTGCCTCCACTTCATTCTTCCAGCCTTCTCTCTTCCTTTCCCTTCCCCCTAATGACTTCTTTGTGCATAGTAGCGCTGCAGTGCTGCAGTAGAAAATATCTAAGTCCATAGAAATAATTGCATTGGATTAAACTGAAGAGTGATTGTACAATTAGCAAAGGCTCAAAAGATAATTACTCAGAACAACCCTGATTTGTGTATGGTTTGTTTATTTGGATATTTTGTTTCATAAAGCTCAATCTTTAATTTAATATTGCCCGAACAGTTAATGGCCAGCTTGAAGACTTACTCAAGTTCTCATGCAGTCTGTGGTTGAAACATGGCCCCACAGAGGATTTGCCTGTTTACCCATAGCTCCATTGCTATGATTATGCCATCTGTCAGGGAGAGGAAATGAATCACATTTTTTAATGATATGGATATGATTACATTACATCTAATCCTTACATTAAAAGAGTGGGCTGAGAACAATGGTATGAAAATGACACATCCCTACAACAAGTGCTTTTTTTGTTGAAGAGTGTGTGTGAAATAATTATCATGAGCATTAGAGAGGATTCTTTCCAAAAGGTGATCAGTTGGTCCGTGGGCTGCTACTTCTAGTGCCTCGCTGTTTTGGCATAGCCCTTTATACCAGAGGTGGGCAGAAGTTGGGTTGGGTTCCACTGGGAGATCTTAAAGTGATTTACAGTAGATTGGTAAGGATTTCTGACTCCCAATAGCCTGACAATTGCAATCTAAGAAATAAAATCTTTTGTGACACCCAGCATTTAATAGCTTTACAACCCAGCCTTTGTGTTCCTTACCTCTAAAATGGATATTACCGGTAATTGGTTGCCTACAGCTGGGTCTTTGTGCAACTGTGCTAGCCAGTTTGAGAGTTTTGCGATCTGCAGTAACTCATGTGTAATTTCTATTTGTCTATGCAAATTATGGCAGTCAATGTCTTGGGGTGCAAAGTCACTATCTTGTGCTCTAGTTAGTGGAGCTTGTGATTCTAGTAAAAAAAAACAGTCAGTACCATAAGCCTGTAGCCTTGGGCTGTGTACATACCATACATGTAAAGCTCACCCCACCCCTAAAGAATCCTGATGCTGGGAATTGTAGCTCTGGGAGGGGTAAACTACAGTTCCCAGGATTAAATCTACAGCATGCTGTGTATGCAGCCTCTTACTATATCAAGAGGGTTTGGAAAACCTCTCTCTCAGACTTGGCATTGCCCGCCATTTGCAGTACAGGGATAGTAACACTGGCCTACCTTACAGGGTTGTTGTAAGGATCAGAGGACCATGTACTGAGTGTTTATGAGAATCCAGAACACTAAGCAAATGTTAAGTAGAACAATGTTGTGCCTTACTAGCCTATTCTTGACAAAGCTGAGCACCAAAGAAAGCTAACAAAATGTCACACAATCCTCTGACCGCTAGAGCACAGTAGAAAAGGTAAGGTGCTCCCATTCTTTGTGCATTCCTGGGTACATTTGGCTAAGCGTTACGAACCATGCAATTTGTTCCATTGCAGTGATGAGCAGATGCAAGGAGCAGCCCTAGGGCGCAAAGATTTCTGGCGAAAGATGTTCAAATCTCAGAGTGCAGCGAGTGATACTAGTAGCCAGTCGGAGCAGGATACCTCGGAATGCACAACTGCGCACTCAGGGGCAACCACTGAGAGGCGATCCCGCTCTCGCTCAAGGAGGATCTCACTCCGAAAGAAACTCAAACTCCCCTTAGGTAAATGTATGCCTCTTCACATGATATTATCATATAACATTTAATATATTTTCTATTTTTCCATGTATCAGTGCACAGACATTTTCAGAGAAATGTTCTGTTCATATTTTAGCATCACCTGGAGAATATATATTATTCAGTCTTCCTCCATATTTATTACCATCCATTTCTGTACAAAACCTCTTTCATATAAAACATGTGTGCCAACCTTTTGTCATGTGATGTAGCTTCCTTGGTACCCACATTTACTGCTGGTAGATTCACACACATGCTCACATTTTTCTATGTTCTCTGTACAAACAGGGAATTGGCTGAAACGCTCATCCCTTTCTGGTCTGGCAGATGGTGTGGAAGACCTTCTGGACATCAGCTCTGTGGACCGGCTCTCTTTCATCCGGCAGAGTTCCAAGGTAAATAAGTTTCCTTGAACTCATAGAGAGATGAAGAAGTCTGGAGATATGCATAGTGCACTTGTTTTTGTCACGTCTCACTCCTTGTAGATGACCAGTAACAGTTGAATAAGTCTGAGGATGGAAAATGTGCACTTCGCAATACAGATGACAGTCTCTTAATTTGTTCTGCAACACAAAGACTAGGAACAACCCTACTGGAAGCTCGTACTTGATTGTTCTTAAAACCACCTTTTTCTGGGAAGGAGCCATGTATGGGTTCTAAGTTAGCATCATTTACACTTGTTAATGCTTGTGGGTGGTTTTAAGTATCTAAATGTTGTCCATTTCTTTTATCCACAGATGTGTTAGGTAGGTTGCTACTTCCCATTATGCACAGTTATAATCCATTATGGCTTTTCTGTGTGCATATTGGGACATTGACAAGAAAAAAAGCACAAAATCCATTCCCTTAGGCCATGAAGCAGAGGTGCTCAAAGAGCAAGTCTTTCCTTGTAGGACTCCAGCTGCCCACATTTAGCAGCAAAATAAGGCCAAGGCACATGAGTTTTTGTCTTGCAGTAGACCCTAGTGGTGTTTCATTCTAGAACTTATGCCACAGCACTTAGCAGTAAGTCTTCTGGGAGCTTCAAAATGTTGCATGTAGAAGAATGGGAATGAGGGACTGTTACATCAGAAGAAGCTGAAAGAAGGGGCATTAACAATGAATGGCACACCTTCTTTTTGTTTAGGTGAAATTCACTAGTGCCGTGAAGCTGTCTGAAGGAGGGCCAGGAAGTGGCTTGGAGAATGGACGAGATGAAGAGGAGAATTTCTTCAAGCGTCTTGGTAAATGGCGCACCTGCCGAAGACATCCATCCAAGCTTCATCACACAGAAGAAAAAGATGGTTAGAAATCAGGGTTCTGTTTCTTCAGTCCTTTTTTGCTTCCCCTCCCCTGCTCCATTCTTTGGTTACTTTTCTTCATCAATTTATCCTTTATCTTTTTTTAAACATGGTTTTTGAACTCATTCTGCTTCTCTCTCTGGCTCTGCATACTTTGTAGCCCTTTTTGTTCTTTTTTTCTTTTTATGCCATTTTGATTTCAGTGTAATTCTAACCAAGAAGGAAAAGCAAATATGGGTCAATAAATTAAACTAAAGTAACATTTGGACTTCCAAAAAATCAAGCCCTCTAGCTTTAGGGGGAAAATTTGGAAATCATTTGAAAGCAGGGGTCTGATTTCAAACATATTATGCTAAAATTTAATTTCACTCTTTGATGTGAAATTATGAATGCGCCCATCAGCTTTTATCTCCCATTATTGATCATCTACCATCTTCTGTAAAGCTCAGCACTGATGAAATGGAAAACCCTGTACAAAATGTGTTTTAATTATCTCTTTTCTTCTGTGTTTGCATGTCTTGTGTCTTCATACCATTTCTTAGAGAGATGCTGTTCTGCATTCTCAACACAATTACTCTTCTTTGAGACAAACAGTTAATTGCTTTGTTATTTTTAAGCAGTGGCATCTGAAAAAAGCACTTTCTTTCCTATTTTGGAAAAAAAATGATAGGAACTGTATTCTTCCAAGTACTTCACTGCCATCCAGTTGCAAATGTGAGCTTGTTACCAAGGAAACAACCTTGCATCTTGACATTCTTCTATTTTTGTATTGGAAAAGGAACACAGCATCCCATCTCAATGAGTTTTGTTCTCTGTATTTTTCATAGTACTCAACATACATTACATATTGCACTGTCAAACATGAAAGTTACATTACTACATCAGTGTATTTTTCCTTTGGCCATTCCTCCATCACACAATGCATTTCTAAACAAAGAGGGGTTCTGTACCAAATAAAGTGGCTCTTGCTATTAGATGCTGTCCAAATGGAAGAAGTGGTTGGGCTCTTCCTGACTGTACTTAAGTCAGAAGGACTTTGGTCTTTGACTCCTCCCCTTTGAACAGACCCCAGTGCCATATCAACTGGTTTGAAAGTCCCCTCAGTTTCAAAAGATGCATTTTTCAATATGCTATGGGGAGGAGTTTCTGTTTGAGAAGTGCAAGCTCTGTGGCTGCAAATAGGTTTATTGTTGGAAATAGACTACTGTGTTAAATTATTTGAACTCAGAGTACAGTGCCTGGACCCAGGTATAACAGATTTCAGTGTCAAAGCTGAAATGTTTGTGTTTAACTGTGAGCTGGAGACAAGTAGCATGAATTTCAAAATCCAGGTGCTAGAATTCCTCTATGGAAATTCAGTTTTTAAAACTGAATGGGAAATTGTTCATTTTTAATTTTGAGACATTCATGCTAACAGAATTGTAATCTAAGCCCTTACGGCTATCATGTTAAAATAGGGATAATGGGTGATTCTGCCCTCTCCAGTTTGAGTCTACTGAGCCTCATCAGTCTGGCAGTACCTGGCCCTGCTCTGGTGAGGTAGCACTGCTGTTTTTAATAAGTCCTTCTATTCAGTGACCACCCATCAATATACATTATGTAAGCCTTGAAGTTTTCCTCTCTCTACTACCCCATTGTAGTGAATGGAAGTGGGCACTCAGGAACTCACCTTGCCCAATATAGGAGGGAAGAACAAGTTAAACAAAGGATTTACAACTCAGTTCCACCTTTCCATGTGCCAGTAATGCAGTCACGTTATTATTCAGAGTGTAACAGGATGGTGGGAGAGGAGGACATAATATAGGCTTTGGTAGATAGAATCATAGAATTGGAAGGTGATTTGAACATCATTTCCCACCAGGCTAGCTGGAAAGACTAGCTCATTGAAGAGAGAGGAAAGCTTTAGCCCTCTTGCAGTACGTATGTTCCTAAGAGGGGATCAATTGGTTAGTAGATACTATGCTTTAATGTAGGCCAGTTGCACCCCGTTCCTCATCTCTTTGCTGCCCCTTAGGAAAATTCCAAACACCCATCGTTTGCAGCAGTTTGCCACCTAACACTGAGTCAGGCCATAGCCCAATATAGTTGACTGATTGGCAGCAACTCTCAGGTGCAGGTCTCTGTTAGCCCTACCTAGAGACAAGGGCTATTGAACCTGGGACATCTTGTATGCAGAGCACATGCTCCACCCATGAGTTACAGCCCTTCCCAATTAATATAATGACTACTTCAGCATTGCTTCTCCTCTCCCTGGTTTTGAGAGGAATGTGGGTGGTCTTATTCCACCCCCACCCTGGTTTATTGCAGCCAGCCATTCACACTATATGGCCTTCCAGCTTCTGCATTTCACTTACCATGAAATTCTGGGACTGAAAGCTTTGCTTGCCATATCTGAGTGGAGGAGGTCTGACTAAAAAGAGTCTCAAGGAAGAATAAGTGAGGGAGATCTGTGGTGTTGTGGAGAACAAAGAGATAGCATTTGAGGTGCAGAGAAAGGTGTAATGGGATGCAGAGAGACCTGTGTGGCAAAGAAAGCATGAAAAAGGGGAGAGGGAAACAGAAGTGCACAGAAACCTGACGGTGGAGAGACAGAGAAAAAGAATGAAGGAAATAGAGATGGTCCCATGTTACAGAGACCTGTAGTGATGCAGAGAGAAGAGTGCTATGGATTGCAAAGAAAAAGAGGTTGAGAAGAAGGGGTTGCAAGGAAACCTGTGCGTGGGGAAACAGAAAAAAGAGAGGCATAATAACAAAGGTGGAAGCCCCAACCTGTGGTGGTGGTGTGGAGAAAGAAAGAAAGTAGAGCATGTGCTAGGGAAAGCACTAAAGGATAGAGAACTGACGGGAGAAAGAAAAGGAGTTAGCAAAAGGGTGGCGTGGTTCTCAGAATGGCATTTGTGCATCTCTGCTCTGAAGTGCTGCCACATTACTGTGCATTACAGCAACTGCAGACATTGTTCTACCACAGCAATCATTTTCTACTAGTATTGGCTTAGGTATTAGTATGTGGACAGTTACATGCATTTAGCCCCACGTTTTACTAGAGCTTAAATATGAATTACTCCTATACTGCAACCTTAACTGTGTGGCCAGGCACTGTGGCCCCCCTGACTTTATAATTAAGATCCAGACAAGACACAATACTTTTGGGCCAAATAAGGCCATAACTTTATTGATTCCAGATGTAAGAGGTTTAGCATAGGCATTAGGCATTAGCCCATGTGCTGGCAGTATTACTGAAGGGGTTGACCCTGAGGCGGGGAGGACCTATGACTTATATCAAATAGGATTCTCTCAGCAGAATTCTTGTCTTGACGGGTGCTATGGTCCTGGACCCCACCTGGGCGTCCAGACAAAAGCTCATCCTGCCAGATCCCTTTACTGGAATACACCCTTTTCTTGGAGGAGCAGGCAGAGAGTTCCAACCTCCCCTCCAACTAAAACTAAGGCCAATCCACAACCAAAGTTGTGATGATTGTTATGTGGTAGGCAAAACCCCCTGACTGAGCCAATTTGCCTGAAGGAAAATTCCTGCCCAGCCCTGAATACGGTGAGCAACAATGTCCATAGCAAGGTAAAGTAGATAGCCAACAGTAGGCTAAAATAAGGGATGGGCGGAGGGAGATCTGATGAGGAGCTGCGTGTGGAGCAGGGAGGTGGGTCTCTTTAAATAGTTGAGGATCAGACCGAGGTGAAACCTGCTGGTTCAGTTGGGCCTCTCTCCCACCCCCCCAATCAAGAGCCTGCCTCTTAGCCTGCCGGCTATTGGCTAATTCAGCCAGTAGGCTTCAATCTACTTCCGGGCCGACAAGGTGAACTGTTTTGACTCCCCACCAGTTGGAAAACCTCCATTAAAAGCAGTTCTGCATTGGATAGCATGGGGGAGAAGCAGGGCTGGCCTGCAATGCTGCCACAAGTAAGGTAAGCGGACTTCTCTCTGTGTGGTTACTTTCTATTTATTTTATTTTTAAAGTAGGTGGGCCAATGCTTTAAAGTTAGTGCACACTTTTGAGAGAAGTGTTCTGTGAAACCCAGAAGCTTGTGTCACCTTCAAAAACCACCCATTGACAACAATACATGTGTCTTTGAGAGAGATCTATATGTCCATTCTTACTTCTATCAAAGGCTCAGACATGGGTGGGGGACTTTTAAAATAATAATAATAATAATAATAATAACAACAACAACAACAACAACAATAACACAACCCAAATTACAGCAACATGGGGACCTGAGGTCTGACAATGCACCCACACCCTTTACTTTAGTTCTTTGCTTTCATCCTTTGGTGGTGCTTTAGGAACAACTTTCCCAACCTTTTACTTCTCTTGCACCTGTTTTATGGTACCTACCACCTGATCAGTGGGGCCAGCATCCATCTTTGGCTTGATTTTGCCTTGGTTGTAGAGGCCAGCTACACTTAAGAGCTTCACCTTCTCATTCAGGTAGCCCAGATAGTAGCCACAGATGACTTAAAGTAATAGGATTTAACTTAGTCATGACTTATTCCTTTGATTCAGTCTGACTTGGTCATAGCTAACTTTAGGAGGCAAAATTTCTACTGGTGTTCAGTAATCTGCATGCTGAAAGTAGGCTCTGAAAGCGTCTTCTTGGTTTTGAAAATTGTGTTCCCATGGAGTAACCATATTGCCTTATGACTGCCGCATTTAAGCAGCAGCCATTGCAGATAATGTGCTTTCAGAGTTGTGGATCAATGGCTCTCAAACTCCAATGGAACTGAGAACACTTGTGATAAAAGAGTATGCATTTTCCCATTTTCCACATTGCTAGCTAAGATGAATTTTTTTCCTGAGAGACTTCAGAGATATCATTGCAGTGATGAATAATCCTCATGCATATCTCAATCCTTATGTTAGGATCTGATGGTCATGCATAGGGGCAAATAGATAAGACTCACATGTTCCAATATCATTTTCAAGACCATTTTATGTTTAAACTTTTGTGGGGCCTTCCTTTCCCCCTCTCTCCCACAACCCCCTTTTGTACTCTTTTTGAAGGTTGTCAGACCTATGATGACCACCTGGCTTCCAACCAAGAAGGAAGCAAATCCAAGAACGTGGTGAACTTGGGTGCAATAAGACAAGGCATGAAGCGTTTTCAGTTTCTCTTAAACTGCTGTGAGCCAGGAACAATCCCTGATGCCTCTATCCTGGCAGCTGCCCTCGATCTTGTAAGTAACTGCATGATGTTTCTTGAACACTCTTCACAACCAATAATTCAATAATGCATAAGCTGCGATGTGAAGTGGGAAGAGATTTTTAAAAACACACAAGGAAAGTATGCAATAAATGCTAAGTACAAACAAGGAAATTTTCATGTATCTGTGAATATATACCTGGATAGGATATTTGATTTACTAGATTTGTGCTGCACCTAAAGAAACAGCTCTTTTAATATTCAGATTTCTTTAAGGGTCCACATTTCACAACTATTACTAAGCCTCTATAAATGTCTTATAAACAGAAGACTGGTATATATGGCTCCAACTACTTTAACTCCATAGAGATGTTCAGCTGATGCTATAAATAATTGAAGCAAGCCATAGCTGTGAGTCTCAAGTAATTCACTGTGGGGGGCAGAAGGGTAGGGGAGTCTTCAAAGCTTTCTGGTATATGACTTATTCATCGAATGGTGATTTGTGGATCCAAGGCCTAGATGATCCAAGCCCAGCATAGATGATGATTTTTCAATCTTGCAGTTGCTTCAGCTACTTTGTTCTTCTTGCTTTCCTTGCATCTCATTCACCCTCTGTGCCTTTGGTTGGTTTTACTGCGATTGTGATTCAAAGCACTGCTTTGGTATTTAAAATCCCTTGTATTGCATGGCATGTATTTCTGCACATGCACACATGTTTACAATTCACTAGTATTATCATGTCAGTTCAGCTGGGCAGCTTTCTACATGCATCAGTTATTAGACAGCAGCTAGATTCAGGGCTTATCCACACTTACCTTTTGCTCTGCACTTTGTAGGCAAAGGTCTGGGCGTTTTTTATTTATATTTTTGCCTGGCGCTTCTTTGCTCACTTCAACCAGTATTATTTCTCAGCATACAATATTTTAAAAAATCAATTAAAACATTTAAAGTGGGGGGCTCTGTTCCTGGAATCCTTTTTTTAGTCTTTGCAGAGCCTCATTTCTAAGGGCCTACATACCATCACAACTTCAAAGCTACATATCTTCTTCCATATATAAAGTGGGGAGTGAGGCGAGAGGGGCTGCAGAATCAGTAAAATGACTTTCATCCACCCAAATAGCCTCCCTGCCCCAGAGCCCAAGCACTATTTGTTTGGACCAGATACAAACAGGTCACATACCACTCCCGCTCCCCTTGCCAACTGAAAGGTCTTAGAATCATAGAATCATAGAATCATAGAGTTGGAAGAGACCACAAGGGCCATCGAGTCCAACCCCCTGCCAAGCAGGAAACACCATCAGAGCACTCCTGACATATGGTTGTCAAGCCTCTGCTTAAAGACCTCCAAAGAAGGAGACTCCACCACACTCCTTGGCAGCAAATTCCACTGTCGAACAGCTCTTACTGTCAGGAAGTTCTTCCTAATGTTTAGGTGGAATCTTCTTTCTTGTAGTTTGGATCCATTGCTCCGTGTCTTGTCTGTTTTGAAAATTGTTTGATAGCTTCTTAAGGTCTCTTTGTTTAAGCTCCATAGGTATTATTGTGGCTTGGTTTACAGCCAGTATATCGCATGCATACACAAATGACAACTAGCATTTATGCACCCATTCCCATTCCCATTTTGTCTGGAGCCTGGCTCATGCCTTTTTAGGAAACTTGTGAACTGTACAGGCTCCCACTATCCCGTCTATCCGATGGATTCTGTGTCATGTGGTTTTTCTTGCCCGGGGATAGACAATACCAGCAAGGGACTAAGGGATGATGAGATTTGTAGTTCTCAAGTAAGCATGTTGCATGGGTAGGCAAACATCCCTGTTTCTCAAATTGCAAGTATTAAGAGTTTCAAATTACAAGCACCCTCTCTGAGCCTGGGTGAGTGGCAGGTAACTGTTCAGCACACTGCTTCTTCTCCGGCAATTGCTGCAAATCGCACATGGGCACCCCAAAAAGATACAGGGAAATAAGTTTGTATAGACACCTTCAAGCACATTCTTCAAATTCAACCTCAGTTTTCATCTTATGGGCTGCTTCCCTCTCCCTAACCTCTAGGGCTGAGTAAACTGCTGTCCCTCCTTCCCACAGTGCTTAGGCCTCCCCTGCACCTAGACTCATAGAATGGTAGAGTTGGAAGGGTCCACAAGGGTCATCTAGTCCAACCCCTTGCAGTGCAGAAATATTTTGCCCAATGTGGCGCTCGAATCCATGATCCTGAGAAAAAGAGTCTCATGCTCTACTGGATGACCTGTGTCCAAAGTGTTTAACTGGGAGTTCAGTTTTGCCTTTGTTTTATCTTGCCATATTTAAAAGCAGCGAAAGAACTGTAATGGAGGAAGTGGGGAGGCCATTTTGTAAGCAGAATTTCAAAGAAAGTGCCCATCTTGTTAGAACTTTGTGGCGATGTTTTGCTTTCTGTTGTTGACCGTGAGTGGAGTGGTAACCTGTGGTTCTTTTCAGCTATGCATCTCCTGGCTGATTCATTTCTCCTCATTTGTGGTGTGTTTCTCTGTGGTGTGAATCCATCCTTACCCATTCTGTCACACATCTTCATCTTTCTCTCGCTGCTTCTTCAGATTGCTCTGGGTGTAAGGTAAGCTATTGCAGGGTATTTTCATAATACCTTGACATTCAGCATGCTAATTTTCTCTGAGGACAATGCTAATAACACTTGCTTTACGTGTAAGGATGGGTCAACAGGAATTTGCATCACAAGTCCTTTTGACTGAGAGACCTCTTTAGGCATAAGATTCTGCAGGAATTAATTATGCAATCAAGAACTAAGGGCCTTGTTGCCAGGCAATGAACTCCTTTTGAGCAGACCAGGGACAAACCATAGCTTACAGTTTGAAGCATGTTTAACTTGGCATGCTTAGAACTGCACATACCTATTTCTTTAGGAAAATGAACCATGGGAATTCTGATCAGGGGCACGACATGGGAGTAGATGCTCCCTGCATTATGTCACCCCAAAACACCCCTCAAATGTGCTATTTGCACATGAAGGTGCTGGACCAGTTCCAAGCACATTTATTAAAACACTTTGTCCAGTGGCTTGGAAAACCTGATTTAGAACTCGGGGAACCCATGGCCATCCATATGTTGTTGGACTTCTCCTCCCATCAGCCCAAGCTTGCATGACCATGCTCAAGGATGATGGGTTTTGTAGTCCAACAACATTTGGAAGACCACAGGTTCCCTCATCCCTCATGCTCTACAGTAGTTTTTCTCAGTTTTGAACTCAAGGTTGTCTTCTAAATGTACTCTTCTGTTCCATGCCCCTCTCTCCCACTAAGCAACAGCAAACTGCTTGGCACATGAACACTCAGAATCTGACCAGGCGAGCCTAATGGCTCTCTGCAGTCTTATTGTTGCTGTTGCTATTTATTTAGTAAATTTGTATTCTATCCTTCATCCGTAGGTCTCAGGCCGTTTCACAGCATAAAAATACAATATGTATATATAATGAATAGAACAAAGTAGAATATGGACTTGCTTCAGGACCTGTTTGCATTTGAGGCTGGTTTGGTGGGAATGTCTCCTAAGGCACCTTTTGCCATGAAGGAATGCCCTGCCCTGGAATATTCATTTGGCTTCCACTATAGCATTCAGACTTTCCATTCCCAGCTGAAAACGTTTTTGTCCGGACAGGCATTTGGTCTGTTAGATACTTAAAATTTGTTCTCTTGCCCTCCTCCACCCCCTGCTCTTGTTCTCTCTTATTATTTGATTGGTGTTATATGCTGGTTTTTGTTTTTCATTTTTATTAACATTTCTTATGTCTTACTGAATTCTGTTGGGTTGTTTTTTGTGGGTTGTTGTTTTGCATTTTGCATTGGATCTCATTGTGAATTGCCTTGAGTGTCTCATAGAATCATAGAATCATAGAGTTGGAAGAGACCACAAGGGCCATCGAGTCCAACCCCCTGCCAAGCAGGAAACACCATCAGAGCACTCCTGACATATGGTTGTCAAGCCTCTGCTTAAAGACCTCCAAAGAAGGAGACTCCACCACACTCCTTGGCAGCAAATTCCACTGTCGAACAGCTCTTACTGTCAAGAGGTTCTTCCTAATGTTTAGGTGGAATCTTCTTTCTTGTAGTTTGGATCCATTGCTCCGTGTCCGCTTCTCTGGAGCAGCAGAAAACAACCTTTCTCCCTCCTCTATGTGACATCCTTTTATATATTTGAACATGGCTATCATATCACCCCTTAACCTCCTCTTCTCCAGGCTAAACATGCCCAGCTCCCTTAGCCGTTCCTCATAAGGCATCGTTTCCAGGCCTTTGACCATTTTGGTTGCCCTCCTCTGGACACGTTCCAGTTTGTCAGTGTCCTTCTTGAACTGTGGTGCCCAGAACTGGACACAGTACTCCAGGTGAGGTCTGACCAGAGCAGAATACAGTGGCACTATTACTTCCCTTGATCTAGATGCTATACTCCTATTGATGCAGCCCAGAATTGCATTGGCTTTTTTAGCTGCCGCGTCACACTGTTGGCTCATGTCAAGTTTGTGGTCAACCAAGACGTCTCATATTGGGACAGTAAGACAGGATAATTTCAAAGAAGGAATATATTCATTTTTACCCACAGCTTCAAGGTAAGGTTCTGTGGGCTGGGGAAGTAACCCTACATAGGTGCTAGAAGACAACCAGAACCCTATTCATGTGCTACTCACATGTGTATGAATCTGGAGTGAGTGGGGCTGCACTTTTAGCCCCGCCCTTGATGTTGAGTGGTTTTCCTCTAACTGCGTGACAGGCATGGTTGTCTGTAGAGAGACCCCCCAGCATGCAAGTTCTTGTCTGCATTGGAGGAAGAAGATGTAACCCCAGAGTCATCAGAATCAACACAGAAACATTTTAATAGAACCAGGCTCCCTCCCAGATACACACACACACGTTTTATAATCAGACCAACAAGTGTGTGTTTAAAAAACACACAAGAAGATCTTGCCGCACCTTAAGAACTAATAAATACACCGTGACATAATCTCTTCTGGGCCATAGCTGTTTCATCAAATATGGATTTGCAGCAGAATCAAGGGCTGATGGAGCCAATATCTGTGGAATGGTCTCTCTAACTTTTTAATTAATGGACTTTGGGGGTGTATCATATTAAGAAATTAAATATGTAGCCTTTGCAAGTGAGAGGTTCAGCTGGAGAGGTTGTGGAGAGGTTATTATTACTCGTGTTGTGGATTTGCCACAAACCATAGGGCAGTAGTCAAGTAAGTTTCAAGTAGAACCACTGAAATTAATGGGTATGACTATGTTAGTAACATTAATTTCACTGGGTCTACTCTGAGTAAAACTTAGTTTAGTACAACCCATAGATCTTATTGCAAAGTGTCCTGTCATATTTGAAGAACACAATCCAGCAGTTAGCACAAAACTGAATTAAAATGTGCATCACAAGAAGAGATAAGAGGAATGATAAACAATATCAATATATTCATATAACCAGATATTTCTACAGTGATTTTATAATCCATGTTTGAATCGTGAAAGCTTCTGCTTAGCCTAATAGCAAATTGCTTAGATCTGAGAAATCCGAAATGAACTTTGTCCCAGTATCTCCTTGTTCTCTCCCTATCTCACTGAACAAGAAAGGGGGAAGCGATAAATCTGATGTGCTGGCACATTTCCTCCCTTGTCCAGACAAGGTCTGAGCAGTGAAACAGGAAACTGCAGAATGTCCCTTATAGCAGATGGTCCGTAGGAGCTCAACAGCCGAAGTTCCTCTTTACCCTAAGTTTCTATTCCTTGCTATAAATCTGGGGGAAAGGTCGGACTGGTGTTCAAACTAAAAAGCAGAAGTTGGGAGAGAAATCTTTGTACGGTCAGGAGCAAGGCTTGTATGCGCTCATTAGCTTATTTTGCTGCTGTTCGCAATTGTATCCTATTATGTCATGATCTGTGATGTATGCACTCAGGTATAAAAGCCCCTGGGCGATAGGGCTCGGGGCCCAGTCTTTTGGAAAAGATTCCACTGGGTCAATTATTGCTCAGCAATAAACCTCACTTTCCTTTTCTCCAATTCCTGCATCTGTCAATTCTTGGACTACCGTATCTGAATTGGTCACTGGTACCTTTTAAAATCCTTGCAACAGTTGTATAAGTGTGTAGCCCTTCTAGAAAGTAAGTTATGGGGCAAAATGTGCAGGTACCTTCTAAGTGATTTCTGGGCAATGAGAGTGGTGTATATTTTTCCTACTCCTGAGGAATGCTACCTGTTTTTATTAAAAGCGAAAGCATCTCTCTCTCTCTGTGTGATCTCCACAATAAGGACCAGCAGCAAATAGCTGGTTTCCCATAGTAAGCATAAGGTTGTCAGGGATGGTTGTCTCTCCTATATTGTGTTATGCCATGCTTCCCATTGCAGCCACTTTGCGTTGTGGCACACGCCTTCTATTGCAGCCATAGGAACCAACTCCTAGGGGCCGAGGTCCCTTCACCCCACCAATAAAGTATTTGAGGGGGCTGCATCTCAAAAGTTGATGGACATTGCCATTCAAATGGTGTGTGTGCACCACATCATGTGATTGATTATGTGGGGTAGTGCTTCCTATCCCCATCCCCAATATTTTATTCACATTGACACACCTGGTGGCAGCCATTTTGAGACTGGCACCCCCAGCACTCTCAGATTTAAAATATACCCACTGGTCAAAAAAGAGTGTTGACTACCTGCTCTAGAATCATGGAAATGGCACTGCCTGAAGATCAGGGGCATGCCATTTAAAGGTTTTTAGTAGGAATATAAAGAAGCAGTCTTGTCTTCAGACATTTCATTGGGAATATCAGCAACCTGGCTGTGGGTGTTGCAATTCAATTCAGTGGATACTTGCTCCTAAGAAAGCAAAATCAGTATATTTAATAATAGCACTTAACAATTTTTCTCTAAATAAATGAAGAGAAACTGTAACTATGGCATTGCTTGTTTGGTTGAAGCCATCACCAAATTGATATTATAGGCTACTTCTACCCTTGTCATCTAATGAATTGGCATGACCACATGAGCGATCTATCATATTTGACTCAATAAACTACCTTGTAGCTGAATTATGAAATCTAAATCCTGTCAGTTTGAGTATATAAATTGGTACCACATTTTTTTAGAAATGTTTGGGTTTTTAAAAACTGTTAATGACATTTTCACAACACATTCTAGGAGGCACCAGTGGTTGCAAGAGCAGCACTTTTCCTGGAATGTGCTCGCTTCGTTCACCGCTGCAACCGTGGCAACTGGCCAGAGTGGATGAAGGGACACCATGTGAACATCACTAAAAAGGGTCTTTCCCGTGGGCGCTCCCCAATAGTGGGGAACAAACGTAACCAGAAGTTACAGTGGAACGCAGCCAAGCTCTTCTATCAATGGGGAGATGTAAGTTCAACCTTTCTCTCTCTCTCTCTCTCTCTCTCTCTCTCTCTCTCTCGTAATCAACATTATTCAGAAACATTTGTGTTTAGTTCTGAACATTCCATATTGCTTTCTAGACCAATCTGGAAACAGGAAACAGGTACATGCTAGAAACCTGGAAGTCAGAGTAGCCACCTTCAGAAGTTATCCTCCACCAGCCTGCGTCACATGAGCAGAGCAGTACAGTACCATGTGCAATGCCTTCTGGTGCATGTGACCTGGATGGCTGCCACTTTGCCTTTCAAAGGTCTTTCTCAGTGGTGTTTTATGAGATGCTTTGGGAGAAGGCAAGTAAGCGAGAGAGCCAGCCAGCCCAGCCCAACAAGTCTCACTGGTTTCAGCTGGTGAGGATGGTAATGGTGAGCTGAGAGCTGTCATTGGGAATGACTGGGTGGGGGACCTGTCACCACTCCTTTCTTCATCTACAGCCTGAGACAGTCTCCTGATTCTGCCTAATGATAGAAATGGCCAATGAAGGAAGGGGGGGAAAGCTGAGATAAGGATGCAGCGTGGGGAGAGAATATTCATTCAGTTCAGTTACATGTACTTTTAAGTTTAAGTTGGGTGAGAAGGACTAAAGGGATTGCACAGTTGAACTCCATCTTCCTTATTAATTTCTTTTTAAAAAACACCTGCACATATAAAGCTTACCTGGAGAGGAGGATTCCAGCTTTTTCTTCTTGGTACAGTTGCATTTGACTTTATTCAGTTCTTTTCAATTTAGCTTCTCATTTTTCATTTTAGTTTCTCATTTTTCAGCTTGCTGTGTTTCTGCATCAGTTTGCAGTTTTTTAAAAGTCCTCATGAAAATTTGGATAAGACTTTGTTTTATGTGATATAATGATTACATAGAATATGATTTGAATTTGAATTTGAATTTGAATCCATTCTGGGATTTCTGTGTGCTGCAGAGGGAGGTAGAAATCTAATAAATAAAAAAGAGTTCCTGGTTTGACTGTTGCTTCTGCCTTAAGGCAAATCACTCTATGCTGGGCTTGTTCCTCAGTCTTCAATATGTGGTTAATGATGTTGATCTGCCTTATGGGACTCTCGTAAGGATTATCGAAAGATATGTTGAAGTACTTCGAGCATTTTAAAGGACTGTATAAATGTTAAGTTTTATGATAATAATCTATTCTATTTCTTTTCAAATTTTGAACCAGTTCAATATAAACAGAAACATGTTAAAAAATGGAAACTAATGGAGTTTGAACCCTTTGGATCATTTAAATTAGAGGCGTGCCCTGGCCACCAGATTTGGTTCAGACCAAATATTTTAGAGGCTATGTCTTTCCCTTTTGACAGAACTGAATGGAATTTGGAGTCATACCAGCTCTTCCAGAGTGGATAAAGCTTGCCAATTTATGGGCAAATCAGCCCGGGTGCTAGGCACTGTTTGAAGCTTAATTTTGTTTAAAAAGCAGGCGTGACCCCTGAATCTCCCTAAGTGTTTTGTGGGCAAATTGGTCTGAAAATTGCAGGCATGAGAGAGATGCCCCTGGGTAAGAAACCTGCCAAATTGTAGATAAATAAGTAAAGGAGATTTGGAGCCAAACTTGATTTTAGTTTGAGAAGAACTAAAAGAGTTTTGCTTTCTGTGTAAAACATTCTCTTACTGCAAGCTTAAACTTTCAGGCATAACAGAGCTCCCCTCTCTGCCCTCTCACCTCTTGATATCTTCCTTAAGCTTAGAGAGGTATGCTCAGCTCTGAAAATCCCCTCCTTCCCACATTGTTTTCCTCAGGGTAGAGACTTGAGCAAAGCTGCTCCACCTCCCCTCAGCACCCTGGTGTTTTCCCTATGTGGTAAGCTTAGAGACATAGTTTTTCTTTTAGTACAGTATTTTTCGCACCATTGGACGCACATTTTCCCCTCCAAAAATGAAGGGGAAATGTGTGTGCGTCCTATGGGGCGAATGCAGGCTTTCGCTGAAGCCTGGAGAGCGAGAGGGGTCGGTGTGCCCTCTCGCTCTCCAGGCTTCAGGAAGCTCTGCGCAACCCTCGGGAGACCGACTCCGAGGGTTGCGCAGAGCTGCCTGCAGTCCCGGGCTCAGCGCAGCTCTGCCCGGCCACCGGGAGCCGGGCGCGAAGTCCCGCCCCGCTCCGGATGGCGGCGCAGAGCTGCCTGCCGTCCCCGGCTCAGCGCAGCTCTGCGCGGCCACCGGGAGCCGGGCGCCCAGCTCCGGATGGCGGCGCAGAGCTGCCTGCCGTCCCCGGCTCAGCGCAGCTCTGCGCGGCCACCGGGAGCCGGGCGCGAAGTCCCGCCCAGCTCCGGATGGCGGCGCAGAGCTGCCTGCCGTCCCCGGCTCAGCGCAGCTCTGTGCGGCCACCGGGAGCCGAGCGCGAAGTCCCGCCCCCTCCGGATGGCCGCGCAGAGCTGCCTGCAGTCCCAGGATCAGCGCACTTCTCCCCATCGCCAGCCCCACAAGCTCGGGGGACAGCGGGGAGGCAGAGCGCACCTTCCCGCTGTTCCCCGACCTAGTTCTTCCAGCCCCACACCTGGGGGGGGGGGAATAAAAATATTTTTCTTTATTTCCCCCCCCAAAAAACTAGGTGCGCCCTATGGGCCGGAGCGTCCTATGGAGCGCAAAATACGGTAGATGGTTGTCTGCAATGTTTTATTGCCAGGGTCACTGAGGCCCCTCTAAGTGCTTTACAGTTCTCTGTTTCAACTCATGCAGCCTCTTACAGATCCCCTCTTTACCTTGAACAAGCCGCAGAACAGTCCCACCTGATAAATCCCACCTGATAAATTTGCAAACACCCCTAATCTCGGTCTTTAACTCTTTCAAGCACACTGGCCATGTTCTTTATTTGAAACCTCCAGCTCTCTGGTGAAGCTTTGCTACCCTAAGTTACCTTTGTAACACTTCATTATTTTCCTTCTTTTGTTTCTCTTGGCAGGCAATTGGCATCCGTCTCAACGAACTCTGCCATAGTGAGAGTGAGAGCCCAGCCAATCTGCTGGGCCTCATTTATGATGAGGAGACCAAGCGAAGACTGAGAAAGGAGGATGAGGAAGAAGACTTTTTAGATGACAGTAAGGAGACTCCCTTTACTACAAGAACCCCCGCTTGTAAGAATCTCTGCTTTAGGAACACTTAATTCTTTTTTATTTTCCTCTTTCATTCCCTTTCCACCCAATTGTATTCCACACTTACCTCCCTTTCCCTCTCTATCTATCTGTGCCAAGATGTAACATGTCATGTAGTGGTAGCAGCAGCAAAAAGGAATTGGATCCACCGAACAAGGAGAATAAGACTTTAATTCAGTGCAGCTAGTCATGTTCAACAGATAGTGGGACTCATCTGCACCCAAATATTACTTCCAGCAGGTTCAGAGGGGTCTGGATGAGCGTTACAATGCAGATACAGGCATGCACCTGAACTCTTATTGGCTCTGTGTGCCATGGACCATATATCTGTGGTAGTTAGAGATGAAAGTCAAATTCAGTTCTCTTTGCATTTAAAGGTAAAGGTAAAGGACCCCTGACAGTTAAGTCCAGTCGCGAACAACTCTGGGGTTGCGGCGCTCATCTCACTTTACTGGCTGAGGGAGCCAGCGCACAGCTTCTGGGTCATGTGGCCAGCATGACTAAGCCGCTTCTGGCGAACCAGAGCAGCGCACGGAAACGCCGTTTACCTTCCCGCCGGAGCGGTACCTATTTATCTACTTGCACTTTTTGGCATGCTTTCAAACTGCTAGGTAGGCAGGAGCTGGGACCAAGCAAGGGGAGCTCACCCCATCGCAGGGATTCAAACTGCCAACCTTCTGATTGGCAAGCCCTTGGCTTTGGAGTTTAGACCACATTTAAAGGTGATTTTCCTTAATTTGTACTTTCCAAAAAAATATGTGAACACAGCCAACTTCCAAGATTCACACTTCTCTTAATTTCGCAATAAAAGCCAAGTAGTCGGTACAGAAATACGTATGCCAGGGTAAAGTGTGCATAAAAATGCATATAGCATAAAAAGTATTATATTAGGGGAAATTGCATAGAAATGTGTGTGTGCTTGGAGAAATTTGCACTAATGTGCTGGTGCAGTTTCATGTGGACTTTAGTGGGGGGAAATCCACAAACTGTGGTGGAAATAAGATGAACTTGTTACTGGAATAGTGAGAAAAAGAGAAAGATTTACCCATCTCTGATGGTATTACACATTAGTTGCATGAAGAAGGTCTGATGTTCTGTTCTGGCATTGACATTTACAATAATTTCACATGACAATGCCTGGAAATACAATTTTTGTGCCTGAGAACTTGGAGAGCTGCTGCCAGTCAGAGTACATCAGGGATGGGGGACCAGCTTCCATCAGCCCCATCTTGCATGGCAATGGCCTGGGATGGTGGGAGATGCAGTTCAACAATATCTGGAGGATCTTAGATTCCCCACCCCTGGAGTGGACAGTAATGCTTTAGATAGACCAATGACCTTACTCAACAGAAGGCAACTTTTTATGTCCAGCGCTGCTTCTGGATGTGGTTCTCCTTGAATTGAATTGACCAACCATGAATAAAATTGATTGAACTCTGTTAGCTTTTGGATGACTGTTTGCCAGGTTGTTTTGATGGTCCTCCTTTCAAAAACACTGGTCATGTTTTATGTATGTAGTCCATATATATAGTGAAAGTGGGCAAATAAGTATTTAATTAATTACATACAAAGCTCCTGATCCTGAAGGGAACCTGCTGAGATTTTTAGTCAGTTTCCTTTGTTGCGTCCAAAAGTGTACACCGACCAGATCATTACAGGTGCTCCCTTAGAAGCCACAACTGTGACAAATGTATGACAGATCTGCAGAAACTATTAGTTCTTAACTGAGACAATGTCATTTTAAAAACTATAAGTGGAACCTTAATGCTATAAATTATGTGGATGAGATAGCCTTCCTGATATAAGATAGTATTCATCTCCATTCCCTTAATATTTACACACCAGAACCAAAGCTAAATGGAAATTAGGTTAGTGTAAACTAGATATCAAATTTTCATGTGTTCATTGCATTAAAAACATGGAAAACAGGACATCGTATAATGCAGTGTTACAATAGTACATATTCTTTATGAAGGCAGGAAGTTTTTAAAATCAAAATGAATATGCAGAACATGACAAGACCTCATGCCAATACAGAGTGCAGTTTACACTGATGTTAGTACAATATCCTCTCCAAACATCATATTCGTGTGTGAGCTCGCGCTACTGTTTTCCAAAAAGCATGTAATCCATTAGAGCTTTTGTAAGTTTGTTGGCTTTGTTCTACAATTGCAATGTTCTAAGAACAGGGACGTGGGTGGCGCTGTGGGTTAAACCACAGAGACTAGAACTTGCCGATCAGAAGGTTGGCGGTTCAAATCCCCACGACGGGGTGAGCTCCCGTTGCTCGGTCCCTGCTCCTGCCCACCTAGCAGTTCAAAAGCACATCAAAGTGCAAGTAGATAAATAGGTAGCGCTCCAGCGGGAAGGTAAATGGCGTTTCCGTGCGTTGCTCTGGTTCGCCAGAAGCGGCTTAGTCATGCTGGCCACATGACCTGGAAGCTGTGCACCGGCTCGCTTGGCCAATAAAGTGAGATGAGCACCGCAACCCCAGAGTCGGTCACGACTGGACCTAATGGTCAGGGGTCCCTTTACCTTTACCTTTTAAGAACAGATTAGTAAAAAGCTATGGAGGAACGCTAGTACAGTGGTGCCCCGCAAGACGAATGCCTCGCAAGACGGAAAAACCGCTAGACGAAAGGGTTTTCCGTTTTGAAGTTGCTTCGCAGGACGAATTCCCCTATGGGCTTGCTTCGCAAGACGAAAATACCTTGCGAGTCTCGAGATTTTTTTTTCGCTTTTCCCCCTTTATCTAATCTGCTAAGCCTTTAATAGCCTGTAATAGCCTTTTAGCAGCTAATCCCTAAGCCTTTAAGCCTTTAATAGCCGCTAAACCGCTAATAGCGCTAATAGCGCTAATCCGTCAATGGGCTTGCTTCGCAAGACGAAAAAACCGCTAGACGAAGACTCTCGCGGAACGGATTAATTTCGTCTTGCGAGGCACCACTGTATAAATATTTGGGTTAGAATCCTAGTTAAAATATGTAATTAATGGAGCCAGGTGCTGTCTTCTCTCTTTACATAGACATAGTTTGAAGTTTAAAGCAGGAGGATATGTAGAGGGGTCTTTATCTGCACCCTCACATTGCAAACATTGTTCAAGTTGCTGTCTACATGGAGTAAAATTGGAGGTATTTAATGGAGTAAAATTGGAGATATTTAATGGGACTAGGTAGGTCTAGGGACGCAGGTGGCGCTGTGGGTTAAACCACAGAGCCTAGGACTTGCTGATCGAAAGGTCGGTGGTTTGAATCCCCGTGACAGGGTGAGCTCCCATTGCTCAGTCCCAGCTCCTGCCCACCTAGCAGTTCGAAAGCACCTCAAAGTGCGAGTAGATAAATAGGGACCGTTCTCCAGCGGGAAGGTAAACGGCATTTCCGTGTGCTGCGCTGGTGCTGGCTCGCCAGCTGCGGCTTAGTCACGCTGGCCACATGACCCGGAAGCTGTCTTTGGACAAGCGCCGGCTTCCGGCCTCTTGAGCGAGATGAGCGTGCAACCCCAGAGTCGGTCACGACTGGACCTGTTGGTCAGGGGTACCTTAGGTAGGTCTAGCTGCATGACTGCTTCTTTATGAGTGAACATGGAGAACAAAGTGGGATATCTAAGTCAGAGAGGTGTGGGCATCTAGAATTTGACATCCCTCCTGAATACATCTAATTCTTTTCTCCCCAAGTGTTGCAATGCATGGCATAATTTGATTATGATTATGATAGCTGTGTGTAGAGAATTGCCTCTCTGCAAATGCCTGTTGTGTCTTCATGTTCTATTAAACTTTCTAGAGACACAATGGAATTATTAGTTTCCTAGTGACAGTTTCAGAACAAAATATTTATAGACATACTTTCATTTGTATAAATTGTTCCTCGGAAGAACTACTGTTTAGAGAAGGCTGCGACAATGGAGGTGTGTTGAAGGACTGTAGCTCTGTGGTGTCTCTTTTGTGTGTGAAGATGCCTTCCTGCATATTTCAAGCTTCATGGAAAAGGGCTGAAGAAATTAGTGGCTCTCTGTAGTTGCATATGCTAAGAAAGGGAAAGGAGGATAACAAGGAAGTGTGCAGATATACCAGCTTTGCTAATTCGGGTTCTCTGCCCCCCACCCAATTCTTATCACTCTCTGTTTCTTAACCTACTAACTACAGTGACACTGATTTCTTCTAGCAGTCTTCAGACTTAAACAGTTAGCACATAGAGATTTTGGCACATTCCATGTTTCCCCAAGTGGAGGGCTTTGGCACTTACCTGGCTTTGGTTTCCTTTTGGTGGAAAAATCGTTTGAGCAGTAGCTACTTTTCTGTGCATCCTCCAGCTGGTCCTAGAACTTCAATTCTAGTAGAAGAGAGAGTTGTGTGGCGAGGAGCTGGAAAGCAGGGGGGAAATTGACATTTAGAGGCTTTTTAGAGGGTGCTCCCCACTTATGCGATTTTTGCTTATGTGTGCAGGGGCCCAGAACGCAACCCCAGCATAAGTAGAGGGACACCTGTACATAAATCTGAAGGAAGGCAGGTGGAGAAGCCAGAGCAGAAGAAGCCAATGTTAGATACGGAACTGGAAAAATAGGTCAGCCTAAACTGAGAGGAAGCTCACAGAATGCCCATGGATAATATCAGCTGTGTGCAGAGTGGTCCTCTCAGGACCTCGGCCTAGAAACCCTAAAAGGTGATGAGATCTAATTTGGGGGTTGGAGCTTAATTTCATCGATTGAGTTGAACTAACTAAATCTGTCATGGACAGAGGCGAGACAAACCTGAAGCTTGGCTTGATGGTCCTATGGTGATGTGCTAGAGCCCACACTCATGTATGGCCCATGATGTGACAGTTGTGACAGAATGTCCTTTTGATGGGCACATCTGGCACTACTGTTGAGTGTTAGGCAAGGTGAGGAGAGACTTTACTTAGCTCAGACCTCCCCTCCTCTCCCTTCTTGATTCTCTCAGGGCCATAGCTGGAAGGGCAGTCATTAGGCTTCTAGGAACTAAGCAGCAATCATCTGATAAACAAAGACTACTTCATCATTATGTTATATGGGCAGTGCAATGAACTGAAGTGAAGACAAGCACCTGTAAATGCAGTGAGCACCCATTAGGGAACCCATGGCCCTTGTGTGTCTGCCCCATGCCACCAAATCTTCCTCCAAAGGTTAACAGCATTCACTACTACATGTAGTAGATATGCATTTCCTGCATAGTGGTTCTAAGTATTCAACAGTGTAGTACAGCTTTTCTCAACCTTTGGTCCCCAGCTGTTGTCCAACTACAACTCCCATCATCCCTATGTTATGTTGGACTACAATTCCCATCATCTCTGACTACTGGTCCTGTTGGCTAGGGATGATGGGAGTTGTAGTCCAATATAACATAGGGATGGTGGGAGTTGTAGTCAAACACCACCTGGGGGGCCAAAGGTTGGGAAAGCCTGGTACTGAGTATCAGTCAGAGTCCCATTCCCCACCCCGCCCCCGCCCCCGTCCCCGTGTTATGTGGCATAAGATTTGCATGGCAAACATTCACTAATATAACAGAAACGAAAATACAGAAATTTTATCCTTTCTATCCTACCTAAAACAATTGCAGTTTTGCTGTTGGTCGGTTTGTTCAATAACATATTTTTCAGTTAATTATTCCATCACTGTAATATATGATAGGAATATCCGAGGCCTAATCTAGTTGTGATGAAAAGCTATGGGGATTTTTCTTCCATTTTTAAAATTTTTTATTTTACCAATAGCATCTCCCCCTCCTTCCCAGTTGCTTTTCTTTATGCAGGAGAAGAGATAAGAGCAGCACTGGGTTTGGGTGAGTGTGGGTGAGAAAAGCAGCCACACCCTCTGGCACAGGCGCCAACTCTATGGGGATGAGCCCCCACTGTCTTGAGGGGCTGGACCCCCTGGGCCTCTCCGTGGCGGCAGAAGGCCTCGTTGGGCCTACCGCCTGGTGACAGGCCTCCCTGAGCCTCATGGCCTCCTCCCGATGTGTGTGACTTCACATGTGTGAAGTCACGCGGAACCCAGTGCCTCTGCCCTCTGGTAGTCCTCTGCTCTGAGAAAAATGCGTGGCATTTCTAGAGGTGAGCAGGGTCTAAGTGTATGCATTTCAACATCAGTATTCATAGAACAGTTTGATTTTGAGCCCACTGAAATCCTGTTGTTGTTGAATTACCAATGCTACCTGGCAATAACAGCAAATGAGATTGTTAGTAAAAATAGAAAAATAGTGCAAGGAGGCCCTAGTGTTCCATATGCAGCTTGTATTGTGTACCATGTGTGGTGCTGTCCATCTGTTTTTAAATATGTATTTTTCCTAGTGCTATTTTTAATAAAACCAATCCATATATAAATGTCACTTCTTAGGTACTGTGAACCCCACCAAATGTTGCTGTCCTTTTGCACTGAAGATGGCAGCATGTCAGCTCCTCCTGGAGATCACCACATTCCTTCGAGAGACCTTTCCCTACATGCCCAGGCCGCGGACGGAGCCTCTTGTGGTGAGCAAAAGGCAGGAATTTACTTTGGAGACAATCTGGGACAGGGAAAAAGAAAGAATAAGCACAAGCTGCAGAATTGGAGGGGGAAACCAGAAAATCAGCTGAGTAGCTGAAGAAATCTATTGTTAAATTCATGTCAGGCTGTCAGAAAGGCCCCTCCGTCTGTTGTCTGATGCTGTAAGGAGACCAGGCACAATGCTTGCAGTGATTAACTTTATTGCTCCAAGGTCAAAGAGTTAGCACCCAGCACTTCCATCAGTTAAGCAGGTCAGTTGCAGAAGCTAAAGTTCCTGCCCCTTCCGTCCCCTATTCATTCTCCCTCCATGCATTTTTTTCATTGTGACAGCTTTTCTTAACTGTTTCAGCTTTTTCTGGACTCTTCGTTCCTGTGCTGAGGGTGGGGATGGGGAACGAGCTGAGTCAGTACAGTACTGTATTGCAGAGCAGGAGACACAGCTCCTTCTCCTTCTCTATCAGTGTCTGTGGCTACCTACCTCAAGACTCTCCCCTTCACCAGCACACTCTGCCGATGATTCCTCTCTGTCCTACCAGTCTGAACCTGGCTCAAAGTCCCCTTACCCCACAGGTGCCTCCTGGACCACTGGCTGCCCCCACTCTTCCTCATCCAACCAGTCCCTGACAATTCATGAGAAGCGAACAGACTCTCTCACCCACTTGGCAGGTGGGTGGTTCAGCGGGAGAGGAGGAGGCAGAGGACTGGAGGGGCAGCATTTTCTTCTTTGCCTCTAGCAGCAAAATGACCTGGGCCAGCCCTGATCAGTGTGGTGTAGGAGACAGTGTATGTACTTGGAGCTAGGGAAACCTGGATTCAAATCTCTGCCACACTGTGAAACTCACTGACTAACACTGGGCCCAGCCATCATCATCATCATCATCATCATTATTTTAGTTTCTACTCTGACTTGCAGGGCAAGTGATCACAACAGCAACTTACAATAAACATGTGAAAAGCAATGCAACATTGTATAAGTAACATTTAATAAAAACAGTATCAAGTAAAATTATATATAGGTGGCTGGCAATAAAATGTATTGTCAACTTAACCTATTCCTTGTGGTTACTACCAGGGTAAATTGAGATGTCCCTATGTGCACTGCTCTAAGCTCCTTGATGAAACAAGTGAGAGGTTAGAAGATACAAATGGAGAAAACAACCTTTCTGATTGAGTTTATTGGTCTTTTCCTTAACATTAGAATAAAACTTGGTACCCATGATATTCACGTGCTTCTGTGGTTCATGTAATATTTTAGGACCTGGAGAGTTGCAGGTTGCGTTTGGACCCTGAGATGGATCGGCACAGGTATGAGAGGAAGATCAGCTTTGCTGGGGTTCTGGATGAAAATGAAGATTCAAAAGATTCCTTGCACAGCAGCAGTCATACCCTGAAATCTGACACAGGTTGTGAAGAGAAGAAAGGTTTGTTGCCTACTAAAGCTTCAAACTTTTTCCAGGTCTATTGTTTAGCGCTGGACTTCTATGTCCTAACTTTTGAAATTGTTTTAAGAAGCGGGAAGCTATGGAGCCACAAGGCTGAACCATCACTAGCCCCAAAATATGTGTACTCTTAAGGCATAACTCACTGTGGTTGCTAAAGCCAGCAGAGTGTCTATCATTGTAATGCCATTTCATGCACACGTGCGCACGCACACAAAAACAGCCTCCTGGTTCAAGTGTTGCAATACAAAATACAATTAACAGTTACTTATACAACACTATTTTGGACAATAAGTAATAGTTCAGGGTATGAGATGTAGCATAGAAAATTGAGACAGCAAGCTGTTTACTTTTTTGAAGTCTCACAATGTAGAAATTAGGGATTTCAAAGGAGCAGCAGGCTTTGCTGCCATGAAGAACTGTAAGTCTTTGGAGACACTGACTATATTATTTGGCTGCTTTCTTGAGACTCCAGCAAGTACCTGGCAAATCACCCTTCCTAGCTCGAATCTGTTTGAAAACCTGGTTTCCAAACATCCTGTCTCTTCCATACACTTCTGTATATGACAGATGTCTGGTGCACAAGATAACGAGGCAGCTATAATTGCTTCCAGTCATCCCTGCCATGATTTCTGTCCTTCCAAGATAGCAGAACCCCACTTAGAAGTATATAACTCAGTCTTAAACTTCTCAGCACAGGACTTCACAATGCATGAAACCAGATGCAGCCCTTGAACCATATATGGTGACACTGCCCCTGCCCCCTTTCCAAGGGCTTGATAAACCTGCCTTGGGAATTGCAGAAACAGGAGTTTATTGAACCCCTATGGACTTCTACATAAGGCGTGTAGAATTTGCTTAGCTTATTAACTCACAAGTTGTACAGTACCGCCCTACAATTCTCAACATATTTAGGTGGAAGTAAGTACTTAAGTAGAGTACACTTTCAAGTTAATGCATAAGATCTCCACCAGTGTAGGTTCAAATATTCTAAAGCTCTCCATGAGTATGGTTGCATGGAGTAGTAACACCAGACTCAGCACTATCATGCTGATGAAGCACCATTGCCTAATAGTGGTTTGTGTAAACACGGAAACCCATTTAATACCTGTTGCATTTGGGCAGATCACCAGGAAGCAGTGCTTGATGAACATGGTCATCCTGGTCCAGACATTACTTCCTCCACACAACTGTGGCCATGGAGATGTGTCTCTAGTTTCTTTGCCTCTGAACTGGCACAGTTAAGCTGTTGGCTTTGCCAGAATAGCTTTTTTAAACCAACAGAGACATCCTATTTTATGGCAGTGAGCAATGAATTTCTCTTATTTATTTGTTTTTTGTCACAAGTCTGTTCATTGTAAATTGATTGAAAGCATCACTTTGCCTGTGATAGGCTTCTGATTTACATAGGAAATTGGTTTCTAATCTCTGTGAAGTCATCGTCTCTTGGCAGAGTTGCATACTATATGTTTTATCTATCTTTCACGTTAGTAGATACTGTTGATATCCTATCATCATTACAGATCCCCGATCAAATCAAGTAAAAGAAGCCCAGGTGCTTCTTGCATTATGTTATTTGCATACATTACAGGTTTTTCAAAATCTGCATAACACCAATTTATTTAAAGATATAATTAAATATTCTAAATATAGCTACATTGAGCTGCATCAATGGTATAGTATCTGTGTGCTTTTTACATTATTATTTGCAAATTCCTATGAGTCTCTTCCATGTTTACAGATGTACTTGAAGATGACTTGCATGGATGAGTAGCATACACACCTATCTTTCTAAAAGTCTCTTTGAACAATAGGTGTGCTATGGAACCTTTTTGGTGTATTTATTATCCACATCAGTTGTTCTCACGCAGCTCTCTATGAAGATACCATATGTAAAACCATACAGAGCAACAGTGCAAATTCAGTATGCAAATTATACGTGGCATGGCATAGCATTGCAGGTGTTTTGGGCATAGTCACATCATGTGAGTTCATATCGCAAAAGCAACATGGTTCAGTGCAAGATTATTTCTTTTACTAGCCAGAGAGAGGGATGGGGAGATTTGTACCTGGTCAGATCATTTTTTCAGCCCAAACTTGTAATGGTTTTCTGAGGACCCAGGCAGTCGTCTTTCACAATCAAGCTACTTGTGATTTTCTCCCACCCCCTTTCTTCTTCTTTTTTTGTTAGAGAAGCCCATGCTTGAATTTGGGACCAGAGCATAGGCTAATATGATAGAGACTATCAGTAGTAGTGACTTGTATGAGTTTCTGGAGGTTTGCAATACTCAACTCTACTTTGAGATGAGTTTCATAGCCTCTGAATTATTTTCCAGCTGAGGTTTTAATCTGAGCTGGAGGAAAAATACATGGGAGAGAAGGAGCAGGATTTTGATTTCCTCAGAAATAAGTGGAACTTCCTCATGATTCTGAGGGAGTAACTGATGTGAGCTAGGAGAAACTCACTCAGTTCAGTACTAGCCACTAATTCTCTTGAAGGCATCACAACACTTTCTGTGTATGTGATTCTGGAAATGCAGCCAGATTTCTAGAATCTACCTTTCCCATCATTTTAGCATTGAATTTTTCTCTTCCTAGCATAGCTGCTCACATTGTTTAGTTCTGAATTAATTATCAATTGCCTATTTTTACTAAAATTACCCAACAAGGCAACATAGGAATAGAAAGGAACAATAAAAATGTATATAATGTAAATTCAGTAAAATAGATCAGTTCAGTAAACACACATCAGAATGTAATACAGTCATGCTTTCAGTAAAAGGAGCTTTAATGTGTTGCTTAACAATTGCTAAAATGCAGTCCCATGTAAAAAAAACCTGTTCAGAATTTATTTTGTTGTGGCACAAGGGATTTCTGTATGTAAGACTAGATTGCAGATGGTAGATTGTTAGTAAGATGCTTTATGACACTTTGGAATTGACTATGATGAACATATTCGATTGTTTTATAATTTAAATTATTCTTTTCTCAAATTTAAAGGTAACAACATTTGCAGATCTTGACAAAGGCATTTCTTGTTATTGTTCAGCTAAAATTTGTTATCTGATTTTTCTCATCTGCAGTGACAAGGACAGGCTTCAAATCACTTTGAAAACCATTAACCTGTTTCTTCCTTTCACACAACATTCACCTCACTTGTATGATAATAACTTTTCATTGATTGGGCAACCAAGGTGTGTTTTTAAAACTATGTAAAAGCTATGTTTTTACAGTCACTGAAAGGTGGGTCCTAATGTAGATATACTAGTTAGGGCTAATTAGTAGTCTTGGAAAATATATTTATTATTGTGAACTAAGCCGTGTACTTTACTACCACAGTGTTGTCTATTGTAGATTATTTGGGGGAAGTCATGACCAGCTAATATAAATCTTGCACAGCATTGCAAGACTGAGTCAATAGATGACATTGCATGTCATACTCTCGCTCCCATTTTTTTAATTGTTGTTTTTTTGGTCTGGATAAATAGGAATAACAGTGACATATTTTGTAAGGTTGTTAGCCAGTGCAATGCAAATTATAAAGCAATTGGAGCATTTTACATTCCGATCAGCATACAGAGGACTATAAGTTTTACTCAGTTTGTTGTGCCTTGCTCATATTAGTGTCTAATGCTGCTGTTGTTTTTGTTGTTGTTCTTGTTGTTAACATGTTTCCTAGAAATAGTTTTTCATTACAGGAGATCTTAACCAGCACTAACCATCAAGCAAACTGGATTTTAGCCTCCAGTCCATCACAAAACAATAAAGACTTCTGCCTTGTAGTTTCTTAAAGTCGTTGCTACAAAAACCTTTATCAACTAGACATGACTTTTTTAGGACTATCAAGTCCTCTTTACTTCATGCATCAGATGAAGAGGACTGTGGTCCATAATGAATATTTTAGGTTTTTTAAGGCACTGCTCAAAACTCTTTGTTGTTTTGACTGCAACAGACAAATGTGATTATCTCTCTGGCAGTGTATCACATGACCTGTTTCCAAGTCATTCAAAAATATTCCCCTAATTGTGGTAGCTCTAAAATGCAAACACAGTTAAATGCAAAACATAACTAAGACAATAATGCTAGAGCCTGGAACACCTCTGAGCAGAACTGTGCATTCATGGCAGAGTGTCAGTGTGTCTAGAAATCAGAAGGATACTCCCAAACCCATTTTTTGTTGAATTTAGACATATCTCTTCTCACCACTGCACATTTCTCTGGCCTGCCCCTGCTCAAAAAGTGACAGCTATCATTTATCTACATTGCACCTGTGCAGTATGTTCATCTTAAGTAGATGTTCAGTTAAGTGTTGCAACATTTGGACTTGCATAATGTCATGTACTGCCTTAAAGCTGAGTGGAAAACAATGTGTAAATGACTGGTGCTTCAAACCATTCCATATCTTTGTGCTCATTAAAAAAAAACAACACACACACAAACCTCAGCATCCACAGATGTCTGTAATGCCTGAAAGCTGCTGAAAGGAGTTGGACTACATGTTATTGCTTTTTCTGTAAAATTCTGGTGAAGTTTAATATACAAAAACAGCGATCTGTTCAACAGCAATACCGAAACTGGGCAAGCAAAGTAGACTCTTAGTTTCAGAAAGCAGGCTGCCTATTTACAATCATGAACGCTGCATGATTGAGCACTGTGATTCTATAACAAGATTTAAACAACCTTCTGCTAGCAGGAGGATAGGTTTGCCCCTGGCATCTTGTCTACAACTCAGTCATTGGTAGCCAGCAATTGATGTAGATGCAATGGTGTAGATCAGGCATGGCCAAACTTGGCCCTCCAGCTGTTTTGGGGCTACATCATCCCTGACCACTGGTCCTATTAGCTAGGGATGATGGAAGTTGTAGTCCCAAAACAGCTGGAGGATAGAAGTTGTCTCTTGTCATATTGCTGAAGAATAAATCTGGAGCAACATGGGGTTTTTTGAGGGGGGTGGGGGGAGCACAAATTGTAGCTTTGATTGTTTAGCTATGGGGTTTCCAACAGTGCCTCTTACACAGCATTTTCATGATACTAATGACTGAATTGAAGGATAATAATTAATCTGAGTAACAGGCAAGAAATATGTCACATCTTTGCCAAGGTATCCCTTGCTGGATGATTAATAGAGCTGCATTGGCATTGGCTTTGGAGGGAGCCTCTTGCCGGTCTTCCTTGAGAGAAGGAAAGGCTCTGCAATGCAGGATGGGGGGATGGAGGGGTAGGAATATAACTATATATATATCTCTATATTTAAAATACAATTATAATTTTTAAATGGGGAAACCTAAGGGGGAAAAAGTCCTTTCTTATTCTTTTAATACAGTTCCCAGCAGGAAGATCAGGATAGGAGGCTCCCGCTTGCTCCAGATTAAAGGAACCCGCAGTTTCCGGGTGAAGAAAGGGGGTTCCCTGTCCAGCATTCGCCGGGCCGGCAGCCTAAAGAGCACCAAGTTATCACGTCAGGACTCAGAGTCTGAGAATGAGGAGCTGCAGCTGTCCCACAGCAGGGACACTGTCACTGACATAGGTAACATAGATGAGCTGGGCTAAAAAGGGAGCGGGATGATGAGGCAGCATCTTGAGCCTGGAAGCAACTCAAGCAGGTCTAGGGAAGTAGGAAAAGGGCTTGTAGGCTAGGCAGACCCTCCAGTTATTTCAGCTGAAGTAAGGAGAAGTTCACACTTTTTGCATGATTTAAATACATGGCAACAGCAGAGATTGAGTCCTGCCATTGGTACACGAGGTAGTCAGATCTGTTCCACTCAAAGGATGCTAAGTTTTAAAAATCTAAACGTTTGGTGCATGGACTCACTATACAGGCATTTTCCTGACTGCCAACCCGATGCATGCCATGCTTAGAAAGGTATATATAAAAATACCATATATTATATATCTATATGGCATATATAATAGCTGTGGTATTTTATATATATATACATATATATATACATATCTCAATATTATGGTCTGTGCATATAGCTATATATATACAATATGTATATATGATGCTGTGTATGAGATATAAATATATGTGTGCTCGTGAATCTCCAAAATATTAGTTCCCAAAGATTTCAGATACAGAAAAGTCAGGAACAGAGAAATCCTGCACTTGAATCTCCTTTACCCTTCTGGTCTCAGTGGCATTGCCCATGCTCTTTTCTTCCACAGGGAAATTCGAGTTCAGCCAGCTACATATTCATTTAAAGAAAGGGCAGGGAAGAACTAATTGGAAGTAAGCCATGTCTCTTACTAAGCCAATCCTAATGTTACAATCTCCAATACTCAGATTTTGTGCTAAAGGTCTGGCAAATTGGAAGGCCCATTTGGCAATAAATACATCCAGGAAACTCTGGGGTCAGAGAGAGCCCTCCCCCTGCCTTTGTCCTCTAGCTTTTGTCAGGATTTTTCCCCCTTTCATTCCCAGGCATTTTAGAGTCCTTTGATGGGACCTCGTAGGGCTGTAGCCTGTGTGCGGCAGCAGTAGTTATAGCAAAAGTGCTGCCGCTGCAGGACCATACATTTGGTGTTGTTTTTTAACCACAGAGCCCAGTCAATGCAGATCACTGAAACCAACAATTTTGCAGCATCTTGACGATGCAAGAATTCTCCTTCTCTTTACTTAACCCTCCCCTCTTCCAGAAAAGGGAGTAACTTTTATCCCTGATTAGTTGTTCTTTCAATGGCTGTTATGAATTATGCTTGTAATTTCCAGCCCAGCGGATAATCGGGGCCATAGAAGAAGGTTGGGTTGGGAATGAGAATAAGGGGAAATGTCTGACATTTGTTGAGAATAGCCAATGTTACTCCATCAGTGTTTGACTCATTAGGCTGGTATGCTAATGGCATGTCATTTCTGGCACCCTTAGGACATGTAACATTAAGAAACTGGCCTGGATTACAAGCATATACCATAGTTTTTTAAAAAAAAAACCACAGGAAGCATGGAAAAAAACCAAACTACTTGGGTGTATCTGTTTTCTTTTGAAGAAGGAAGCCCTTGGAGTGCAAGTGAACCCAGTATAGAACCTGAAGTATTAAGCAGCACAGGCACCGAAGAGAACTATCACCGGAATATGTCTTGGCTGCATGTAAGTAGAGATCACTGGCGAGGTCCTAGAATCTCAGCTTGTTGCACACAGAACTCACAGCTGATCATCAGGGTAGAGTTATATGTTTTTTGGCCGAATGGTGACCCCCCCCCCAGCTACTCCAGTGTTTGCTCTCCCCTTCACTGCCCAAATTCCCATTGAGACAAGTTAAGGCATCACTTTTTTGGGACGCGGGTGGCGCTGTGGGTTAAACCACAGAGCCTAGAAGGTCGGCAGTTCGAATCCCCCGACGGGGTAAGCTCCTGTTGTTTGGTCCCAGCTCCTGCCAACCTAGCAGTTCGAAAGCACATCAAAGTACAAGTAGATAAATAGGTACCACTCCGGCGGGAAGGTAAACAGCGTTTCCATGCGCTGCTCTGGTTCGCCAGATGCGGCTTAGTCATGCTGGCCACATGACCCGGAAGCTGTACGCTGGCTCCCTCAGCCAATAAAGCGAGATGAGCGCCACAACCCCAGAGTTGGTGACGACTGGACCTAATGGTCAGGGATCCCTTTACCTTTAAGGCATCACTTTAAGAAAGTGTAAACCAGGCTTCCTCAACCTCGGCCCTCCAGATGTTTTGAGATTACAATTCCCAGCATCCCTGACCACTGGTCCTGCTAGCTAGGGATCATGGGAGTTGTAGGCCAAAAACATCTGGAGGGGCGAGTTTAAGGAAGCCTGGTGTAAACCCCCAAAGTGAAGAAAGGTAAAATTAAGTCGTTCCAGACCTCATGGCCAGATGTAAGTCAGCAACAAATCAAGTCCCATAAGTTTTTCATTCATTAAATATAGTATTTTTTCCGCGCATTGAATGCTGAGCTGAGCTTATTTTGCTTTTCACTGATAAATTAATTTATAGCTAGAGATATTCAATATTTTCTTTGTGGTCTTTTCTTGGTACAAACATAACCCTGTATCTCTACAGAAATATCTGGGCATACTTTTTGTTCCAGGTGATGATACTGCTATGCAACCAGCAGAGTTTCATTTGCACCCACATTGACTATTGCCACCCTCACTGTTACCTCCATCATAGTCGCTCTTGTGCACGCCTTGTCCGAGCCATCAAACTCCTGTATGGAGACACTGTGGATTCACTCAAAGAGAATAACTTACTAAACAATGTGGCTAGGAGCAAAAAACAGAAAGAGGTAAGCAAGCTGACAAAATACTTCTTGGTTACACAAGCATTTATTCCAGTTAACTCGGCTACCTAATGCATATTAAACTATTGCATGGGCATTTCTCAGCTTTTCATAACATGCTGGCCAGGGAAACTTGTACTAGCATGATATTTGGATGTGAGATCAGGTTGCAGAAAAGGGAGGGTATTTCAGCTTATCTCATTCTCAGAAGTTATGTCACTCATGTCCTGAGAACCAAAGGGAAAGCTCCATAATTCATTTATTTTGTGTGTGTGTGTGTGTGTGTGTGTGTGTGTGTATGTTAGTAATAGGCACCTTGTGAGATCAGTTTCCCCCCACAAGTAAGGTGGCCTCTAAAAACATTTTTAGAGCATTTCCCCCATCCAATTCTCTTTCAGTGTTCAGACAAGTCATGCCTGAGAACACCCTCCTTGAAGAAGAGAGTGACAGATTCCAACCTTGAAGGAAAGAAGGATTCTGGAATGCTGAAATACATCAGGCATCAGGTAATGAGTGTGTCACCTACAGGACTGACAGACTAGCTAATGGAACATCATTTTTTTGTCTTTAATATATGTGTCCCCTTGATTTGGGCGGTCCACGGCATGTCTGTGAAGAACCCTTTAGAAATTATATTTCATGGAATTAAATTTGTAATGCAATGAAATACAATATAAGAAATAAAAGAAGCAATTAAAATATAATTAAAAACACACAGTGCATTATAATTGTTACAACAGACAGGCTGGGGGCAGAATCATTAAATGGTCCACCAAGGTCTTCAGCAGTTTTCAAGTGGTCCGTGGTTGGTAAAGATTGGGAACCGCTAGATTAGGCCATTCTTGCAAGACTAAAAAATGCAAGCATTTTCTTCCTGTTCTGGTGTACTGGAACCAGGTAGGTTTAGCTTCTCTTAGTACTTGAAGGCAGGAGCTTTTAAGTTGCCTGATACATTGCATGATTTGGCCCTGTGCTAGAGTCAGTCTTTTGGTCAGAGGTCGTCAGCCATATAATTATGGTTTTGGATACCAACTTGAGATTTACAGGTGTTAATGTAATTTCTGGTTTTTTTCAGGCTTGTACTTCAGTGTCTGTTTTTGCTATGTGTGCTCAGGACCCCTTTTTGTATTTTGGTTGACTTGCTGCTCTGGTTTGCCTGTATCTTGTGCTTAGGTTTGTGTGTTTTCCTCTAATTGGCCAGGAATTTTTCCTCATTCTTCTGGAGTCACCAATTTAATTAATTCTGTGGTTGTCTCCATTCTTCCTTCTGTTTCTGGTTGGTAGAATCATCTCCTTGGTGATTCCTTCTACAATTAATTCCCAGTGTCTAATTATTAATTAAAGTGATTTTCTACAATTAATTCCCTGAAGTAATGTTTGTCACTGAGTTGAAAGATATGAATTGTTTGGACTAAGTTGGTCAGTGCACAGCTGTAGCCACATCTTGCACCCATTTTATTTGCCTTCAGGGCACTTGGCTGTGCTTGAGGTGGTCATCCTTATACTCGCTTTCACAGCTGCCATTAAAGTTCTATGAAGTTCTTTAGTCTCTATTTTGAATGCATCTTATTTTGGTTTCACTGCTTCCACCCTTCATTGTTGTTCACTATTTGAGCCACCCTCTGCCCAAACAGTACTCCCGGCTACCATCTCACTTCCCAGTTCCCATCTTTATGATCCCAGCTGCCGTTTGAGTTCCTGCCTTTTTAATCTCATATACCATTATGTCATTGACTTTCACCCTCCTGTATTCCTCTGTGTGCCCACGAATTGTCGTCCAGGTCCACTGCTGCAGCAATGTGCAAAATTATTAAAGATAAGCCCACTGTGTCCAAATGTAAGCTGTCTTTGCTTCCTGGACCCCTGTAACAATCACAAGACTCTGTACCTGCAGAAATATTCTAAGTGACCCTGCCTGTCCTAGGGCACTGTTTTTGCATGCATGCCCCTGGAAAGAATGTGTGATAGGTTGTATGATTTCACATCCACTTGTATGCATCACATAACATGGGAAAAGGTCTTTATAGTAGTAGGTACGCCGGTCTTAATTTCAGATTGTTGAGTTTGAGCCCCACGTTGGGGGATTCTTGCATTGCAGGGGGTTGGATGAGATGACCCTCAGGATCCCTTCCAACTCTGATTCTATGAATCTCTTGATTCTATTAATATGTCCAGAATAGATTATAGTTTTTTTCAGACGAAGGACTGTGTTTTCCTTTTCAAACAGTTACTTGGTTTTAAAAATGCACTCATAATATGCTGTGTTGCCCTAGCACTGAACACAATATTTTTTAGCTCTGTATAAGAATACAAAATAGCCAGTGGCCTGGAAACAGATTCATTTGAGTTGATGTTTGATCATAGTAACATAATTAATATCGGGGTCATTAATTATTATTATTATTATTATTATTATTATTATTATTTATTTATTTATTTAAACCCCGCCCATCTGCCTGGGGCTTCCCCAGCCACTCTGGGCGGCTTCCAAAAAAATATTAATGAAAAACGTATTGGATTTAATGAAGGAGCTGCAAGTGAAATGTAATTTTCCTTTAATTATCTTTTTTAATTAGTTAATATATAAAGAACAAAGAAGCATGTGCATACCTATATCCCTGGTCCTTCGGACAAGAAATACACTCAAAATTGTTAAATGTAATATTCTTGAATTAGGCAATGGATTTCATTCTTTCATTTGTTTGTTTGTTTGTTTAATACCCCCCCCCCCCATAAGGCCTCAGGGCAGCTTATAATGATAAAATGTTATTGGTATCCATCTCGCGAGAGACAATGGATGTGGGTCCGTGAGGTGCGTTAGGAGCACCGACAAGGCTCAAGCCTCAAGTGTGTATTGAGATCCTGGGCTGCCCAGACAACAAGACCCTCCCTCTCGTGCTCGCTGATGTGGTCCATAGGAAAGAAGAGCAAAATGTTTGGCATCAGCTTGGCTACAGGAGTTCCTGGAAGGAGGTGTACAAAGCGCCATCCAACTGGCTTAGGGACTCCACTCCAGATTTGTGTAGGCTTTGTTCCTTAGCCTTTTCTTCTCCAAAGATGCCCCGCAAGGTAGTGGAGGTTTAGGATCAAAGTTTCACTTTTTCTAGATGGACTAACTTCCCAGGTTGGCAAGCCCCATCTGCCCCTCACTTCCCTCTAGGATGTGCAGAAACCACCTTCTTGACCATTGGACCCACTCTTGGTCTCTTCCACTCAATCTGCCAGAGCTTGTCTTCACATGCAGCAGAAGTCCCTAACTTCTGCTTGAAACCCATCAGCTACCTTCACCTGGCTTAGCTAACCAGTTGAAGCCATTCCCAGGGTGTGGCCGCTGTCACATGCTGACAGCTTCTAGGAGCTACAGGTGAGAGGGTGGGACCCCAGGGGGACATGTTCTCCACTACAGATACTACCCTAGCATCCCATACCCTCAATAATAAAATTCAGCGTTATAGAACAGATAAAGCTGTCTACAACCACAGAGAAGGAAAATGTAAAACAATATGAAATGATTCCATGTATAAAAACAATTAAAAATAGTTCCAGTACAAATGCAGATGGGATAAAAATCTCCACTTATAAGTCTTGTTGAACAAGGTTGATGAGGTGCAAGCAGGGCTTTTGGAGAATGCTGCATACTTAAACACTAGTACATAGTCCACGCTGAACTCAGCAGAACGTTCTTCGGATCAAGCATGTTTTGGGGCTATAAATGTCCTCTTACTTTTAATTGCTATTTGGCTCTGCTGTACAGCATGATCTCTTTTTCTGCAGGTGATGAGTTTGTCTCCAGCACCTTTGTCATTGTTAATTAAGGCAGCGCCCATCCTCACAGAAGAGATGTATGGGGACATCCAGCCTGCAGCATGGGAACTGTTGCTCAGTATGGATGAGCACATGGCTGGGGCAGCAGGTAAGAAAGTCCTCTTCCTCTGGCACTCAAGCCATTTTAAGTGGGCAAAACATAATTTTTGTAAAATTCTTCAGTGACAAGTCTTTAAAAATATGTTTTTGGGTGTGAGGCATTATAATGAGGCTATAATGTTTGTGATTGGACAACATTTAGCTTAGTAAGTCTACATTTGATGAAGAAGCAACATAAACTGCTTTTGGAAAACCAAACAATTTTAATTTTCTGAAAATGTCAGGTAATGCTAAATAATAATTATTAGTATATCTCTATAAATCAATTTGAATGATTTATTTGCAGTTTTACACACTTTATACTTGCCTGGGAATTTTCTGTCCCCTGGAACAGTTGTGTTATTCTGGTGTTATGTGAGCCCTTGCTTATGCTACTACATGTACTAAGACAGTACACATACACACACACACCCTTTCTCTTCTTGCTGCATGTAGTATTCATGCTTTCCACACAGGAAATTTATAATGAGTGGCCCACAGTAGCTCCCCATTTGCTGCCAGATCTCCTCATAAAACAGCAGTTTCCTAACCATTTACTCAAAGAACCAAAGGCATAGTTCTGAACTACATCCTCCAGAACTGCTTTTTAAAATTAAGGTGCCTCCCAGGTTTTCTTATTTCTTTATGAGTATGTCATTAAAAAACAAAGAATTTTACAGCAACACACACACACACACACACACACACACACACACACACACACACACACACACACACAAGGTTAAAAACAGATACACACCATTCATGAAATATTTGCTTCCTGCAGCTGCCATGTTCCTTCTATGTGCTGTGAAAGTGCCAGAGGCAGTGTCGGATATGTTGATGTCTGAATTTCATCACCCTGAGGCAGTGCAAAGGTTGAATGCCATTCTTAAATTCCACACCCTCTGGAGATTTAGGTATCAGGTGTGGCCTCGGATGGAGGAAGGAGCTCAGCAAATCTTTAAGGTAAATTGCGTGGCGAGTTCCCGCCCCCCACCAGGATAAATAAAGACACAAGACACCATAATTTAAGGTTAAATGGGCGAATTAGGCCACAACTTTATTGAATTCAGGAATGAGAGGCATTGGCTTAGGCATTTGTCCTATCGACTATCCGGCTCCAGCCCATTTGCTGGAGACACGGGAAGGGTTAACACCATAGAGGGAGAGTCTCCTGCTGAGGCACGTCAACTAGGAGCTCCCCCGGGTCACCGCTCGGGGGCGTGCCTTTGGCTCACACCTCCATAGGCTTCGGACAGGGCCACGCCCCCCGGAGTCCTTTATCGGACCACCCTTCATTCACTGGGGGGAGGTGATGGTGTTCCTCCCCCCCCACATCCTCTTAACCCCTTCTTACCAATGCCTAACCACCACACGAGCAATCGCTCGCCGCCAATACTCTCATGCCTGAAACCAATCCCTTATCCCCTTTGCTATATCCATCAGCCAAATATCATTTCCAGCATCCGAGAGATGCACGCCATCAGCCAAATATCATTTCCCGCATCCGAAAGATGCACACCATCAAGCCGATAGAGGGCCTCGCGGTTGAAACGTATGCCCGGGTGGTCAATGACCCTCCCACCCAGGGCTGCCACTCTACGCACCACCGTCCGATCCAAGGCTTTCCTAGCCCTATTTATGGCTATCGGGCACCTGCAATCTCTCCAAACCCGCCTCTCCATCAACGAGGCCCAAATAAAATAATAGTGACGTTTGGGTAAAAGGCCTTAAGTTCCTCAAAGTCACTAAAGATATGCCACATCAAGTCGACTGCCTTTCTGCAAGCTAACTCATTTTCGCCTAATTGGATAACTAAAGCATCTGGGGGGCCCTCTGCTGCCGCTCTGGCCCTAATTGCGGGCAACATGCCGGCAAGAGAGGACAAGCCCGACCGCGCCGGCCCTAAATAGGGCAGGCGCCTTCCCCCCAGCCACCCGATTGGCTGGCTGGGGGGAACAACACGACTGGGATTCCCCTGCTATCGCGGGGGCTGAAACCAGCCCGCAACCCCACCTCCTGCTCAGGTTCGGAAGTGGCTTTGTGACACTGTCTGGTACAATTAAGTGTTCGAGTTGTGGCACCAGAATACACCTTCAAAATCCTGTTTTGTTTTGTTTTCCTTTTTTAACTTTCCATACAACACATTTTTTAGACTTTGAATTTAGACAACCACTTACAGTAAAATAAAATAGAAATTAAAACTTACCAAGGGAGAATATGAGACTCCCTTTATAATATGACTATAATTAACACTGTTGACGTCTTTAAGGAGTCTGAAACATTCTGTGGCAATAAATTGAACACGGGTTAAGGTCATGTGACAGCTCAGATTATCCCATTCATTATACCACATCTGATTTATTGGGAGTAGCAGACAAATGTAAGAAGATATGATACATACTCACATCTTATATCCAGCTTTCTGGGAGCTAGGAGGTTATTAAGCTGAGTTAACTTCTGTGAAAACAGAATGCTAGACTAGATAGGCCTTTGGTCTGATACTAGAGTGGATCTTCCTGGATCAAAGCTTTCTCCCCTATTGTTGTAGGTATAGGTGGCTTTGACACTGCGTTGGCCACACAGAGTGACAGAATATGCTTTGTAACCCTTCCTCCCAAGCTGAGGGAGTGTGACCTAGCTAAAGCTGGCGGGACGGCTTGCTCTATGCTCTTAATCCCTTCATGCATTAATTAAAGTTAAACATGTTGCTTATGTGAAGCTGACATCCCACACAGGGAAATATATGAGGTTATTTTCTTCTAAAAATAAATAAATCAAATGTCTTTCATAACAATAGGTTACTTAGTTTAAAGAATCATTAGCCTTCACTTCTTGTTTCATAATGAAGCTTGTAATTCCATCTTTATCCCATGGATGAAATTAAATGGCCTTTCATATTTGGACTCTGGAACATTTCCTCATTCCTGAAACAGGAAATATTTAGTATAGATAGAAGGGATTTGTTTCTACAGAAGCTTTTGGTTATGTGAGTCTCTTTCTCCCCCATTTTGATGTCTTGATCTTTTTTTCCTAGATTCCTCCACCTAGCATTAACTTCACACTCCCATCCCCAGTTCTGGGAATGCCATCCGTCCCCATGTTCGACCCTCCATGGGTTCCACAGTGTAGTGGGAGCGTCCAGGACCCAATTAATGAAGATCAATCCGTAAGTAAAAAATCTTCTTGAAGTAGGCATTATTTTTTGAATGATACGCTGCTTGTGAGAAGAGTGAGACAGTCGCAAAACAAGACATGCAGGTAAAAGGCACCCAAATAACTGCGTAAGTGTCTTTGAAATACATTTTTAGTACATTTCATAGCACATGAAAAATAATGTGGGATGTGGGTTTTTTAAATCATTTTAATGATTCTCTCAATACATGAATTACTATTAATAATAATATTGTATCAACAATATTAATAGTGTTGGAGAAAAGCAAACAAATAGCTCTAGGGATCTTAGATTAGTAACACAGCCATAAAAACACAGCCATTAAAGCAGCTTTTTTATCCTGAATAAAAAGACCAAGTCCAGGGACAAAATATAAATACATTGAATTCAAGAAATGCTTTTACTAAAAAGGGATGGAGCTCATCAATAAAAATTGGTCTAAATAAAAATATTTTACTTTTACAGCAGTCCTCCAGATGTCCAATTCCATACAATTCCCTCTCCATGAGAAAGTTCCACTCCATGGGGAGTGTCTATATATGTAAAGTATGCACAAGCAGCATTGAAAAAGCAGAGGCCAAATCTGCATCAGAATGTACATCTTTGTGGGTGTCTGTTAAGCCAGAACCAATATACCCATGCACATGGTTAAACCACTTGAGGTAGCCTGCTGCTATAATGTGCATTAGTTTGCAAAAATACTTTTTCATGAGGATAAACACCCAAAATCTTCTGAAGTTGTTCAGAAAAGCAAGGGTATTTAAGAAAATCTGTGGTCTTCCCATGAATATCCAAGAATGAGGGGAGACAAAGCAATTACCGTATTTTTCCGTGTATAAGATGCCCCCATGTATAAGACAACCCCTACTTTTTGAGCCTGAAATAAATAATTGCAACATTCCATGTATAAGATGACCCTCAATTTTAAACAAAAAAATTGGGGGAAAATATACTGTATTTTTCGCTCTATAAGACGCACCTGACCATAAGACACACCTAGTTTTTCATGGAGGAAAACAAGAAAGCAATGCAAAACCTCTTGAGCAAAGAGGCAGGAGTGCTCCAGCTGCACTCAAGAGGCTTTGTGTGGCTATCCCTGAAGCCAGGAGAGCAAGCGGGATCAGTGCGCACCAATCCCTCTTGCTCTCCTGGCTTCAGCGAAAGCAGCACAAAGCCTCTTGAGCGAAGAGGGAGTGCTCCTCCCTGAAGCACCACTTTAGCTAATGGGGCCTCCCACTGCTGCTGCGCCACCGGAGCACAATTTCTGTTCTCATCCTGAAGCAAAGTTCTTAACCTGAGGTACTATTTCTGGGTTAGCGGAGTCTGTAACCTGAAGCGTCTGTAACCCAAGGTACCACTGTACTCAGTGAGGGAAAGTGGACAGGTTTGACACATTCTCATTTATTTGGTTTTAAACATATTTTAGGGTTAGTCGGTATCAAACCTCACTTGGAACTGAATTCCAAGGGACTAGAACCTTCCTCTGTTTCGACAACCAGTTCTTCCCATTTTGGGGTCATTCCTTAGTGATTTCAGTCAGTGTGATAAAATGCTCTAGAGGGCTTTATAGGAGGAGATAAAATGCTCTAGAGGGCTTTATAGAAGGAATAACCTTCACCTTGAATTGAGCCTGGAACCTCTCTTTGACAGCAAGCACCATTCACAAGTACTAGTTGAACCACCCCATAACAAACAAACATGGGAGACAATACAATGCAGCATCTCTGCATGCAATGCAGGCAGCAGTGCTGTGATTTATAAACCAATACCATGGTGCCTACTTCCATGTAAAGTTGCATTAGATTGTTGTAATATACCACATGTAGTAGACATAGTGTGAACTGGCTACCTTTCTGATGTACGTAGTCTCTATTAACAAATTGCTTCAAATGTTTCCATAGGTTATTAAGGTTGTTAGTAAATTATGTCCATGTTAAAAACTTAATCAGAATACTCATAAACTGCAAAATGTGGATGGATGGATGATAAATAAAAAATGTGCTGTATAAAACCCAAGCAAACTCATTCACATAGCCTGCCTCCTACCCAATGGTTTGCTTACAGAAGTCATTTTCAGCCCGGGCAGTGTCACGTTCTCATCAGCGAGCAGAACATATTCTCAAGAATCTGCAGCAGGAAGAAGAGAAAAAACGTCTGGGCCGAGAAGCTAGTCTGATCACTGCTATCCCCATCACCCAGGAAGCTTGCTATGAGCCCAGCTGTTCCCCAAGCGTGGAGCAGGAAGAGGAAGGTGTGATTACTAGAGTCTGATAAGGCAAATGTACTGGGGATGTAATATAATCTTCATAAATTGCTCATGATTTTATTGCAGTAGAGATAATTCAAGGTTACAAGGGAGCAAGTGTTGATTCAATTGATGATTAGAAGTAGGAGCAGCACTTAGTTGCTTTGAGCACAATTTATTAGCATTGTCACCTGTTGAAGTAACCACAAAAAAGACTGAGAGCTTTTTCAAGGTTTGTTGTGAAATTAGCACAAGAAGACTAGAACAGTCCTCATTTCCTTATATTACTTTAAACAGGATTGACGTAGCTATTTTTTTCTTAAAGTAATTGCCCTTGCTTATTAAAAATGGAGTGGGGAAAGTGTTTGTCAGTAAGTAGCATATGACAATAGTCTTTAAATATTCAGGGTTGGCAGCAAGGTACTCTGGCAGCCTTGACAGGATTGACACTCCAGGAAACTGCATAACCCCAAAAGAAGACAGGAGAAGCTCAGATTCAGTTGTTTGAGGACTGAGGGGGGTGTTATATGGAAGATGGTGACAATGGGAGTTTCCTCCTGAAGCAAATAGAAGCCGTGCCCAATCCCCAATCTGGATCAGAACTGTCCTCAGTGAGATCTTGATCTGGATTGGGAACCACCTGGCTGTTGTTGCCAGCTGGCATCCATTTATCTCCAGGGTTGAAGTCAAACCTTCGGAGAGTTACAGTGCCTGCTTTGGAGACTGAGGCTTGTCTTGTTGCAGCTGGGGCAGATGAAGGCATCTGGTTTTGCTGCTATAGGTGCACCATGGTGTTTCTTCTCTCTGTGCTCCTCCCAGCAGTCTGGTTGTTTAAAAAGCATTCAGTCGCTAACAATTGTTAACAACTTGGAATAAAAGTCTGACTTGAGTTTTTCACTGTTGAGATAGGTCATTACAGTAGTAATAATAATAATAATTTTTATTTATACCCTGCCCTCCCCAGCCAAGGCCGGGCTCAGGGCAGCTAACAAGCAATAATAAAAACAAGTTGAATGAATACAACTTAAAAACAAAATTAAAATACAACATTAAAATATTGAAACATTAAAATATTAAAATGTAGCCTCATCGCAGGAGGAGAAAGGAAAAGAAAAAAGAAAGAGGGGGAGGGAATCAAATTGGCTCCAAGCCAAAGGCCAGGCGGAACAACTCTGTTTTACAGGCCCTGCAGAAAGAAATCAGATCCTGCAGGGCCCTGGTCTCATGAGATAGAGCGTTCCACCAGGCCGGAGCCAGTGTTGAAAAGGCCCTGGCTCTGTTTGAAGCTAATCTAACTTCCTTAGGGCCCGGGACCACTAGGGTGTTGCTCTTTATGGACCTTGAGGCTCTCTGTGGGGCATACCGGGAGAGGCGGTCCGGTAGGTACGAGGGTCCTAGGCCGTGAAGGGGTTTAAAGGTCAAAAGCAGCACCTTAAATCTGACCCTGTACTCCACCGGGAGCCAGTGCAGCTGGAAAAGCACTGGGTGAATATGCTCCCATGGCAGAGACCCCGTGAGGAGCCTCGCTGCAGCATTCTGCACCAGCTGGAGTTTCTGGGACAGCTTCAAGGGCAGCCCCACGTAGAGCAAATTACAGTAGTCAAGCCTGGAGATGACCATCGCATGGATCACTGTGGCCAGTAGACCAGCATAGGACTGGGATTTAGAAACCAAAATTTACATCTACTATTTGTTCCGTCAGTAGAAGAAGTTGCCAACCTGGCGTCCCGCCGTCTCTCTGTAAGCCCATCCTGCACCTCCAGCACATCTCACAGGAACTACTCCTTCCGCCGTGGCTCAGTTTGGTCAGTGCGTTCAGCAGTCAGTGCTGAAGGTAATGCAGTTTAAGACTGGATATTGATCGTCTTGTTAAATGCCATAGATTCTTTCTTGCATTGATTATGTATTTATTCAAAGCATTTATACCTTCTTCCTCCCAGAGGAAAAGCAAACCATCTCAGGGACCAGTCGTTAAAGTTACATGACTGGTTCCGGCAGAGAAGGAGCCCAATGGAGCTGGTTTCTCAGCAGGGCCAAAGGAATGACTCTGCTTCCCATCAATCCCTCCCCTCAGTCACTGCAGCCTGATGGAATGGGTCCTGTCAGGTGACAGGTGATGGGAGGGAAGAGCCTGGTGGAGCTGCTTTGTCTGTTACATACATTTGGCTTTGCTTATAGCTTGAATCAGGGATTTCATTTATTTTTATTTTATTTAGAACCCATTGTGTATTGTGATAGCAGTCCCAGAGTGGCTTACATAAAATGTAGTATGTAGTAAGACAGGAGGAATCAATATATTACATTACTCTCAACAGTCAGAAAAAACCTAAAATAATAAGAATAAACAGGCCCAAATATCCTGTAAATGCCAAAGCAAAAGTGTGATTCTTTAGCTGGTTCCTAAGCCTCACAGGAGTCAGAACCAGCTGGATTTCCCTTCAGGGAAGGGAATTCCATAATTGATGCACCGTCACCAAGAAGGCCCTCCCTCAGTTTACTATGTAGTAGGGTAACTTACCATGAGGGCTTCTTTCATAGATCTTAACACACTGGCAGGTCTGTATAGCAGATCATGCTCCTTCAGGTATCTAAGGTACAGTGGTACCTCGGTTTACGAACTTAATCTGTTCCGGAAGTCCGTTCTTAAACCGAAACCATTCTTAAACCCAGGCGCGCTTTCCCTAAGGATGCCTCCAGCTGCCGGTGCCCTTTCACCGTTCGGATTCCATTCTTAGACCGAGGTAAAGTTCGCAAACTGGGACACTACTTCCAGTTTTGCGGATTTCGTAAACCAAATAGTTCATAAACAAGGCTGTTCTTAAACTGAGCTACCACTGTATATGGTTTCAGTCGAAGGAGTGACAAGCTTCAATTATATTTATGTATAATTTATGTATGTGGGGGCTCTTAAGATCTCGCCATGCTTTCAAACTCCCTTCTCCTTTTTGAATGCTTGAATTAACTTGCAGTCAGTGCTGGATTAGATTGCAGTTTGGGAATGTGTTTCTGTTTCCATATTTGCAATGTTTTCTTATGGGAAACAGACTCATTATTAAGCGGGACTCCATTTACACTATATCTGTTTGTTTTCCCCCCTAGATGAGGAACACACGACAGAGCACACACCAAATCATCATGTGCCCCAACCCCCACAGGCAGTCTTCCCAGCATGTATTTGTGCAGCTGTGCTCCCTATTGTCCACTTAATGGAAGATGGAGAAGTCCGGGAAGATGGAGTAGCAGGTGTTTTTAGTTTTAAGGGTTTTTAGAATAATTAAAATGAATGTGACAGTGCAGTAATTTGGGCTGTGCGATAAATTGCCATATCGTTCCGGTATTGAAATAATATTGTGATAAGTGTTTCAACAAGGCAACATACTGGTGAACAAAAGGGGGAGACTTAACAGCTTCCCAGGGGGCACCTTACCGATAATTTGCAGATAATTTGCAGGCACCTTATCTCCTGCTTTGTTTGCTCTCTCCCTCCTAACCAATAAGAAATGAGGACAAGCCCTCACACAAACCAGCAAACTCTTTTCAGCTTCACTGGTATCTTTACACTTAGAGCTCAGCTATTGATTCAGAGCCTGCTAACAATCCAGGAGGAAACTCCCCCCCCAAAAAAAAAAACAACCCAAAGAATTGAAAAGCTCTTCTTTCTCCCCTCACACTCATCCCCACCAGTGGAAAAGAGGGGGGAGAGTTTTTTTTTAATTTTCTGGTGGTGTTTATGTTGTTAGCTTTCCTCCATATCAAAAAGGAAGGGTTGTGGGTTTTTTGTTTGTTTTTTTAAAGGAGACTATCTGGAAAGTAGGATTGCAGCCTAAAACTCTTAAAGCATTCACCCTCTTTTTAGCACTTAAAATCAGGATCTAGCTGGTAGAGAAATCCTTATCTTTCTGTTATAGGCAGAGGGGTTTGTTTTATTGCCTGAATTAGGTCAATTGATTTGTTGCATTCTACAAAATAACTGAAGCAATTTACAGGAATAAATTTTATATAATCCCACGGTTGGTTCCATAAATGGATTGTTAGGGCATAACAGCCATTTAAAGTATCATTTTCTCATGTTGTAACTGGAGCATGCATTTGCCTCCTTGATTCCTAGCACTTAGTGTGCTTTTGAAGTTTTTAGGACTACTGTTACTGTATTCAAAAGTTTCCTATTTCCAGGTTCCATATTTCACTAAATAAGCAGTAATTAAGTAAAAGTAAAATATTGTAGAAGGATCATTGCCATAGCAAAGATATCACTATATAATGTAGTGCTATAAGGCTGCAGTCCTAATATAACATAACAGTCCTGTATTATATAACAGAAGTAAATTCTGTTATATTTAGTGGGACTTATTTCCAAGTAGACCTGTATAGAATTGCACTGCAAATGTGGAACTTCCACTTCAGGCAGTTGTAGAATAGCAATGCCTCAGCTGTTCTAAAGATCTTTATTGGGAAGCAACTTAAGTTTTGCATGGAAAGGTGCCATCAGATGGCTCATAATTTAAAATAAACACAAAGAATTGGTTATGTTCAGAAGAGAGAAGTAAACTAAAAAATCAAGTTGATTTTAGACTCACAAGGCTAGGTGGGACCTGGCCTAGCTAAAGAAAAAAATGTGAACCATTAGTTATTGCCATGTGACATTTACTTTTTCCTGAAATGGGGCCCAGACTAGCCCTCTCCTTTTGTCTTGTGCAGTGAGTGCCGTGGCTCAGCAAGTCCTGTGGAACTGTCTCATTGAAGATCCTTCTACAGTTCTTCGGCATTTTCTGGAGAAACTTACGATCAGCAATCGACAGGTAGAGACTCTGTTTTCTAGTATACAATTAAAATTAATGTACCAGTGGAACTTCTTGTATGTCTTTGTAATGTTATATTGTCAATGGGTACATAAGAAGATACCTTTGAAACAAGGATGGCTGGGGAACTTCTGGGAAATAATTTTATTAGTGAAACTCACAGCTTTCAGGTTTATTTGAACATGTTAATGAAATATGGAGTTCAGTAGCTGTTTCATAAGCAACTCTTTGTCACTGAGCTATGACCAATGGTTAAACCCATTGCTATTTTTCTAGAAAAAGAGCTGCTAGAACTCACCATGAACACCTCCCTTGTTCTCTTAGAAAAACAATGGTGCCCACCTGAGAGGTGTTGGAACTGAGTTCTGGCTGGAAAAAAGCCCTGGTCAAACCTCATATTCTGCCTTTTGAAAACATATTTATCTTAGAGAAATGTTACCTTCATATGAAGGTTTTAACTTTTATGTGTTGATACTAGTATCAAATACATTTATTTATTTATTATTTTTTTAAATGCCCCAAACACTTTGAGACAAGACTAGGGTACATAGCTGTACCTTCATTCCAGGTTTTATGGATTTCCAGTTTAGTTAACATGAAAGTGAATGACTGGGAAGCCTGTCCAGCTGGCAGGGGTGGAAGTTGGGTACAATAATTTATCCTAGTAGAAGCCGTGAAGTTAACCAATGGAAGGTATTCATATGTATTTGTGGAGTGGATCCTTTTTGATGAAAAGAGTAAAAGTGAGTTAAATTTTGAGAAGAAAGTAAGAAAGCTGAAAAGCAAATTCTGCTCTTATTCTAGGATGAGTTGATGTACATGTTGAGGAAACTTCTGCTCAACATTGGAGACTTCCCTGCCCAGACATCCCATATTCTATTTAATTACTTGGTAAGCTGTTCTGAGTCCCTTGCAGAGCCAAAACTGTAACCATTATTTACACATTTCTCCAAAATATAAACACTGGTCTGATTTGCACCTCCCTAAACCCAAGAAAAGACTTGCTGGGTGTTCCCAAAGTGTAATAAAGGCAAAATACAGTTGGCTGATATTGTGGTGTTGGTTCTGATGCCCATAGTCCTGTGACTAAGAAATAGAAATACAGGAATCAAAACAAAGTGGACCTGAAATATGATTTAACATTACTGAGAGATGATCACTAAAGATTCAAAAGTTTGTGAAAGAACAGGGTCACTGCTGTTGCTAGTCAGACAAAGTCTTCATAGCTACATGAATCTCACTCATCAGGCTAGGGGCAAGTTAGAACTCTTTCTCTTGACTGAATCACAGCATATAGAAAACTAGATGGGAAGACTCAGTCAAGAGGCTCTTTCAAGCAGCAACACGTGTTCCCTGAGGGGACTTCACATTCATTATTATTATTTTGTTTATACACTGCTTGATTGTAAAAATCCTCAAAGCAATTTACGAAAAGGTAAAATAATAAAATTGAGAAAAATAATAAAACTGAGAAAACAAGTTAAAATTCTAAAATAGATTAAAATTACCTCAGCTTTCTAAGCATCTGGTAGGCCTGCTATAAAATAAGAAAGTTTTATAGCAGGCGCCAAAAAGAATACAGTGAAGACGCCTGCTTGATCTCAATAGGCAGGGAGTTCCAAAGTGCAATACATTATACTTTGAAACTGAGGATCTCTAGAGCAGGGCTAATATGTGCCTAACTGGTGCTCTTTGCAGAACTAAGCCAAATGCAGCCTGTATCTTTGTGATTCATAGGTGGGACTGATCATGTATTTTGTGCGCACGCCATGTGAGTGGGGCATGGATGCTATTTCCGCGACTCTGACTTTCCTGTGGGAAGTTGTAGGATATGTAGAAGGACTATTCTTCAAGGATCTCAAACAGACTATGAAGAAGGAACAATGCGAAGTGAAGCTTCTGGTTACTGCCTCAATGCCTGGTATGGAATTCACTATACAGTACATAGACGGGGGCCTTTTAGCCGAATTTGCTTCTTATATTTACTTTTTGCTGCTGCAGCACTGCTGTGTTTCTTTCTCATTATTTTTGATGGTCTCCTTTTAATTAAACAATTCAAAGTCAATTCTCTTAAAAAATTAATTTCCAGTTTTAAAATTTAAAGTAGGGTTTTAAAATACAATTATTATTAATAATAATTTAAAAGCTAAACTAAACTAAATATGCCCCCACAAAGGACTTGGTAGGTCAGTGATGGGCACTCTCTTTGGCTGATCAGGCCACTTCCCCACCCTCTTCCAACTCCACTGGGGGGGGGGGGTTGACCAGAGCGGGTGTATCAGCCACAACATTTGGAGAACTGGTACCCATCTGCAAAAACGACATTTTATTGCAGTGTCCTGCATGACACACAAAGACTCACCAACCTTCAAAGCTTGTATGCTGGATTCCTGCCAGAAATAACCATGGGTTGCAATATACAGTATGTCCTTGTGAGTTCTCTGTTAGCCGTGTCTGCTGTAGTGTGAACAAACAAAGACACTGATCCAAAAATCATCCTTTTTAACACCCCCCCAAGTTCTCAAATATTATTATTTTTCTTAGAGTATCCCCTGAGGATTCATAAAATATTAACCACAAACACTTCCTAGCTGTTGATGTCTCTGAACAAAAGATTGCTGTCTACACAATAGAGCCAGCATTGTGTCACAGTTAGCCATGAAACACACTGTGTGACTTGGAGCCAATCATTCTCTCTAAGCCTAACCTACCTATAGAATTGTAGAGTTGGAAGAGACCCTGAGGGTCATCTAGTCTTAACCCCCTGCAATGCAATAATCTCAACTAAAGCATCTATATTTCACAGGGTTCTTGTGAGAATAACATGGGGGGGGGGCATGTATAGTTCCATGGGTTCTGTGGAGAAAGGGCAGGATATAAATATAAACTGAAATATATACACTGAACAGTGGCTTTGAAATAGTACTTTATTCCCCCCCCCCCTTTTTCTTTTTCTAACAACCATGTATGCAAGGGTTAATATTACCAGTAGTGTTGGTCTTTTGTAGTCTGGTATAGTATATTAGGACATTAAATTATACTAATTACATTGGACGTTGTATTATACTAATTATATTAGGACAATATTATATTATATTTTTTGTAGGCACCAAGACCCTTGTAGTTCATGGGCAAAATGAATGTGATATCCCAACTCAGTTACCAGTCCATGAGGACACTCAGTTTGAAGCTCTGTTAAAGGTCTGAATACTATTTTATTAAAACAATTCAGAACAATGTTTTGATGCCTATATTTTCAAATCCACCAGTATTATGGAAGTAATGAAATATGAAGCTTCATTTTTCTGTGAATTATTTGTCCCGGTGTCAACTTAGATGTGTAAAGACTGGACTTGTAAAAGCATGATTTTCCTCCAGTGTATGGGGCAAAGAAATAGAGTAAATAAAACAAAATTGTATTCAACATTAACATGCCAACATGGCTGAAACCAGGCAGCTCTTATCCTAAGCAGAAGGAATTGTTTAAGGACATGAAGGGATTCCCAGCTACCACCCTACTTGTGCCTTATATTCACAAGAATGACCAATAAAATACTTGCAGAATTACATCAGTTAATATAACTTTTTAAAAAGAATCTCCAGTATTTCAGATCTGAAGCAAATACTTTCATCCTCTTGAAAAACTATGCAGTTTTTAAAATCCCCCTTTCTACAGGCAGTGGTTTATAGAGATGAGATGTGATCGCAGGAGGAATTTAGAGTCTAAAATAGATAGCTTTCTTGAATGAAAAAGTATTCTGGAACCCAAATAATATATTTTAAATTATGTCCTGTATGATTTGCTCAAAAGATAACAGCTGTTGCTTATTTCTTTCCACTTCAGGAGTGTTTGGAATTTTTTAACATATCTGAATCCCAATCTTCCAACTATTTCTTAATGGATAAACGATGGAATCTTATTCATTATAATAAGGTGAGACAATGTTTTGTGAGCTGATTTCATGCATTCATTGCTATTGTAAAGGTAAAGGTAAAGGGACCCCTGACCATTAGGTCCAGTTGTGACCGACTCTGGGGTTGCGGCGCTCATCTCGCTTTACTGGCCGAGGGAGCCGGCGTTTGTCCACAGACAGCTTCCAGGTCATGTGGCCAGCATGACTAAGCCGCTTATGGCGAACCAGAGCAGCGCACGGAAACACCGTTTACCTTCCCGCCGGAGCGGTACCTATTTATCTACTTGCACTTTGACGTCCTTTCAAACTGCTAGGTTGGCAGGAGCAGGGACTGAGCAACGAGAGCTCACCCCGTTGTGGGGATTCGAACCGCCGACCTTCTGATCGGCAGGTCCTAGGCTCTGTGGTTTAACCCACAGCGCCACCCGCCTCCCCTTCATTGCTATTGACAACTGTGCTTTTCTATGTAGATTGCACCATCTTGGAAAAAGATGTGTTACAAGAAATATTTTGTCTTGCAATTTTAAAATTTTGGAGTAAAGAGCATTCATCCAGTTTTAGAGTCAGAAACATGGATGATTCACCTAGGTGTTGTTGTTGTTTTTAATGCACAGACATTAGATGAGTAACCACAGATAGCACAGCATTCAGCTACTACTAAAGAACATTCATTATTACTGCTGTGATTAAAATTGCATTATTTTATTGGTAAAATATATTTCTTTTCCCCCCCCCATTCCACTTCAGACCTATGTCCGTGATATTTATCCATTTCGAAGATCAGTATCTCCCCAGTTGAATTTGGTACACATGAACCCAGAAAGGGGCCAAGAACTCATTCAGAAACAGGTATTCTGTCCCCCTGCCAATAGCTGTGCATCTATTATTACTTGCTTTAGGCTAGGGGTATAAGTGGAGCAAAGCATCTGTTAACTAGGTGTCAGATTCAAGACCTAATTGTGGGTGTGTTTTTGGACACTAGTGTTCCTGTGTCAATGTATACATTTTATGTGTGCATACACAATTTCAGACTCTTTCTTTGGCTGTTTTACCAGGTGTTCACACGCAAGCTTGAAGAAGTGGGTCGGGTTCTGTTCCTCATTTCTCTGACCCAGAAGATCCCCGTTGCTCACAAACAGTCTCATGTGTCTCTGTTGCAAGAAGACCTTCTCCGCTTGCCCTCTTTCCCTCGCAGCGCCATTGATGCTGAGTTCTCACTCTTCAGTGATCCACAAGGTACTACAAGGAGAAAGCCTTTGGCTGCAACTCCAGTAGCTCTGTTTTGCTGACTGAGTACACTAAAATGCCAATTGATAACATTAATATTTATTATAATATAAAGACTCTCCTCCCTGGAAGAGAGGGGAGTGGTTGTGGGCGGGAGCCCGAGCACCGCCCCTAGCAGGGGGCATTAGCCCCCTGCCTCCTCCTCTCACCTGGCTGGTGCCCACGCCCCCTCGGCAGGCATCCAACAAGGTGCCTTCGAGGGGGCGTGTTCAGCAGCCTTTTGCGGCAGTGCCAGCCTCTCCTCGGCCTCATTCTTCTCCATCCTCTCGTCGCGAGTCACCCACCCTCCACTCCCTTTTAGCTCAGGGTCTTTGTTCTTTGGCCTTGCTATGGACCTTAGGTTGGTCGCCCTGGTTGTCTAGGGGGCCTGGTAGGAATTTTTCCATTTGGCATTAGGCTTTTTGGTTTTTTTCGCCTACCTCGTAGCAATCGTCACAACTTTTTGTGGTATTGGTGGGTAGGTTAGGCATTGGAATAATGTGTTGTGGTGTGTCGAAGGGCTGGGTGTGGCCATCGCCTATGCCTTCAATTTTTGGGTATTCCGTTAAAGGAATCTGGCGGTCGTGTACTCTGTCCGAAGCCTGCTTGGCGGGAGGCCATGGCACGACCCCCGGTGACATTAGGGGAGAGCCTATAGTTGGATTAGCATCAACAGGCTCCACCTACTGGTGAATAAACCCCCTTGTTTTAGACATCCAATGCCTAAGCCAATACCTTTTCACTGCTGTAATCAATAAAGTTGTGGCCTTTTCTTGCCCATTAACCTTATATCACGTGTCCTTGTGTATTTATTTCACATCGCGGGGGTCGGGTCCTCGAACCACAACAAGGTTATTTTCAGATCAGAAAGATGTAAGTTAAAGGATCTAGTGGTGTGTTTGATTATCTAATATGTAAACAAAGCAGCCACTACATTTCCCCACCCGCCGTCAGCATATCTGCAGAGGCAATGGTTCACAGTGGAGATTTTCCTTGGAATGTCAGGTGTTTATTCATCTTTGAGGCAAGCTGCTGTGTTTGAAACTCATGTTGCTCACCTTGTTCTTATAGCTGGAAAGGAGCTATTTGGCCTTGACACCCTTCAGAAAAGCCTCTGGATTAAACTGCTAGAGGAGATGTTTCTCGGGATGCCTAGTGAATTTCCCTGGGGGGATGAAATTATGCTCTTCCTCAACGTATTCAATGGAGCCCTGATCCTGCACCCTGAGGACAGTGCCCTGTTGAGGCAATATGCTGCCACTGTCATCAACACAGCCGTACATTTCAACCACCTCTTCTCTCTCAGTGGGTACCAGTGGATTCTCCCCACTATGCTCCAGGTGAGTCTCTCACCAGAGAGAAATGAACAGGCCTGAACTAGCCATGAAGTCAATTCTGCAACTGTGAAGGGCCCTGATCAAGCTGGAAAGTCCTGTTATGTTAAACTTGCCGTGGAATTTTAGAGTGTGACTTTGCAATGGGTCATCATGCCTATCAATCAAATAGTACCTTTAGTGTTTTCTCTCTGTCCAGGTATATGCTGACTACGAAAGCAACCCACAGCTCCGTCAAGCAATTGAGTTTGCCTGCCGTCAATTTTACATTCTACATCGTAAGCCCTTTGTACTACAATTGTTTGCCAGTGTGGCTCCTCTCTTGGAGTTTCCTGTGAGTACAAATGGATTCCCAACAACTTTCCCCTCCCTCCAAGATTTTAAAGATGACTCATGGTGCACGCACTTGCAAAACTCTCTCATCTTGTGGGAATGTCAAGCTTGCAAGCGCATGTTCCATTGCGGGGTGGGGTGGGGGGAGGGGTTCCTGCTCCCATATACAAATGCAGCACCTAATTCTAGGTGACAGGGCTGCATCTTCCTGTTCAATCTCCTGTTCGGTTGCTGCCACCTCCTGTTCAGCATCCCATATTGGCTGATCAAAGCACTCCCCAACTTCCATTGAGGCTCTCACAAAGCATGATCTGGCATCCCCGCTTCTCCTGTGAAATGGCTGAAGTTGGGGCGGAAAAGGTAATCTGCCCTCCTTCAACCCAGGTTCCCACAGTTCAGCCATCTCTCTGTCTGTTCTTCCTCCTCCTCTGCTTGGGCCTACCAATCCCAGCCTGATCCTGACAGTGCTGTGGGGCTCATGGAACTGACTTCCTGATCTTTCACAGGAAAGTGTTGTTCAGTATATCTCTCAGAAATTTAGACCACCTTGGGGGGGGGGCGGGATCTCCATTTTCCACATGTAACATACAATCACCCTGTAGTACTGGATTCAAGCTAGTAGAATTTTTGTAAAACATGTCACTATATACATATGATGCTACTTCCATCTGTAAGTGTAACAAAATGTAAATGGAACCTGAAAATCAGAATTACATTTATTTTTTGAAATGCAGGATGCAACAAACAATGCACCCAGCAAAGGCGTATCGGCTCAGTGCCTGTTTGATCTGCTGCAGTCCTTAGAAGGAGACACTCCTGACAACCTGGACATTCTGGAACTAGTGAAAGCAGAAAAGCCTCTAAAATCATTAGGTATTCCAAAGTTTCTTTGAATTAGCTTTTTTATGAAATAAATATGTCTTTTCTGTTAACCTTTGAACATACTTCAGCTTCAACTCTTATTATTTATTTAGGTTTAAAATGCCAATGTGTTCACCCCACTTTATCAGCATGAAGGACATTATTTATATAATTATTTATAGATGGCCTTTTGGCAGTCCAAGGCAGTACACAAAACTGTTTATAAAGCATTAAAAATACAATAGTTATTGTCTGCCACAATTTGTCCATTCATCCAACCTTTGTTTTGGGCAGACTCCCAAAACCTGCCCATTGCAATACACACAAACTCTCCCATAATAGCAAACACCTGCCTGTCCTCCTGAAGCACAGTGAGGCTTCTTTCAAGCCTCTACATTCTCAACCCCCTGCCTCCTTAACTCTAAAAGTAAGCATCGCTGCAGCAGTGGCACAGGTGATGTCATAGTCACTCCAGGAAAAATGTCTTGTTCTGAGGGCCTGCTCAGAGCAAGGCAGGAGCTGGATACAAGAGGTCTTGCTGTTCGGTGGGCAGCAGCAGCAGGACTTGTTGGCAACCAGTGGTGGGCCCAAGCGCTCAATATGCCACCGCGCCTGCCCACCTCCTGAGGCAGTTTGCCTAGTGGAAGGGCTGGCATTTTCCTTGTGAGAAAACAGTTTCCTTGCTGAACTGTTGTTCAGCAGCTGAAGTGCTTCTGACATGCACAGTTTCAGCTGCCATGACAATTCCGATTGACAAACCTTTTCCAAACCATTTTGCACAGGGATGGAGAACTTGTGAACCTCCATATGTTGTTGGGCTCCAGCTGCCATCATGCCCGACCATTAGCACTGCTTGCTGGAGCTGATGGGAGAGTCCAACAATGTCTGAATGGGAGCCAGCTAACTTGCACCAGAGCGCAGGAGCCAAAATAGGACAACCTGGGATCCAATCAGAAGTCTGGATAACTTCTGTAATTCTGGGGTGTCCTGCTCAAAGTAGGATAGCTGAGAAGTATGCAACATCGGACATGGTGCCTAGGAGCCATCACTGTTAGCAGGAAGGAAGTGAGCAGGGAAGGGAGGATTTGTTTGCTCTGATCTCACTGCAGCAGCATCTTGCCCTGGCAGTGCTAAGGAGATTGCTAAGGCCAAAAGTCTGTTGTGGGTGGGTGTATTTAATTTTGCTAACTTATGTGCTAACTAACCAGCCAATACCAGCTGCAATATATTTAGGTTAATAACCAAACCTATTGCTAAAGTTCATTGTAGGTCAAATGTACTCTTGTGCCATTATTATCATCATAAAAAACCTTCAGGGATAAATCCTATTATACAAATCAAGATCTGCAATAGAAAGAGAATTACTTGCCTAAGAAATCATGGTGAGCGGGTGGCTAAGCCCACAGAATATCGGATTACAGTTCAGTAATCAATTTACTGGGCTGCTGTTGATTTGTTGAATAGATCTCTCCTCCTTATTGCGTCACCCCCATTTCACAGAACTTATAATCTACTCCCCCCCCCCTTTACAGATTTCTGCTACGGCAACGAGGACCTGACTTTTTCCATCAGCGAGGCCATAAAGTTATGTGTAACAGTTGTTGCATATGCCCCTGAGTCATTCAGAAGGTAACCTATGTTTTGGGGTTGGAGTTTGAGTGCATTTGCAAATAAAACTCTGATGGCATGAGCCTAGCAGAAAGAGAGAGAGTGGTACCTTGATTCCCAAACTTAATCCATTCCGGAAGTCCGTTCCAAAACCAAGGCGTACTTTCCCATAGAAAGTAATGCAAAATGGATTAATCCGTTCCAGACTTTTAAAAACAACCCCTAAAACAGCAATTTAACATTACTTTTACTATCTAACAAGACCATTGATCCATAAAATGAAAGCAATAAACCAGGCTGCAATCTACTACCCAGTATCAAAAACTGGCAGTGATCTACCCATTGTCTTTGGAGGGATGAGGAGTGTGCACCAGGTGCATGAAGGGGGAGTTCAAGGGGGGGAGGAAAGGCCAAAAAAAACTCTGAGGAGCCAGTCGGCTTCTCTCCCCACCCCACCGCCAGCCCTTTCTCCCCCCTAAAGCTGCTTCTCCCCCCCCCAGCCCTTCTGGATCCCTCCCCTCCCCATCCAGCACCTTCTCCAGGGCTGGCATGAGCAGCCTCCACCACTTGGGCATGTTCTCCTCACTGAAGAACTCATCCTGCAGCAGCAGCACCTGCATCCTGCCCGTGCCGCCCCACGCCCTGTGAGGGGAAGCGGCAGCAGTCACTGCTGGGGCCTAGCTGCTTAGCATTGCTCTGGGGCCTGGAGCAGCGGCCATGGGTGACACCTGGTACCGGAGGAGCGGGCGGTTGATGCTGCAGTGGCAATGGTGGCGGAGGGACCCAGCCCTGGGGGGTGGCGACATCCCTTGCCCGCTCGCTTGCCGCCCGGTGCTGGGTCCCTCCTCCACCTTTGCCGCCACTGCAGCATCAACCACTCCCACCTCCAATTCCGGATGTTGCCTGCTGCCGCCGTGACCCCAGCACTGAGTCAGGGAAGGCCGGGCCAGGCGGCCAGAGAGCAGGCAACAGAAGTGTGGCACTCAAAATGGAAGTGCAACACTCAGAATGGAGCATGTTTGGATCCAAAAAAAGTTTTTCAAACCAGAACACCTACTACCGTTTTTGTGGTGTACGAATTCCAAGTTGTTTGTGAACTAAGCTGTTCAAAAACTGAGGTACCACTGTATGTCTCCTTTTTAAAAAAGTATAATATGGGCAACTTTCCAAAGTTGCCTTTTTAAAAAGTTTTAAATGGTGTGCATATTTCTAGGGAATAGAAGAGCTGTTCAGGAGTTGAAGTTGTGTTTGCTTCTCAGACTGTCAGTTGCTTTGAAGACCATATGCCTAGGATTGTGCTTGTGCACTGCTTGCTGTACTTCAGTAAACATGACATAGCACCCAACATATGCACATGGCTCCTCTTGTTGGATCGTGAAACGTTTTTTAGAGCTGACATTTTACTCTTAGCACCTACCCTGATTGTTTCAGGTAGGCTGCCTGCTTTTTAACAGTGCAGTGCATTTTTATTCAATTAAACATTTGTTTAATTATTAATACTAGAATCATAATTTCTTTAATTATTAAACTGTTAAACTCAAAATATTGCTCCAAGGAAGCTATCCAAGCCTGTCAGTGCTGTCCGAAGAAGCAGGGAGCGAGTTATATGCTTGTTCAAATTATTAGAATTCTGTATGCTTGGGTGCACCCTTGGTTTGATTGATTTCATCCTCACGTGATGCACATGGGCTCAGTCTTCAGATGCTGATGGTCCTTGAAGCCCTGGTTCCCTGTTACCTGCAGAGGCTTAAGAGGCAAACTTCCCAAGTGGAGACAGTGACAGCGGCTCGAGAGGAGATTGCTGCTACAGCTGCTCTTGCTACATCCTTACAAGCCCTCTTGTACAGTGTAGAAGTTCTTACCAGGTGAGCTGCTCCACTTTTGTGACTGTGACCATGGAGAACATAGGAAGTGAAGAACACAAGAACATTATTTCATGTTAGTCCCTGTTGTAAAAGTTGATAGGTGTTCTTTCATGAGGACTGATTTGAATTGCCAAAGGAGAATTCAGATCAGCACAATCTTCAAATATGATACAAAAAGTGTGGGGTGTTTTATTTCAATATTTAATTAGCAAAATCTGTTTAGGTGAAAAACTTGAGGTCAAAAGCAAATACTGGACCTTGATCACAGCATTTGGGTGATAAAAATTCACATTTCTGTGGTAAATGCAAAAATTGTCACCAAGATATTAGTTTTTGACCCTGCCTTTTTTCCCCATTAAACAGGCCAATGACTGCCCCTCAGATGAGTCGCTGTGATCAAGGCCATAAAGGAACCACTACTGCTAACCATACTATGTCGTCTGGAACAAATACTAGGTAATTAACTGGGGCTGTCCTATGACTTGCTGATCCAAGCTCCAGTTCCTAACGTTCCTGATGATATTGTATGCGTGTGCACATAGTTTCATGGGGAAACATGGAGTTTGGGACTATGGCTTTGGGAGAAGAACATAAGAATTGCCTTGCTGGATCAAGCCAAAGGCCCATCTTTCCCAATTTCTTTTGTTTCCAGCAGTAGCCTGCCCAATACTCACAGGAAACTTGCAAGCACAACATGAAAGAGAAGACAATTATATGTTGTTATCTGTTTACAGCACCTGGAGAGCAGAGCTAGACTGCATGTGTGTGTAGAGGAGGTTCCTTGTTTCCCCATGAAACTGTATACACACACAACATACATAGGGTCCAGTAATCCTACCCACCCCACGTCCCTCCCCATGACAAGAGGGGATCTAAGTTCTACTGAGCAAGATGGACCTCAGGCTAGAGCTCCAGGCAGAGGCAAACCAATGTGCCTCTCCCTCTCCCCTTCTGCATTAAGCTGAAGACAGGAGGCTGAGTCATGTGGGCTTCCTTCTGTGCCTAAGAGCATTCCAAACTCAGAGCATCCATTGGGTGCAGATGCGATCTTCTATGCCTCTGCCACCCACCTCTGCTCTTGGCTGAAGGCTGGCTGCTTTGCCTGAGCACTGTTCAGGAACAACCACTGCAGGTGCTCAGAGCACCTGTTGGGCACTGAACCAAAGCAATCCAATACCTCTCCACCTGCCCCCATCACCTCTAATGTGAAGGCTTGCCTCTGCACTTGATGGGGTATTCTGAGTTTAGAACACCCGTTGGGCACAGAGGCAGAGCATTTATGGATTGGAGTTCATGCACAGACAACTCCATTGAAGTGTTACACCCATGCATGGATGTCAGGTGGTGTCAAAACAGAATAAGTGTGTTGGGAGGGAAGGCATGCTCACCACATGCAGTGGGAGCATTGTCTGAAGGGGTCCAAAGTGTATTTAAGGTCCTCAGTCTTTTCCCTTATACCATTTTCCCTCTGTATTTCTAGATACCCAGATCAAGGAGCCAAACTGCACTTTATCAGGTACTGTAAGTTTGCCACCCATTCTCCTTAGCATTTGTGATGAACACCTCTGCAGTTTTCTCTCTCCCTGGGTTCCAATGTCAACAATTTGCTACAAGGGGAAATCGACAATAGACTTTTTATCTCTATCTAGTCTCCCTAGCTGCTCACTCTTCATTTTCTGTCGATTGCCAAGCCATGATTTTCATGGGTTCAAAAGGAGGCGTTCGTTATAATCTTTTATTTTATCAGTGCATTTTCTCTGTTTGCACCTTCATATTCTGCATCTTTCCCTTCAGGGAAAACCTTCACTTGCTGGAGGAAGGCCAAGGCATTCAGCGCGAGGAGCTAGATGAACGCATTGCTAGGGAGGAGTTCAGGAGACCCCGTGAGTCCCTGTTGAATATCTGTACTGAGTTCTATAAACACTGTGGCCCCAGACTGAAGATTTTGCAGAACCTAGCTGGAGAGCCCAGAGTGACTTCCTTAGAGCTGTTGGATGTTAAGTCTCATATGAGGTATTATTTTAATAACACATTAAGTATATGTCTGAAATATGTACAGTATATATATGAAATATGTAAAACATATATCAAACTGTTGAAGCATATATGGTAATATATTGCAGGAGCTTTATTTAATGTTATCACAACACCTTTATGGAGAATCCTAAAGCTTTTGACAACAGACAAGCTCATGCATAAACCAAATCATGGCTAAGCATAAACGTGTGTGTGCGTTGCCCATCCCTTGGTCCTGCTGCTGCTGCACAACCTGGAGCTAGGCCATAGTTTGGCTTTGTGTTACACCCAGACTTGTTCATTTGCAAGCACCTTGTATTGCTTTAGCTGAAACCGTTATCCCCACCTAAAGTATGGTGTTGAGTTCTGGGTTAGCCTAGAGAAGGGAAGATTAAAGGGAGGCAGTATAGGCATGCAGAAGAAGGAGCAGGCTTGTCGTCTTTTGTTCCGGGGGCAGGATTTGAACCTGTGGATGGAAATTTACAAAAAAACATTTAGCATTAAAAGCTCAGCTAGAGTTGGTAGTTCAAAAGGAGAAACCATGTGGAATTAGTAAGATGTATTTATCAGAAATAACAGGTTATCATAGCTCAGTTTATTAAGCCTAAATATGTACACAAGCTTCCTGCTTGTGCACAGAACCTATTTGCCCCTTCTGTCATGTGACCCATAATAAAAGAAGGAAACTACTAATTAACCTTAGTGTCCGCTGTTGTCTGAAGTAGGAAATTGTATACTAGCGTTGCAGCAAGCCAGGTTGTTAATACATCAAGTGCAAACTATATTTTAATATCCTGGCTTTTTCTGACGCTGTTAACCATAGGTTTCCATTTTGGATGAAATAGGAAACTATGATTATTTAGAGGCTTCCTTTTTTAATTGCAGCTCATGGCAAAGGGCTTACAATTTCAGGCAAACAGCTGGTGCATATTTTAGTTTATATAGCTATCTATATCTCCATCAAATCTGGCACCCATGTTTAGCACTTATTTGTAATATCAGGGGAAGAGAGCCCTTGACCTTGTTACTTGTAATCCTTGGGTAGTTGATCTGTGCATTTTTGGATCCTACATGTGGTTGTTTTATAGCTGTTTTTACAACTACAGGATGGAGTTCAAGAGGTTTCTCACTTTCTTCATGACCTGCTGATACATTGTTACTCAATATATGCCATTGATTTATGATTTTTTAAGTTGTGTCTCCAGTTGAATTAGTGTAATACTTACCTTGGCTGTGGAAACAAATAGCTGCTTCTATTGTGGTTGAGGTTCCTCATGTAAACATTTTAAAAGCAAGTTCTCTCAGTGATTGCAGCTTCATGAAAGTTTGGTCTGTGTATTTTAACAGCTTCACTTACTTTAGTCTTTATGAATATCAAGAACTAAAACTGAGCTGAGGCTGTTTTGAAACTTGTTACGAAAAATGATAGAAAGACATGCATAGGACATTTTCTTGCTGAGCCACTCAGACATTGTCTGGAGCAAAGTGAAACTGATGGTGCACTCATAGGTTTAAGTCTCTCAAGTTTTTATGTTCCTTTAGTTTTGCCATGGAGGGTTGCAGTAGTGACCAGCCCATTGCCCACAGCCATTTTCTGCAGCCCACCAAGCCTTAGAGAGCGCCACTCATTTTTCACTACTGCCCATCAACTGGGCTCTGGGGGGTAGGTAGCATGGGGGAGGGTAGTGATCTTCTGTGCATTGGGAAGGATCGCTGTCCCGTGCTTTTATCTCCCCACTTCAGTTGTGCCCCCCAACCACAAACAGCTAGGCTTGGGAAGCACAAATTCAATGGTGCTATGCGTTCTCAGGGAGGCTCCTCCCTGTGTTTCTATCCACCCATGTGGGGTATGTGCACACATGTGTAACTGAGTGCTAATGTCTCTGTGTTAATCTGTATTGGCACGGCAGGTTCTGGTCATGCCTATGGGCTTGTGCCCCTCCACCACCACCCCATCCCCACCTGTAACCCACAGGGCCAAATGGTGACCCACATCTGGCTCACTGTGAGCCTCAAGTGTGCTGGAAGTTGTGTTATTAGATCACTTAACGTTCTTTTGAATGGGGTGTATTTTCCCACTGTGCAGTGGTTGTGGCTCTCTACAAAGGGGCTCACTTGGTAGAATCTGAGATTTCCCTCTTAACGAGCAGTAATTTTAGGTTGGCAGAAATTGCACATTCCCTTCTGAAGCTGGCACCTTACGACACCCAGACGATGGAGAGCCGTGGGCTCCGGCGATACATCATGGAGATGCTGCCCATCACTGACTGGACGGCCGAGGCAGTGAGGCCTGCCTTAATCCTCATCTTAAAGCGATTGGATCGTATGTTCAATAAAATTCACAAGATGCCTACTTTGAGGTGAGCATGTATGACGGAAACCTACGGGGGTCCGTTTCTGTTGTTGCAAGCCTTGAAGGAAGGGTATGTCATTTTATTGACAGTGTTTTGCTGCACTGAACTCTCACAGCAAAAAATAAATAAATGTATTTTTCCTATTGTTGTATATGCATGCGGCCACATTTGTGAGACAACAATAGAGGAAATGCATCTTTTATGACGAACCATAGCAGAACTGGTAAAAATATGGCATCCACCACAAAACAGGTGCCCAGGAATAATACTTTTGTTGATTTTGTCATTTCTAAAATCTCATGATTTTAAGCATGAAGCATGTGATATAAATTCTGTAGGACTGTGAATACGTTTTGTTGTAACTCTGTCTGTAACTGTATTAAAATGCACTTAAATGGAGGATTCTAAACTTTCTGGAGCTTAGAAAGCCATATGAATAGTCTTATTTTGCAAAGTCAAAGAAAAATGAGGTCGTTTCAGAAGTCATTGAGACAGGGCTCATGCACACTTCCTCTGGTCCTACTCATTTCCCCTGGGAAAGAAAACACTCTTTAGCACTCAGATGGAGCAAACAGCAATTACAGTTTTCTCCAGATTGATGTTTGCACTGATTTAGCACTAAAGAGCTGTTTTTCCCTGGGAAAGGAGTGGGACAAGGCGGAAACTGCTCAGACCCGTGCTTTCTAGGCATGGGACAGGCAGAAGTGTGGATGAACTCCCTCAGTGCTGTTTTTCCTGCATGATATTCTAGCATGTTTTAGCTACATCAGCAGACATATGGCTCAGATTAGTCATTTGAGTGCAAGAACATACTGGATCTTGAAACATGTTACCTGGATAGCTGCTTAGATAAAAGACGTGTGAGAAAAGGCATGGAAAAGACATGGAAAAGCTAAGGGGATTTCCCAAAAAATATTTAACAAAGTGAGATCCAGTCCACAAAGTTTTATGCCCCAGTACATTTGCTAGTCTTTAACGTATCATGCAACAAGTTTCTTCCCAGAAAAAGTAATCTGGAACTAGGCTAAAGTTGTATAAATTTGATTTAATGATTTCTTATCTGCATGGGCAAATATCCATATCAAGACTGTCTTTGTTCATCTTCCCAATGAGATGAAATAAACTAAACATTATTCCTCCCCTTATTTCCTGTAACCAGTGTGTATCAAAATGATGTTAATGGAAACTGAACTGTATTTTGATGTGTGTGCCATCCCAAACTATTATTTTGTTTTCCAAATCTTATCCGTTTTTTTTAAATATTGTTTCTTCATTTTTTAAGCATTAAGGAGTACCCTAGGGACTTGAATGTTGAATTTCCTTCCTGCTCTCCGAGAGTGACATTGTGTCAGGAAGACAAGCTAATTCTGCTTGTGAAGTTTTTCTGATTGGAACCTTGGAAAGTCCGCTTGTTATAATTATCCCTTGTCATAGGAAAAGCCAGGATGCAAAGGGGTTTGGCCACTACTTCCCAGCATTATAAACCATGGTTGGGGTTGAGCATTCCTCTCTTACCTGCCTCCCCCTCGGTCATCTGACATCTTTGGTGCTTCATTCTTGTCTTGTGTTAAGCCATAGTTGTCCGCTACATCTGAATCGGAGAAGTCTGGTTTAATTACAGAATCAAGTCCTTATCATAGTTCCTTATCACTACTATTCTCCATTGTTTTCTTCCAGTAGTGACTGTTCCGGTTTGTGAACTATTTTTGGAAGCCGAACGTCCGACAGGGCTTCCATGGCTTCTGATTGGCTGCAGGAGCTTCCTGCAGCCAATCAGAAGCCACACTTTGGTCTCTGAACGTTTTGGAAGTCAAACAGACTTCCGGAACAGATTCTGTTTGACTTCCAAGGTATGACTGTACTAGATCTGCTGGATTCTACTTCAGATTTCAAAATCCCAGCAGAAATCTGGTGTTTTATTTCTGATGGGCAAATTCAGAATACCCTTCTCCATAGAGATTTGAAGCAGCAATCAGCCTACATTTTGGGGAGAATATATATCCTTTGAAATCAGTGGAGGAGAAGCATAATATTGCCATTTGCAGTATGTCTGTTTAAAACAGATTCACAGGACACCACGTTGTTAGTTTCTTGCATATACACACCAATTCCTACTCCTTTCGATTGTTGATCTGGATATTTTTCTATCGTTTGTTGAGTCTCATGGCAACACCTCTTTGCTGTAGGTCCAGTTTCTTCTGCAGTGCTTTCTGTGCTTCCCTGATTTCTGAATAGTGTAGGTAAAATGCACTTGTTGTAATGCAAATTTTCGCCATCTGAGATGCCCTTGTCTGAAGCATCCCTCAGAGTCCTTTTGTCTCAGTCACCTTGTGCAGGGTTTCTGGGTGGAGCCGGATGCCTAACACCACCTACTGTTGTGTTCCAGGCGACAGGTTGAGTGGGAGCCTGCCAGCAGTTTGATTGAAGGGGTTTGTTTGACACTTCAGAGGCAGCCAATCATATCCTTCCTGCCTCACCTTAGGTCACTGATCAATGTCTGTGTCAATCTGGTGAGTAACCAACATTCCAATCTCCTGCACATCTGCCAGACTTCCTTCTGTGGTAGAGATTCCCCATTTCCAGTCCCAGTCCTACTCATGCAAATAAGCTATTTAACTGACACTAGAAATAGTGGAGTTCATTTTTAAAGTGGTGCATGGGGAGCGAATGGGGAGGAAGCCCATAGCCTAAGCCCAGTGACTGGTTTTTGCTGCTTTCCGTGCACCATTTTGAAAATCCATTCCTGCATGTTGCGCCGAGAGTTGAGGGCTGCAAGTTGGAGAGTGGTGGATACTGCACACACCTGGTAGAGGAGTTGGAAGGGAATGGGGGAAGCTGGAAAAATACTCAGTCTCAAGTTGTTGAAAGACAACATTCTTTATCACTCTGCAAAAGGGCATAAGCAATTGACTAGATGAATTACTAAACTAAATTTGCTTTGCCATTTGTAATGTCCCTGGTCTAAAGTAACTTTTAGATTTTCTTGTACAATGTTCAGATCCTTCTGCCCCTTTATCAGGATGAAAGAGAAATTCAGTTTGGTTCACATTTTAATGCAAGGCTACCTAATTTGCATTTCCTGAAATAATATGCAACCCAAAACACAACTATCCCTCAAAATATTCTCTATTCTGAATTTTGTATTGCAGTTCTCCTAACAAAATGCATACAAAATACATATATTGGGGGTGACAGTTCCTATACTGAAATTAAACTATCACAAGGTTTCATTCAAGTTAAGAATTTATGCAAATCCTGGACTTCTGCCATTTTAATGGGGGTCATTGCTCCAGACAAGCCTTCACAAACAATGCTTGATCAAATTTGCTGGCACCCATCAATGATGTAAAGAAAACCATAATTTGGAAACATATAATTTGTAATACAGAAAACACTTTAGAGAGTGCAGAAATGGTATGTTAGCATTTATCTGCCTGTTTATCCAGTACTGCAAAGCATTTTGCACCGAACCTTCCTTCTCCATACAGCACAATAAAAGTAGACTTAGACAATTATATCCACAAGATATATTGACAGATGGTTTCAAAAGGGAAGTAGATGCATTAATGGAGGACATTTATGGATATTAGTAATATTGGCAAAATTGAACTTCCATGTTCAGTGATAATGATACAGTTGTTGAAGGACACACAGTAGAAAGGACTGTTGCCTTTGTGCCTTGCCTGTGAGTTGGCTGGCCAACTGTTGAAAACAGATTACTGGACTAAATGGACCCCTGGTTTGATCCAGCCTTTGACTGGACTTAACTGTCCAGGGGTCCTTTACCTGATCCTGAATGGTCCTGTTATGTCCCACATTGCTTGGAAGTTATCAGCTTATTTGATCAGCCATTGGAATATCCACTTCCCCAGGTGGTTGGAAGTACCGCTGGAGACATTTGCAATCTTTTCTGTTTACTTACAAGTATACAAGTTGAAGTAGAGCCAAGCAAGGTGACTATTAGTCCTTCAAGCAATATTTATTCATATTTATTCAGTATCACAACATATTAGCAAGAAACCTGTGTCAGCCATAAACTTCTTAGGGAACTTCTAGCAAGATCTAAACTCAGGACACCTTCAAATTGCTTAGAACTAATGTTTAACTGCATCTAGAGAGATAGCTTGGAGTAGCCACTGGATGCAAGTGTAATAAGGACTGTATTCTTAACTAACAGATGCAAAGCTGAACAAAACCCTTTGAAAGGGGTTCGTTTTTTGTAACCTCAAAGCATACTAGCAACATAATTCATTCTAAATGAAAATATTTTGCAGGCATAGATTTGAAACAGTTCAATCCCCCTCAAGATTTAACCTTTGAAGTAATAGCACATCCATACAGGAGAGTCTGAACATTGTATAAAAACCAGTCTAGGTCTGACTCAGGACATTACCATGACATAATAAGGGAACAGCTCAAGCCAACTAGAAACACTGTGATTTCAGTACCTTTTTCTATTGAGTACGGTAACTACATGGCATACCCTCCAACCCCTCCTCCTCCTACCAGTACAGTGCTGGTTTTTCAGGGCTAGTACTGGGTACATTCTTAAATGTACTGGTTTTCCCTGTGCCTTCTGACCAACCCCTCTGGTTAACCCTGTAGCAGTCCCTGTTTCCTCCCCACCCACTTCCTGCTAGAACCACTCCTTTTCCTTACTGGCCCCAGCTACCGCAAGACACTGTGGAGGACTCATAATCGCAGAGCAACCCCAGTCTTGCGCTACCTGAAGTGTGTACCTTACCAACACTGGAGGGTATGGCATGGATGGAATTGCAATAGTTGGTCATGGTGCTGTGCTGTGTTTGTATTGCAGGTGATGGGAGTAGTAGGACCTTCCAGTGTGGCCGATGGATTGCCCCTTCTTCATCTCAGCCCTTATCTCTCGCCACCTCTACCCTTCAGCACAGCTGTTGTCCGGCTTGTAGCATTGCAGATTCAGGTGTGACTGCCTTGCCTGTTCAGCAGGCTTTGCTTATCATGTGGTTGAGACACCAACTCATTGGTGCTCTTGTTTTCTGCGAAAGCTGGGCAAAAACTGTGAAGCAAAATGAAAATTTCCCAACAAATATGTTAATAGTTTGGAATGCCACGGCATTTAGCAATTGTTCAGATCCTCGGTGGGTACCAGTTTAGCATAGCCCCACTGAAGTCACATTGGGACTATGCAGGTTTAAACCAACCGAAGAGCTGACACAAATGGTAGTTGTACTTCTCATGACTTATAGAGAGATAACCATGGTTACTTTTTAGGCTTAGAACAAGAACAAAAGAGGTGAAGAACTACAGGACTTGTATAGGTCATGGGTATGCGAGCTTTGAAATTTAAATAAAATCTCACACTATCTGATATGACTAGATCAATGTATGCTGATGATGTCTTGTTTTTTTGCAATACGAGGACCAGCTATTTTGCCACTGAAAATTCCTGTGTAATTTCAAACTTTGCATTGACACCTCACAAACCGTTATTAGCTGAATGAGAGATTGGTTATGACTCTTGAATCTTAGGATTTTTTGAAGGTCACATAAGGCATTCCTTTCTTTTCTAAAGTGTAGATTCTTAGATTAATTATTTCTGTCCAACTGTATTGAACTATTGTTGTTGTTATAGGACATTTGGGTAAACTGAACCTTAATTCAAATAACAGTGTGATGAGACCACAGAAAGTATAAATGCATAGGGTAATTTTTTTATACTAATCATCAAATACTATATTTAACTATCCTTAATATTGGAAATGTAATAATTTTGTTCAGTGAGTTACAGTGCTACTCTCTCACAAAATACAAGCTGTGTGCTTTAGGTTTTTCAGGCTTCCATGTTGCCTGGACTTCTTTGTTGGCACCAATTTAAGGTAGTGAGGGGAAAGGCTCTCAGCTACTAAATGCAAAGGCAAGCTTTCAGCCCCATTTCCAGGTTTCCTAACAGCACTAGATTTGTGCAGAAATATTACACACATAGATTGGTCCACATGTGGAATGATGTAGTCCTTCTATGTTCTGACTAACCTACTGTACTTTGCCCAGGTTAATTGGAAAGGAATCAAGAGGGGGCTTTTTCAGAGTCTAGATGAGAGAGAGTCATGATAAAAGGGGTGGGAGGAATAAAGAACCAAAGCACAGATTTAGAGAATTTGAAGCATATGCGTGACTAAAGAAAGATGTCAGTAGTGTATTTTGATTGACAGTGGGGTCAGCTTTGGAAAAGTGGTGTATAATGTTTTAAATAAATACATTAACAGACCGGGGGGGGGGCAGGGAGAGTTAATATAATACATTCAGTTTAGCTAGAAGTAGTCATGTCAGTCTGTGGCAGCAGATGTATGCACCTTCAAACATGTTTCTTGTTTTTTAGTCACGTACTCTTAGGAAATAATTTTGTAGTTCCAAGGTTATATGGCTATTGAATTTTCAAAAAAAACACACCTAAGCCATTTCACAGTTAATATGTTTCAGATGGAGTTGGTACCTGTTTATCTATTACTATTAAGTTGCAGCAGTGTTGGAAATACATCATTATAAGATTCAAGTTGTTTTGAGAGTCCATTCATTTCACATTCAAATCCTATGTGTGTGTATAGGCTCCAAAATTTGCATTGTATCTGTGCATTTTTAAAAATTCCAAACTCTCTCTGAGTCACTGTGTTCACTCCACTTTGATCTGTGTTTTGGGTTCTGAGCTGCTCTGTGTGCAATAAAGGTCTGTGGTTCCCCTGTTCTATGTAATGGGAAACCTAACAATGGACATACCTTTCCCCCCCTTGGCCAAAATAGATTAAATTTACAGGCACAGGAGCCTCCAGAGTAGATTAAGCCTGACAAATTGCAGACAAATAAGTCCAGGGGCTTTTTATAAGGAAAATAAAAGGGGTTCATTTTCCTCCATGATCCCTTAATTGGGAGTGTGAGTTTGTTTCTTTCTTAGCTTAAATGAATTAGGAAGTGTGTATTCTTGCTCATAATATTTAAAAACTTTAAAGTCACACACCAGCTTCTCTTTGGGGTGGTGTTTTTTGTCTTCTGATAAGCCTTTACAGGTCTCCAAAAAGTCCTACAACTCTTCCTGTGAAGTCCTGAAGAGCTCTGTTGTAGTGCTAAAGCAGAGCAATGGACTTTTTTTAAGTGTCTAAATTAAAAAATAATAATCCTACACTGCTGTTCTTCAACAGCATCAAAATTCAGACCTCTATAGTGTCCTGCAGGCAATATTCCAAAAGGCCTCACTTATTGCAAAGCCCATGAACCTAGAGAAAAAGAAATATATAGGCAATACAGCACAAAAGAACACAGAAACAGAATAACAAAGTGACATGACTTTGTGGGGACTCCGATCTGACTCAGGGAGGTATTGACATCATGTTTTGACTTTGAAGCGGGGAGATCCCAGAAACACCCTAATTCATCTCATCATTCACCTCTCACACAAAGCCTCTGCACACCCCTAAGTACAATTCACACCTAAGATGTAAGTATTGAAGAACTTACAAACCTTGCTCAAATTGTGCTCTCAATATGCTTTGGACTGTAACTCCCATCAGCACAGGAAGCACAGACATGACTCCATTCGCCAGCAGCATTCAGCTGTGCTGGCTGGGACTGATGGGAGTTGTAGTCCAAATAATAATAATAATAATAATAATAATAATAATTTATTTATACCCCAGATTGGACAAAGCTGCTTCAGTTTCACGTAGTTTTTGTCACTGGCTAAGCCTTCCTGTTTCCAGAGTGTCAGAACACAATTACTGCTATTAATCTTTGGCATTTGGCATATCAAGCCTCAGGATCAAGCAAAACAATATGGGGCTAAACTCCAGATTTAAATTTAAGAGATTATGCTGAAACTGGAATTTGAGTCTTTTGTAGATGTCATCCAAGCTGGTGAACTCACCCAGATGTGGACACAGGGCATTGTGTAAATGAAGTGTTGATGGATCCCTTTTTCTTTGACTATACTTCACCCCTATACTCTACCAGTACAATATTTTAATTCTTTTTTATTATTACTGCACAGGCTTTGAAAGAAGATTTTCCATTAAGCCACGTGATCTCCCCATTCACCAATCAGGAGAGAAGGGAAGGAATGCTTTTAAATCTACTGATTCCATTTGTGCTCACAGTAGGATCAGGAAGCAAAGGTCTGATTAACAGAAAGATTCTTCTGTTTCCCCCTCCCTGCTGCCTCTCCGAACCAGAAAATGTCTGTGCATCCGTCCACCTCTATGTTTCTTCTGCTATAAGCGTCCTTTCAGTGGTGTGTTGTCAGTTGGGCTTGTAGGGGACAAACAAAAGGAAAAGGGTGTTGTGGTGTCCTTCTTTTCTGAATTTTCTGAATTCACTCTTTGACAGAGGAGCTCCTCTTTTTGAGATCAATGAAAGACAGAGTATCCTGGCAGAGCAAAAGCAAAAACAAAACACCCCACCTATGTGTAAGAAAGAAATGGAACCAAACTAGAAAGCCACACAGCTTCCACTTAAGCTACTTTTCACTGAATTCCAGGCCACTTGAGTGGTTCAAACTCTGCTTTTCACATTACAGTTAATTCAGTATGACTGATTATTTTCCAAAGGGCTCATTCACCTGAGCAAATTGTTCTGCCACACAACATTTTTTGCAGAATATGGCTAGATATATTTTCAAAATGAGAGCAAGAGCATCAAGTGATACTGCAGGCTCCCACCTCTCATAGAGTTTGTATGCATACTTAAAGTACATATGTATGAGGCTCATTTATAATTATATTTTGGGAATGATTCATGTTCTTACGTAGCTGCATTGTTTTATACATTCTGGATGTCCCGTGACTGTATTGTAAAGTAGTTGTGTTCTTTGTTATCAATCAAGCCCTTCTAGGAGTCGTTTCTTTTTGTTTTCCAATATTCTGTGTAGCACAAGCATATTTTTATCTTGAAAGTGTGACCCAGAGAAAAATGTTGAGAACCATTGCCTTGGGGTTAATAAAGAAATAGGAAGGGTGTCCCCTCCCCTGATCATATCAACCCTGGTGGGAACCTGTCCTTAAAAGTCAAAGGACAGTGAGAGGGTGGGGAAAGTGCAAGTGAGCATAAACATCATGTTGGTTAAAATTAGGTGCTGTGTATGTTGGTGTTGTAGAATAACCCCAACTTTTGCTTGCAGGAGGAGAAGGTAGAGGGGGACCAGTTGGGTGTGCCGAATGTTCATATTGCATCAATGGTGCTGAACCTGTTTGGTGAGTCAGCTCCTGACCTGCTCTATGTCTTTTCCCTTTGGTGTCATGCAGACAGCCCTTGGCTGGAGCAGCCAGAGGTCCTCCTCCTGCTCCAGACAGTCATTAATATTTTGCTGCCACCTCGCATCATCAGCACTTCCCGCAGTAAGAACTTTATGCTGGAGAGCTCTCCTGCCCACTGCTCCACCCCTGGGGACGCAGGGAAGGACTTGCGCAAGGAAGGGCTAGCCGAATCCACTAGCCAGGCAGCCTACCTGGGTGAGTGAAAGCTTCTGCCTGCCAGAGCTGAAACAAAAAGAAAGAAAGAAAATAAAGGAAACTGAGAGCTGGTGCATGCATGCTTTTCTATCTATTGATATCTATTGATTCTATCTATTGATTTTATGTGACATTTCATCATTTGACATCTTAACACTTGATGGCTCACAGCTGAACATGTAAACTGCTTCCCCTGAAGAGCATCATGTTTGAGGTGACATTGCTCCTGAAGGTAGGAGTCTATCAATTGATGAAGATGATCATCCAAATGTCATAGACCAAATGGAGCAAACAGCACGCAGACCTAGTGGTGGGAGGGAAAAAATCCTGAAATAAGAGACACGGGGGAATGATTAATGGACTTCAATGTCTGTACACTAATGCGCAAAGCATGGGAAATAAACAAGATGAGCTTGAGCTCTTGGTACAGCAAACTAAATATGACATAATAGGCATCACTGAAACCTGGTGGGATAAGTCCCACGATTGGAATGTAATAATGGAGGGATACAATCTATTTCAGAGAAACAGACCAGACAAGAAAGGAGGAGGAGTGGCGTTATATGTCAGGGATGTGTATACCTGTGAAGAGATCCAAGATTTAGAACCTCAAAGCCAAAGTGAGAGCATTTGGGTCAAAATCAAGGGAGAGAAGAATAACAGTGACCTCATTGTGGGAGTTTACTATAGATCCCCAAGCCAAACGGAGGACATAGATGATGCCTTCCTGGAACAGATGGTCAAGCATGCAAAAGGAAGGGAGATAGTAGTAATGGGGGACTTCAATTACCCGGATATTTGTTGGATGTCAAACTCAGCCAAGAGCATAAGGTCAAACAGATTCCTCACTGGCCTTGCAGACAACTTCATTGTCCAGAAAGTGGGAGAAGCAACAAGAGGAACAGCCATTTTAGATCTGGTCCTAACCAATGTTGATGACCTGGTTAGTGGGGTAGAAGTGGAAGGATCATTAGGTGCGAGTGATCATGCTCTTCTGACGTTTACTATACAGCGGAAAGGAGCAGCCAAGCATACTAGGACTCAATTTCTTGACTTTAAGAACGCCGACTTCATAAAACTTAGGGAAGTGCTGGGTGAGATCCCATGGACAGTAATACTAAAAGGAAAGGGAGTTCATGATGACTGGGAGTTTGTTAAGAGGGAGATAGTAAAAGCACAACTTCAGGCAATACCAATGAGACTGAAACATGATCCTGGGTTCTCTTTCGATCCTTACTGCTGAGAAATTGGACTTAAGTTAACCCCCTCCTTCCCGTTTCCTTTTTTGTTGTTTTTTTTCTCTGTGGGAAAGATTTACATTCAAGCGTTGGAGCTAGAAAAAACCAGAAATAATTGGAATGCGGAAAATATCACCCGATAAACCCTGGGAAATTTTGGAAAATAACTTTAAGTGTTAAAAACAGGGGGTTTTACACCCCAGTAGACCATAACTGGATAGCTACAACATTTTGAATTGGACATTCACATCTTTTATGGACTTGAAAATATAAACAGGAAATGGGGACAGAATCCAGACCAGTGATTTGGTGATAGAGACCGGACCAGTGATTTTGTGACATTGGGATCTAATTGGTTTACAGGTCTGATTTAGATCGTGGATTAAAGCCTGAATTATTAGCCTTACTAGACCTTGGATTAGGACATGGACTAAGTTATAGAATATCTTTTACACGAGATGGACTAAACCGGCAAGTGGTGGAAGATTAAAGAAATTAAAAGAAATTGGAACTGAATTACTGCTCTCCCATCAGAATCTACGTGGACTTTAGAAAACCACTTTAACAGGAATAATTCTTATATAAGTAATAATTATTTGAGTCTTGGAGAAATTTACCAAACTTTCAGAGGGTGTTAAGGTTTTAAGGGACGGTTGGGGAAAACACAAACTATATTGTCACATACTATTAATAATACCCTAGGAGGGGGGAATCATTTGAAGGAAAACAAGAGCCTAAGGAAGGTACTAAGGTGTATAAACAAGACTTTAAGATTGCCAAGGTCGAGATATACTGGGATTATAAGTGAAGCTATTTTCTTTGATTTCTGGACATTTTATTATCCAACTGGATCTGTAACTGTATATTATAATAGTACATATTTTCTAGCAGACATTGGTGGTACTCGGAGATATTATGGTTGTACTTTAGGATACAGTTGAATTAATTGACTTTAAAGGTAATACTCTGTTTGAAAAATACTCTGTCTGAAAAAAAGGAAATACAATAGAAAGTGATATAAAAGAAATTGTAAGAATATAAAATAAGAAAAACAAAATCGCACAGGTGTAATAAGGTAAATTAAAGGAGAGTGGTTAAGACATAGTGTAGTAAGGTAAATTAAAGGAGAGTGGTTAAGACATAGAAAAATAAGAATAACAAAACAAAAAAACAAACAAACAAAATTGTGCGCCCCTCAGGGGAGAGACAGAAAATTAACACAGACTATTGTGTAAATAATCACAAAATGTCAGGGAAAAACGAAAAAAAGGTAGGAGGGACTCCTGGGGACAGAAAGGCCTCACGACAGGAGGAAATTAAGACCTAGACATATTGTGGTTAAAGATCAAAGAGGAATTTAAACAGAGTGAACTACATATGGAAAGTAAATTAGGAGAGGTGCAGGAACAGATAGATAAAAAAATTGAAGGAGCTGTGGGAGAACTCACTAATAAAATACAAGACCTATCAGTTAGATCAAAAGTAATAGAGGAATCAAACAAGAAAATTCAAAAAGAATTGAAAGAACATGTCAGGGAACTGCCATCGGAGCTAGAGGCGGAGGGAAGGCTCCAAAGGGATGCAGGAGAGGGTCCCAGTAGGGAGAGAGGCAGCCCATCTGCTGGGGAAGGAAATCAGCGTAACACCAGTGGAGAAGGGGGGCAGATGGGGGAATCGGAGAGGAGGCTCCAAGACTCTTCGCCAGAGACCAGCGGAGAGAGTACAGGTACTCCGCTGCCCACACCCTCCCTGCGCAGAAGACTTCCGCGCAGGGAGAGTAGGAGGAGACTTGGCGTCAAACAACTTTTATGCTGGAAAAGGTTTAAGAAACGCCCACTGACGGATTCTGCCAGCAACTGAGACAGTCACGATGCTGGAGGCTGTTCAGTCAGAAAGGGTTTAACCAGGTAACCTCGCCAGCAGTGGGGGCAACTTACGCACGAGCAACCCCTAAATCCATTACAGCAATCCGTCAGTCACCGACGTTGCTTGTGCGCAGCTCCAGGGAGGCAGCACCATGAGCCAGACCAGAGGAGCCAGAGAGATGGAGCAAGCAGCTGCAGTGCAAGGGCTGGTAGAGAGAAACCGAAATTTGGAACAGCATGTAGCTCTCCTGACGGCGCGGCTGGACGAAAGATGAGCTCAGGATGCTCAGGTCAGACCCACCCCCATCGCAAGGAAGGTACCGGGGCTGGTACACAAGTTTGGGGGGGAACCCCAGGACTACAATGTGTTCCGAACGGAAATAGAGTACGCTTTGGAACTGCAGCATGATGACTTTGTTAACGATGAGCAACGGGTAGCCTACATTGTGGGGCATCTGGAGCATGGGGCAAGAGAATGGATCAGGCCCCTTATGGCGACGCAAAATCATGCCTTGAAGGACCTTAAGAAATTCTTTCAGGCGATGGATGCGATGTATTCCAGTGAAGTCCAGCAAAGTGTGACTCAGCGGGAACTGATGGGGTGCAAGCAGGGGAGCCAGTCAGTTAGAGACTACTGGTCACGCTTTGCAATGTTGATCCACCGTCTCGGGTGGGATTTGGACTCTGAACCTATTCAAATGTTGTTTGAGGAGGGGTTGTCCCCAACGGTGAAGGACGAGCTGTCCCGCGCGCCCCGCCCACAGTCGATGGATCAGCTGACCAAGGCTGTGCTTGCGATTGGAGTGAGGCAGGAAGCGCGGGCTCAGGAGAAACACGAAGGAGAAACGCGAAGGGAGAAGGGAATGTTGCCATGACTACCGCATTCCTGAAATACCAAGACAGCTTTCCCAGGCGGCTGAGCCAATGGGAATAGATGGCGTGCGAGAGAGAGAGGTTTCAAACTCCAGTGAAGGTCGCAAGAGGGAGGGGAAGGATTGGAAATCCACCAAGAAGTGTTTCCTCTGCCAACGGCCGGGACATTTTGCAAGGGTCTGCCCTCAAAGAAAGGCCTGGCAAGGGATGGTGGGGGCTGCTGGCTGTGAGGAGAAGGGGGATGAAGGGCAGGCGCAGGGAAACGACAGCGCCTGGCTGCCAACCAAAGGGGCCAGCAGCCAGGCCAGCAACCAATAGAAGTGCCCCAGCCTGACCCCCCCAGGGCAGCCATAGCCATAGCAGTGGTGCTAGAACTCCCGAATGGGCACCCAGTCAAGGTTGAGGGGATGCTGGATTCGGGCAGCTCCTGCAATTTATTTAGCAGGGACTTCGCTTTGGAGCACCAAATACACTTGCTACCCCTGGATTTTCCCTTGCAAGTGACCACCATCGATGGCAGGGAACTTCTGGGAGGGGAAGTGACACACCAGACCCCGCCAATGCGAATGAGGGTTTCCAGGCACACAGAGACCATTGCCTTTCACGTGGCCACACTGGCAGGACCCCCAATAATACTGGGAATGAGCTGGCTGGCACTGCATGATCCAGTAGTGTCATGGCATCAGCGGTCAGTCACCTTTGGGTAAGCTTACTGTTTGGAACACTGTCTGGGGGGGAAACCCCAAGAATGACAGTGGCCAGGGTGGCTGGGCTGGCGGTGGAAACAGACTACCCCCCCCATAGGCCCTTTGACTGCCAAATCAACTTAATCCCAGGGGCTCAGCTGCCTGTGGGTAAGCTGTATGCCATGTCGGACCGGGAGATGCAGGAGTTATGGCAGTTTATTGACAAGAAACTGAAGAGGGGGTTCATAAGGGAATCAAAGGCGGTGGGGGGCAGTCCGGTGTTCTTTGTGGACAAAAAAGGAACTAATCAGCCCAGACTGGTCGTGGACTACCGGGCCCTAAACCTGGTATTGGAACCCGTGACCTTCCCAATGCCCAGGATTGACGACATTTTAACACGGGTGAGGCAGGGGAAAATGTTCACCAAGCTGGACCTCAGGGGAGCGTACAATTTGATCAGGGTAAGGGAGGGGGACGAATGGAAGACCACCATGTTCACCCCCCTGGGGGCTTTTGAGTACTTAGTCATGCCATTTGGATTACAATCGGGCTCCGCCTGCTTTCAAGCATTCATGCACCACGTGTTGGGGCCCCTGCTGTACAAGAACTGCGTAGCCTTCTTGGACGACATCTTAATCTATTCAGACAATGAGAAGCAACTTGTCAGAGACGTCAGGGAAGTGCTAAAGAGGCTGCAGAAGCACCAGTTGCGGGTCAAGCTGGAAAAATGCCAATTTCACACCAGAGAGGTCGTTTCTGGGGTACAAGTTGTCAGACAAGGGACTGGCTATGGACCCAAGCAAGGTGCAGGCAGTGCTGGAATGGAAAGCCCCCAAAACCCGGAAGGATGTGCAGAGGTTCCTAGGGTTCAGCAACTTCTACAGGAAGTTCATCAAGAACTTCGCCCACTTAACGGCGCCCATCACAGATTGTCTCAGTAGCAAAAGGAAGTTTGCCTGGACAGAAAGTGCCCAGCAATCCTTTGAAAGACTGAAGAAGGCGTTCGCTTCGGAAGAACAGCTCCTGCACGTTGATCTGGAGAAACCCATGAGGCTAGAGACCGACGCGTCCGACAGAGCCATTGGGGCGGTACTTTTGCAGCCAGGGAGGAACAAGCAGGAATGGAAGCCGTGTGCCTTTTTCTAGAGGAAGCTGAGCAAGTCGGAGCAAAACTATACGGTGTATGACCGCGAACTGCTTGCAATCTATGCGGCGTTTCGCCGATGGAGACATCTGTTAATAGGGGCGCAGCACAAGATCCAGGTTTGTACTGATCACAAGAACTTGGAATACTGGAGGACCGCGCGAGTACTCAACCAGAGACAGATTCGATGGGCACAGGAGTTCTCCAAGTTTTCCTTCGAGATCCAATACGTGCCGGGAGAGGAAAACGTAAGAGCAGATGCTCTCTCCCGGAAGCCGGAGTACATGGAAGGAGAGGGACCGCCGGAGATACAACACGTGATCCCCGAGGACCGATGGGTGTGTGGGGGAGCCTTGATTGGGAAACGAGAACTGGCCGGGCTTACTAGAAACGACATGTTCGCCCAAACTAAAATCAGGGAACTCCGAGACGGAAGAGAAAATCATGGGGGTTTTGAGGAACAGGAAGGGGTGCTGTACTATAAGGGGGCGCTGTATGTACCAAGGGAGACCCTGAGGGGGAAGGTACTCAAACAACTCCACGACAACCCCACAGCTGGGCACTTTGGACAGCACAAAACCATGCTGCTCGTCACCAGGCAGTTCTGGTGGCCAAGGGTGAGGGAGGATGTACGGGAATATGTATGGGGGTGCGACCGCTGCCAAAGGGCAAAGGGGGAGAGGGCTGCCCCCGCAGGGTTACTGGAACCCTTACCCACGCCAGGAAGACCCTGGGAGGTGGTGTCCATTGATTTTGACAGATTTGCCCAAGTCCAGGGGGAAGACAGCAGTCATGGTAATAGTCGATCTACTGACGAAAATGTGCCATTTCATAGCTTGCTCACATGCGGTGACGGCAGAGGAGACAGCCAAGTTGTTTGTGGATCACATCTTCAGGTTGCATGGGGCGCCCTCGAAGGTCATCTCAGATCGCGGAAAACAATTTACTTCACGATTCTGGAGGAAGCTCATGAGCTTGCTGCAGGTAGAGGTGGGCTTCTCAACGGCGCGACACCCGGAAACCAACGGGCAAGCAGAAAGAGCGAACAGTATACTCCAGCAATACCTACGCTGCTACGTCAGCGAGAGACAGAACGATTGGGTAGAGAAACTAGCGCTGGCTGAATTTGCGTACAATAACGCTGAACATGTGTCCACGGGCATGAGCCCGTTCATGGCCAATTATGGGTGTCACCCCAGGGCGTTCCCGGGGAGGGTGGAGTGTACCTGTGGCCGAGCAGTTTGTGGAAGAAATGGAGGCAGTGCACCAGCAACTCAAGATGAACTTGGAGCGGGCCAAGGAAGTTTATAAGAGGCAGGCAGACAAGCACCGTCGGGAGGGGGATGCCATATGGGTGGGAGACCGAGTGTGGTTGTCAACCCAAGGGTTGCCCCTAAAGGGAGGGTGCAAGAAGTTGCAGCCAAGGCGGCTGGGACCCTTTGAGGTAACACAGCAGGTGAACCCTGTGGCATTCAAGCTCAAGTTGCCTGACAGCATGAAGATACATCCGGTGTTCCATAGGTCCCTACTCTCACCATACAGGGAGGGGCGGGAATTCCCGGGGCGGGAGGGAGGAGTCACCGCCCACCCGCGGGTAGAGAAGAGGGAACTCCACCACCAAGCCACGGAAATACTCGATTCAAGGTGGCGAGGGCGCCAGGTGGAGTACTTAGTGGCTTGGGAAGGAGAACCCGAGTCAGAAAACACTTGGGGCCCCGCTGAGGCGGTCAATGATTGGTATCTAGTGGAAGAATTCCACAGCCTGTTCCCAAACAAACCAAAACCACTAGCGAGATTCTGGGAGGAAGAATTTGGAAGCACAGACGACGAGGAGGAATTTGTGGGTTTTCCTGCCTCCGAAGAGGAAGGAGGGGAGATGTCAGAGGGAGAAGAATCAGACTGGGAGGCCCACCCCACAGCAAGATATCGGAGCGGGTGTGGTCATATACGCTAAAGAAAAAGAGGACCCCAAGTTAATATGCAAAGATGAGGAAGGGAGAATTTTGGGGATACAAATTAACCACCAGGGAGAAAAATTTAACGTAGTAACTGTTTATGCCCCAAATATGAATAAAGCAGAATTTTTCAAAAAACTGGAACAAATATTATTGGACTTAGAGACTCATAAACTGATTTTACTTGGTGACTTAAATGGAGTGCCAATTCCAGAACATGACAGAAGTGTAAAAAGGGGAAAATTGAGCCAAGGGAAATTACCTAAATCGTTTAAAAACCTTTGAAGAAAATTTAGACCTGACGGATATCTGGAGACACAAAAACCCATTGACAAAACAATTTACATTTTTCTCAGAGCCGCACCAGAGCTGGGGCAGAATAGACCAGATTTGGGTATCAAGAGAACTAGTAACAAGAGCTGCAAAATGTGAAATACAACCCAGAACTCTGTCTGACCATAATTCAATATCCCTGGAAATTAAGTGTGGAATTCAGGGTATGTATCGATGGAGAATGAATGAATACTTATTTGAAAACGAAGATGTAACTGAAAAGGCCAAAAACACTTTAAAAGACTTCTTTGAGTTAAACCTTAATAAAGAGACAAATATTGATATGGTTTGGGATGCTAGTAAGGCGGTGCTAAGAGGCTTTCTAATCCAACAAAATAGTCACAGGAAAAAAATAAAAGAACAAAAGAAAGATGAAATCCTGAACCAATTAAGAGAATATGAGAAAAAATTAATAACAAATCCTAGTGATGATCAGATTAAACATCCAAATTGTTACAATTACAATACTCAATGCTAATTAACCAAGAAGTTGAATGGAGAATTAAATCAATGAGGCAAAAAATTTTCGAATCCGCAAACAAAACGGGAAAATTTTTAGCCTGTCAACTACGAAAAAGGAAAAAGCAAAATGTGATCAACAAGATAAAAATAGAAGAAAGGCTTGTGGAAGAGCCAAACGAAATAAAGAAAAACTTCCTAAAATTCTTTGAAAAATTATACAGAAAAGAAGAAGATATAATAGAAATAGGAAAATACTTAGAAAATAACAGAATAACATCCATAACGGAGGAAGAGAAAACCCAGTTGAACAAGGCCATAACAATAGATGAAGTCCAGGAAGCAATAAAGAAAATGAAATTAGGGAAAGCTCCGGGCCCAGATGGCTTGTCGGCCAAATATTATAAAGTTCTTGGAGAACAGTTAGCCCCGGTGCTACGTGATGTAATGAATAACATCCTACAAGGAGGGAAGATACCGGACTCCTGGTAAGATGCCCACATAACGTTGATACCTAAAGCGGAGTCAGATAAACTGAGTATAAAAAATTACAGACCGATATCACTTCGTAATAATGATTATAAAATATTTGTGGAAATTATGGCAAACAGACTTAAGCATTACCTTAAAAATGTAATACACACAGACCAAGCTGGATTCCTTCCTAATAGACAACTAAAAGATAACGTTAGGCACATAATAAATATCATCGAATACCTGGAAAGGAAGAATGAAATCCCTGCAGTATTAATTTTTATCGATGCAGAAAAAGCATTCGATAATGTTTCATGGCAGTTCTTATTAAAGTGTATGGAGACAGCAGGGATAGAAGGTGCCTTTATGGAGGGAATCAAAGCAATTTATTCCAGTCAAAGAGCCAAATTGATTATTAACAACAATTTAACTGATACATTCGAGATTTCCAAGGGTACGAGACAAGGCTGCCCCCTGTCACCGCTTCTTTTCATAATGGTATTGGAGGTAATTGCAAATAAGCTAAGGAAAACACCAGAGATACAAGGAATTAGAATTGGGGTGAAAGAATTCAAATTGAAAGCATACGCGGATGACTTCGTAATCTCACTGGAGGACCCAAAACAAAGTATGGACAAAGCCCTGGTACTTCTAGAGGAATTTGGGAGAGTAGCGGGCTTTAAGTTAAATAGAACTAAAACTAAAATGATGGTAAAGAACATGGGGGAAGACCTAAGGAGGCAATTAGAACTCCAATCAGGAATTAAAGAAGTAAAAAAGGTAAAATACCTAGGAGTGTGGCTTACAATGAAAAACATAAATTTTATGGCTGATAACTACATTAATACCTGGAAGGATATCCAAAAGGAACTAGACATCTGGAACAGGATCAAACTCTCCTGGTCAGGTAGAATGGCAGCAATCAAGATGTGCATACTGCCGAAATTATTATTCCTATTCCAAAACGTTCCGGTGATTAGAGGAAGTGCAATATTCCAAAACTGGCAAAAAATTCTCTCTAAATTTATATGGCAAGGTAAAAGACCGAGGATTAGATTTAAATTGTTAACGGATAAAAAAAGGGGAGGATTCTCGGTCCCAAATCTGAGACTGTACTATGAAGCCTCGTGCCTTTGCTGGCTTAGAGAATGGATTATTTTGAAAAATACAGACCTGCTAGACCTAGAAGGATTTGACTTAAGATTTGGTTGGCATGCTTATCTCTGGCAGAATAAGGAAAAGGTGCATAAAGGCTTCTCGAACCATATTATCAGAGGAACATTGTTAGAAACATGGGAAAAGAACAAGAAACTGTTGGGGGGAAAAGCCCCTGGTGGCTATCGCCTATAGATATGTTAACTATTAAAAAAACAAATATAGAAGGTGAGAGATGGACTTATGAAGACCTCCTAGAAAGATCAGAAAGAGGATGGAAAATTAGACCATATGAAGAGTTAAAAAGTAAATTATCAGGTTGGCTGCAGTACCATCAAATCAATGGCTTATGGAAGGAAGATAAAAAGATCGGAATGAACAAAAAAAAATCCAAGTTCCAGGTAGAAATAATAGAAGGTAAAACTAAACTGCTATCTAAAATGTACAATCAGCTATTAGAATGGGACACCAAGGATGAGGAGGTTAAGGATGTCATGACAAAATGGGCTATAGACCTCGGATACAATTTGGATTTCAACAAATGGACGAGGCTGTGGACTAAAGGAATGAAATTTACAGCTTGCACCACCCTCAGAGAAAATATGGAAAAGATGATGTGCCGTTGGTACATCCCCCGGGTGAAACTGCAAAAAATGTATAAGACCGGAGATAATAGGTGTTGGAAGTGTAAAACCAAAGAAGGAAGTTTCTTCCACATGTGGTGGAAGTGTGAAGAAATCAAAAAAATTTTGGGAATCAATATATAATGAACTGAAAAAAATACTTAAATACACTTTCGTTAAAAAACCCGAAGCTTTTCTTCTGGGAATGATCGGAGACGAGATTAAAAAAGAGGATCATATAATGTTTCAATACGCATCCGTAGCTGCCAGGATCTTGTTAGCAAAAAATTGGAAAACCCCAAATATCCCGACTGTTAAAGATTGGCAAATTAAATTATTTGAATATATGGATTTGGCAAGAATGACACAGAATATCAGACAGCAAAAAGGTACAAAGTTTATTGATGACTGGAATAAATTTATAATGTACATGGAATCAAATTCTAGAGATATAAAAATCACAGTAGGTTTAATATAATCCTTGCGATGTTTAGATGATATAAAATAAGAACTGCAGAACCGAATTACTACTTTACATAATCCAAAATTGAGATGGAGGGAAGTCAACTTTTATTTGTGTTAACTGATGTTTGTCTTCTGGTTTGTTTATATTTTCTGTTTTGGTTGATGTCTTTCTTTTTTCTTCTCATTGATGTGTTCGGTTTGTTTTTGTTTTTCTTTTTTCTGTTGTTGTTTGGCTTAGAAAATTAATAAAAAGAAATTTAAAAAAGAGAGAGACTGAAACATGGAAGGTGCCTAAAGAAGCCAGGGTGGCTATCTAAAGAACTTTTATCTGAGTTAAGATTAAAAAAGGATGTGTACAAAAAATGGAAAAGGGGGGAAACCACCAAAGAGGAATTCAAACAAATAGCCAGCACGTGTAGACACAAAGTCAGAAAAGCTAAAGCACAGAATGACCTCAGGCTTGCTAGAGAGGTTAAAAGCAACAAAAAAGGCTTTTATGGGTATGTTCGTAGCAAAAGGAAGAACAAAGAAACAGTGGGGTCACTCAGAGGAGAAGATGGTGAAATGCAAACAGGGGACACAGAAAGGGCTGAACTCCTCAATGCCTTCTTTGCCTCAGTCTTCTCCAATAAAGAAAACAATGCCCGACCTGAAGAATTTGGAGCAAATGATTCAGCAGAGGAAACAACCCAGAATAACTAAGGAGATAGTACAAGAATACTTGGCTAGTCTAGATGTATTCAAGTCTCCAGGGCCAGATGAACTGCATCCAAGAGTATTAAAAGAACTGGCAGATGTGATCTCAGAACCACTGGCAGTCATCTTTGAGAATTCCTGGAGAACAGGCGAAGTCCCGGCAGACTGGAGGACAGTAAGAGCTGTTCGACAGTGGAATTTGCTGCCAAGGAGTGTGGTGGAGTCTCCTTCTTTGGAGGTCTTTAAGCAGAGGCTTGACAACCATATGTCAGGAGTGCTCTGATGGTGTTTCCTGCTTGGCAGGGGGTTGGACTCGATGGCCCTTGTGGTCTCTTCCAACTCTATGATTCTATGATTCTATGATTTGAGTGATCTAAAAGCTCTGGCTTGGATCCTAAGTAAAGTCAAACTAAGGAGGTTCACGGGAGAAAAGTTTCCTTTCTCTGGTTGGCTTGCAGGAGGTGTGCAGAACACAGTAGGTAACCCCACTCCCCAACAGCTAAAGGGAGCCAGGTGCATGTGGCCTAAACTGCAGTTACTTACAGGCAGCTCCCAAGGCTGTTCCTCCAGTTTGGGTGCCTGGTAAGCTGCTCATTCTCCTTGTTTCTAGCACACATTACTTTCTGCAGTTTATTTTGTACTTGTCTCTTCACCACTCCCTTTCCCTTAATTTATATTGTTTCTTTTCTGATATTTTGGGAGAACAGGAAGGACTCTGTCTCATTTGTCTTCTCTGCTTCTCTCTTTTCTCTCCTATTCTGTTGTTACAATTTTTCAAACAGTGCAGATTTAAGTATATAAATCTTCAGAGCCTGGAAACAGGAGACATCTGGAGACTCCTGCAGGCTGGGCTGGCATGGGTGGGTTCAAGCCAAACACCCTTAAAAGGGAAACCACGGCCCTTTTCATCTTCCCTGGGAGAGGGACCACTGAACCAAAGGTTCATTATTTCCCCATGTGTAGCCTGTGTGTGGTGCTGCAAGCAACAATGAAACCTCCATTTGAGTCTCTTAGGACTATTTCATTAAGACTGTCCTCACTTGAGGTACTCTTTCTTGTGGTTATTATTGCCAGTCTGAAGAGATCTCCAGATTGGAGGCCCTGTCTATCAAGTCCAACATTGTGCCTTTGAGGAAGACAGAGTAGTACTAGGGCCTAAACCATATTTCCTTCCTAATATCAATCCTCTTTGTCACAAATCTCAAGAGCTTCCCGTAACTTCTTTCTGTCCTAATTCTTCTCCCAACCCTCTCAGTGGGCATGGCATAAGCTGGACATCAGAGATGTCCAAAGAACCTGCCAATTCAGCAGAGCAGAATATCTGTTTGCACCTAATAGCCCAATACATTGGGGCAGAAGGTGTTTAGATTGACCTTGACTAGGTGGGTTCAGGACATGGCTGCTTAATATTATAGCCCATCCTACCAGCATTTTCCACTAATGCTCTGTTGGAAGAGATTTGCAGGGCTGCTACATGGACTTCTGCTAGACACTGTGAGATTGATAAGCAGAAGTAGCTTTCGTCAGTAGGGTGCTCAGCCACCTGATCCTCCTGATTGGCATTGCAGTTAGCTTGGGCAAGTTGCATTGTATTCTGAAGGCCTCCTGTATGCCAGTCACAGATAAGAACTTTGGGCCAGTCATGTTCCTTCTGGTGAGGTTTGGAAGGTCTCCAGCCCCTCCCTCTTATTCTGATCAGGAGGATGTTTCTCATACAGGGGCTTCTGCACATTTATCTCAGTTTGGCTGACATATTGCACCTTCCAGGCCACAGAGGGTGTTTTTTCTTCTTGGTTTGTCTTCATATTGTCTCCTCCTTCTTTTCTTCTTCCTTCTACCTGCTCTGTCTTACACTCAGCCACAGAGGGAAATCTGGAAGGAAATCCTTGGAAGCTGCTGTGACTGCAATATAAATCACATGCCGTTTTCCGGGTGGTGTGGATGTATGTTTAACCTGTTATATTCCAGAGGCCTTTTGCATGCCCACCAGAAAGAGCATAAGAAGAGTCCTGCTTGATCAGGTCCAGCATCCAGTTCTCAGTGCCCAGCCAGACAACAATGGGGCCTGTTTGCACTCTTTCCCCCCCTCCAAAAAAACGAAGCCTCTCAGAGCTTCATCAGGAGCTCTGCTGAACAATGTAGACGGCTGCTGGTAGAGGAGGAGGGAACAGGAAACTTAAATTGTTTTTATGAATTTATGACTAGACTAAAAGAGTAAGAATTATAATCAATAAACAACATTTTGTCTGCTTTCTGGTGAAGAGCTTGAAGCTGACGAAGAAAGGCTTTGGGCACGCTAACGTTTATGCATGCAAGTGTTGAATGTATTGTCACCACATAGAACTTTAATTCTTCTGACATTTGTTTCGCTTTTAGCTTTGAAGGTGATCCTTGTCTGTTTCGAGCGTCAGCTTGGCAGCCAATGGTATTGGCTAAGCCTGCAGGTCAAAGAGATGGCTTTGCGAAAAGTAGGAGGGCTTGCTCTATGGGATTTCATAGATTTTATTGTTCGCACCCGAATTCCTATCTTTGTGCTTCTTCGACCCTTCATTCAGTGCAAGGTAAAGCTACTTTTAATGTTAATCGCCATTTCCTTGTGAAATGACATTGATAAACCAGATGAGGGGGGGAGGAGCGAGGAATGCTTTGTTGTAGTAGCACTCTCAAAAGTGAGAGAGTATTCCTTGGATACTAAACAGGCTTGAGTACCCCTGTTGTTTGCCTCAAAGGAAGAGCAGGAAACATTTCAAAGGTGTTGATTCTCTAGACCAGGGGTAAAGGTCAAGGTAAAGGTACCCCCTGATCATTAGGTCCAGTCACGGACGACTCGGGGGTTGCACGCTCATCTCGCTCTATAAGCCGAGGGAGCTGGCGTTTGTCTGCAGACAGCTTCCGGGTCATGTGGCCAGCATGACCAAGCCGCTTCTGGCGAACCAGCACAGTACACAGAAATGCCCTTTACCTTCCCGCCAGAGTGGTACCTATTTATCTACTTTCACTTTGACATGCTTTCAAACTGCTAGGTGGGCAGGAGCAGGGACCAAGCAATAGGAGCCCACCCCATCAGGAGAATTGGAACCGCTGATCTTCTGATCAGCAAGCCCTAGGCTCTGTGGTTTAAACCACAGCATCACCCGCGTCCCTTGGACCAGGGGTAGTCAACCTTTTTATACCATCCGCCCACTAATGCATCTTTCTTTAAGGTAAAATTTCCTTACCGCCCCCCAGTGCTCAATGGAAGGAGGATTCAGCTTGTGCCGTAGAACCCCCTTCTGCCCACCTAGAATCCTGAAACGCCCACTAGTTGGCAGTAGGGACCAGGTTGACATCCCCTGCTCTAGACCAAGGGTTTTCAACCAGTGTGCCATGGCACCCTAGGGTGCCTTGAATGATGGTCAGAGATGCAGTAGGCAACACTGGCCTCTGTCCCTCTTTCCTGCCCTCCGCCTTCTGATGCCCTCTTGCGTCTCTGCCTCCTCAAGGCTTGCACAGCTGTTTGTTGTAGCAGCCCTGGCTACAAGCTTCCCAGGCAAATGATGCCTCTGGAGCTGGCCAAGGAGTGCTGGTTGTCAGGAGCTGAGGCGGTGTTAGAGTAAGCAAGCAAGTGGGGGAGGGAGCCCAGTCAGCCAGTCCACCAGACCTTGCTGTTGGGAATGGATGAACAAGTGGGAGACCGGGCAGTGACCCCTGTATGGTCTCAAGCAGAGAGCTAATAAGCCTTGTTACCTAAGATCCTTTCAAGTAACGAGCTTAGAATTGAAACTGAGGTTTATGCAGGCAAAGTGGGCATTCTGCCTTTGAGCTATGGCTCTTCCTCTTAATTTTAAAGCAGTATTTTGATGGTGTTTCTTATTTATATAAATATAAACTTTATAAACCTATAAATATAAACAAAACCAAATGGCATTAAAAAAACGGAACTGGCATTACAAAACTGAACCAATATCTTTGTTGAGTGTTATGAGGGTCACTTGCAGAATCACTGAGAGTGTTGACTTAAAACTACCGGTAACTGGTTTTGTTTTGAGCCAGTGTGGTGTAGTGGTTAAGAGCGATAGTCTCGTAATCTGGGGACCTGGGTTCGCGTCTCCGCTCCTCCACATGCAGCTGCTGGGTGACCTTGGGCTAGTCACACTTCTCTGAAGTCTCTCAGCCCCACTCACCTCACAGAGTGTTTGTTGTGGGGGAGGAAGGGAAAGGAGAATGTTAGCCGCTTTGAGACTCCTGAAGGGGAGTGAAAGGCGGGATATCAAATCCAAACTCCTCCTCTTCTTCTTCTTCTTTTGTTTTTGTTCTTCCTGTATCTTCCTGACCACCCTCACCCCCAGTTGCTAGCCCAGCCAGCTGAGAATCATGAAGAAATGACTGCTCGACAGCACATTGCTGACCAGTTGGAGCGGCGCTTCATCCCACGCCCTCTCTGCAAGAGCTCTCTCATTGCGGAATTCAACAATGAGCTAAAGATCCTCAAGGAGGCTGTGCATAGTGGGTCAGGTGAGGAAATCGATGAATAAAAGCCAATTGAGAAAAGATGCACCTCAGATAAGAACATATTACACTAATCATCACTTAACCAACAGCACAATGCTTTAAACCACATATCACTTCTAAAACTGAAATTGGAAAGGATCAGTAATTTAACTTTTTAAAGCTTTTGTAAAATGTTACATTGGCATCCCTTAAGGCTGAAGTCCTGCAAAGAAATAATTGCCACCTGGATGGTGGTGAGACAATATCTTCTAAATATATAGTGTAATTGAAAACCAGTGACTACCACTGGTGCCCATCAAATATGGTGAGATAAATGTCTTACATGACATTTATTCAATCAGTCTTAGGGAAGCGCTTCTTGTAACTTCCTAGTATCATGGAATTAAAGTAAGTACATTAGGAAAGCTTCTTTTTACATTGCCTGCACTTCCAATGGCTCAGAATCTGCAGATCACTGACCCTCCTCCTTTCGTTCCTGCTGTGGAAAAGAACTAAGTCTTGCCAACTTTCATTTTAATGAACACCTCTTTTCCACCACCTTAATTTGTTCAGCCTACCAAGGTAAGACTTCCATCAGCACTGCAGGCACCTCTACCTCTGCATACCGACTGAGTCTCGCCACAATGTCGCGCTCCAACACTGGTACTGGAACTGTCTGGGAACAGGATAGTGAGCCTTCCCAACAAGCTTCCCAGGATACTTTAAGCCGGACAGATGAGGAAGATGAAGAAAGTAAGTACCCAGCATTGCAGAGGTGATGTGGCGGCAGGCCTGTTTCTTTAAATCTGGATCCCCTGCAGTCATCTAAAAAGCCAGGGGCAGAGGGAGATGCATTGGGAGGTGTGCACAATCCTTCCCCTGAGTTGAAGCATTTTTACTCCCGGAGCAGTTATAGGTTTGTTTTGTTCTTGTTTTCATTATGTATTTTGTGATTTATGCTGTGAACTACCCTGTGATCTTTGGATGATGGGTGGTATACAGATTTATTAAATAAATTCATTCATTCATTCATCTAGGAGAAAAGCACTAGGCAGAGGGGCTACAGGGAGGTAAACTGCCATCCTGCCCCTTCCCTTTATTACTGAAAGTGAAAATTGGCCCTCTGTTTTCTGTATGGCTGCTACAGATACAAACACAGATTTAAACACATGACTGTTGCACTGAGATTTACCTATATGGACAATTAAATGGTGGACACATATTAATTTAAATTATATGGACTAAAAAAGCAATTAAAAAAGCAGAGTAATCTTTTTCTTAACAAATATTGCCTTTATGTACATTATGTTGAACTTAGATTTTTATATTTATACTTCTTATATTTGAGAGGGTTTACAAAAACATTTTGATTATTTTTATCATGGGGCTGAAACTTTTGTGTGTTTGTAGGATTTTGCTGCCATTTTTACAGTTATATTAGGAAGGGAAGACTCTTCCTGTTACAACTGCTACAAATGCTCTGCTGAAGATCGAACTAAGGCGGCAAGCTTTAATTTATTTCATTTTTAGCTGATTATTATTAAAAGTAGATTTAAATTACTCAAGCTGAGGCTGAAAAACAAAACAAAACAAACAAACAAACAAACAAACAAACAAACAAACTGGTTTTCACTTCTTGAAGGCATTTTCATTCTGGTATGTAACTAAGGTCTGCAATCCAGTACACACATAACCTGGGACTCAGTCCCATTGAAGCCAGTAGGGCTTTCTCCCAGAAGGCTTTATTATAGGGGTAAACTTGTCCCTGTTTTGACAGCTTGAATTTTGGCAGCCATGAAACTATTAACCCCAAAAGCTATATGTGAAACAATTTACCATCTGTTGTGGTTGTTGTGGTGGTGGTGGTGGTGGTTGTTATACCCCAGCCACTCTGGGTGGCTTACAGCAGATATTAAAACATAATGTGAGAGATTCTTCATCCTACCCCCTCTAGATGATTCCGTGAGCATGCCCAGTGTGGTAAGTGAACAAGAAGCATACCTCATGGGTGCCATTGGGAGGAGGAGATTCTCCAGCCATCTCTCCAGCATGTCTGCACCTCAGGCTGAGGTGGGCATGTTACCCAGCCAAAGGTAACAATACGGGCTATTTCACATTTCCTGACATCTCTCACAAGAGCAGAAATTATGAAGGTATAATATAGTGTTCAACACATGGGTGTTTGGAGAAGAAGAGTTGTCACAAGGTCAAATAAAATAAGAAATGAGGCAATGCAACATTAGCTTTATGTTAAAATGTGTATGGTGTAGGAACTACTGTTTTAATCCTACATATTAGAAACTTATACATGTTTTCCTTGATACTTATTAGTGAGGAATAGGTAATTTGAAGAGAGATTGTTGTTCTTGTTAACTTTCCATTCCATGACCTAGTCTAAGTTACAGATATGTTCTGCTAAATCAGAGCCTCAGCTGAAGGTGCTTGTGAATGCAACATTTTTTAAAAATAAAAACATATAGATCACTATCTTGGACAGATCTGTCCATCTAGCTGAGAAGTATCTGAGCTACTTCCATAGTCCTGCAGCTAAGGGGTCCTACTTTTTGAACTCAATGTTCTTTTGTTGCATTTGCACAGAACTTTAGGCACCATGGCGTGTGGCATATTGAGAACATTAGGATGACTTTAAAATGTAAAGTGAGAATTTAGACAGTAAGAATGTGTAACCATGAACTGTCCCATACCTGCTGACATAGGAAAAGCTAACTGTGCTCATGGTGCATGGGTGTGTGGGGGCGTGTATGCAAGAGAGAGAGAATTTGGGGGTTTTAAATTCAGCGATAGCCCAACTTTTATATTCACTTGGCAATCATTGGAAAATAAATTGACATTGATCCCCAGTATCCCCCCTCCATAGCCTAGTTTTGTTTTCTTACAGTGGATTTAGAGAACCAGTTGACCTGGTGATAAATTGACACAATAATTAGCCAGGTTTTTCTCTCTCTCAACTGCTTATGCATAGTGAAAAAGTAAGGCAGAAAGATGCAACATGAAACTGAAACTTTTTGCAACCATGCTGCCATCACGTGAAATCCATACCAATTTGCAGTCACTCTTGGGGCCACTTAATACACGTGTTGAGCAGTGGTGCCTGTATGTTTTCCCTTAAGAGAGATAAAACCCCCCAGCTTTGTGAAGTTTATTTTAATTGGGAAAACATCACCGGGGGAGGAATAGGGCTTTCCCGGAATTACCTTTCTTCTGCGCTTTCTGGGCATGATCCGTGCTCCGGAGCTTTCCCCATGAAAACTCGCTTTTTCAAGCTGAATCAGAGCACACGGCATTCTGCAGAAAAGCTGAATTGCTGTTTGTTGGACTTCAGCATTAAAGAGTGAAAACCCCAACGCAGTGCTTTAAAGTGCTGGCCTGTGTGGCATGAGTGGGGCAAAAGATCAGCGTGGATAAACGCTTAGAGAAACCTTCCCCTAGTGCAGGGGTAGGCAACCTAAGACCCTGGGGCCGGATGTGGCCCAATTGCCTTCTCAATCCGGCCCGCGGACGGTCCGGGAATCAGTGCGTTTTTACATGAGTAGAATGTGTCCTTTTATTTAAAATGCATCTCTAGGTTATTAGTGGGGCATAGGAATTTGTTCATTCCCCCCCCCCCACCATATAGTCTGGCCCACCACATGGTCTGAGGGAAGCTGGACCAGCCCACGGCTGAAAAAGGTTGCCGACCTCTGCCCTAGTACCATGGACCTGATTCAGTTTATGTTCTCCCCCTGGTGGATGCACAAGAAATGCTTATCACATTTCTCCTGTGTCTCATCTAGTTTGGTCATCAGAAACAATCCTTGATGGCTGACAAATGTGAAAGAAAGAGCAGTTATTGTCTATTGACAGGGCTATAAGCTTTCCACCCTAAGAACTTGCCTAAATTAGGTTCAGCTGTAAAGCTATTTGTAACAGTTCTGCTAATGTTTTGCTGTACTGTAAATCATACTTGTATGCTATGACATCATTAGCCTGGTAGCGTTTGAAAAGTATATTTACTAAAACTGCAAAGTTTAATTGGTGTATTGCTCAAAAAATAATTGATTAACTGGTGAGAAAGTAAAGGCACACTAATATTTGCAACTGTTTTGGTCATGGTGCATTACTGTAACGCAAAGTGAACAGGAGAGCCCTCGTCCCCTGGAGAGTCTTCAGGGTTCCAAAGGAGGAGGAGATTCTGAAGCAGGCTGAGCCTTCCTCCTGGGAAAAAAAATCAGGTTTAATATTGCAGACAGCACTCCCTTTGGTTAAGAGATAACACATCCCTGGGGGGAGAGCCGCTTGGCAGAAGGCGGCAGGTGAGGCATAAAGTTTCATGGAAGCAGTCAGGGGCTTAGCCTGAGGGCAGCTGCACCACCTAAATCAAGTACAGTGGTACCTCGGGTTACAGACGTTTCAGGTTACAGACTCCGCTAACCCAGAAATATTACCTCGGGTTAAGAACTTTGCTTCAGGATGAGAACAGAAATTGTGCTCCGGCGGCGCGGCGGCAGCGGGAGGCCCCATTAGCTAAAGTGGTGCTTCAGGTTAAGAACAGTTTCAGGTTAAGAACGGACCTCCAGAATGAATTAAGTTCTTAACCCGAGGTACCACTGTAAATAAATAAAAATACTTAACTAACTGAGCAACTGCATCACAGATAGTTTGGTTCTGCCCCCCCCCCCCCCAGTCCTGACCTCCCTAACATAAATCCTGGCTACGCCCATGGAAGCAGAGGATCTTGCAGCAGTGAAGCCTTGATAGGAGAACTGTATGAGATGAACAGGCTCTTACTGATCCACATTATATTTGTGCAGGTGGCTGCCCCATTGCCACATCCTGAGCTACAGAAAAGGAGCTTAGTGTTTAACTATGTTTTCCTATGCATGTTTTGCAGGGAGGTGGTGGTGGGGAAAGTGAGGTTCTTTAGGTTCCAATATTACATTGGTCTCCCATTCCACATACCCTTACCTACAGGAGCTGGTCGCCCTCATTCAGCTGTGTGTGAGGCTCTTAGGGTTCCTTACTTGTGGGGAAAATAATGTTGGAATGAGTGGGCCTCATGGGTAAGTTTAAAATGAGAAGGGGGTTGAGTCCAAAACATATGAGAAGCTTTGGTGTCTATCTGGTCATGGCTGTCCAGAGGAATGCTGTCCAGTAAAATGATGTTGAGGAGAAAGGGGGTCTGAAAAGAAAGACAGTAAATAGAATAAAAACGGGACACGAGGGTTTGAAGATCACTCCATCCTCATTTCTTTTATTACAATGCCACCTAATTGTGATGTATTGTAAAAATCAGGAGATTTCTTTGCATCATAACTTCTGTCTATAGGACACCCGTTAGAGTAAAAAGCAAGTCTTCTGTCCAGGTATTGGTTCTAGGGGTCAAACTGCACATAATGTTCAATGGATAGTCGGCAACTATAACTGGGTTTTAAAAAATAACGTAATGTAAAGTGTGGTGGGATCCCAATTTTCATCTGAACTAAAGGGAATGGGGAGGTTTAATCCTTCTCTTTCCACTTATGATCCACATGAAAATTGCACCACCCTGCTGCAGGTAGCTTTGGGGGAGGGGAAGATGCTGCTGGTGCCAATGGGAGCTTTTTCCCAATGCTAATTTTAGCAGTTAAAAACAAACAAACAAAAAGCTAAGTAGGTAATGGATAAACACTGTCCCAGTGCACATATACAACATGTGTTGTATTACATTTTTAACCACCACAATATAGTTGCTGTCTACACATTAACCAAAAATATAGTTTGACCCTAACTTCAGTGAGTCAGCTTTGAGACCAACTTTACTGTTATTTTTTCCCTTTACTATCCTTCTGATACTTCTTTTCTTTGAACACAGAGACGGTTGCATGCTTTAAAAACATATTTTCTTCCCTAAATGCTTCACCTCCCCGCCCCTCCTGCAGTGAACCTAATGTCCTCGATGACTCCCAAGGCCTGGCAGCTGAGGGCAGCCTCTCTAGGTACAGTGTTTACCCTACCTGTATGTCAGTGTCTGTGCTGGGAACAACCTGCTCCCTATATTCACTGTCTTTCCTTACTCATCCTCAGTTCTCTCTCCCTCCATTCCTGTTCCTTGTTCTTCATTGATTATCAGGCCTGCAAGTCAAACGTGCAGCAACCCTAGTTCAGTTGAGACTATTGATTACTAGTAACCTTTATTGGCCAAAAAAAAAAAAAAAGTGGGGGGGGGGGGCGAGTTCCATGTGAAATAAAACTTGTCACACCAAACTCCTAGATTATCTGTTGCAGGACTTTGTCTGTGTCTTTGTAGCTTTTACTAGGTATCAGATTAGAATCTTCTCTTCTCTTCTCTTCTCTTCTCTTCTCTTCTCTTCTCTTCTCTTCCCTTCCCTTCCCTTCCCTTCTCTTCTCTTCTCTTCTCAACAAAGGGCTCTATTTCTATTTATACATAACACATCAGTGTTAATGGGAGACAGTGATTTTTAAGTATTTTTGTTGCTATATATTAAACACCATGTAATGTAATGGTGGCCCTTGCTAGAATACTAACCATTGATCCTGTTGTGGCATTCAGATCATAATGCAGCTCATAATGACTGCTGCCACAATACCATAGCTGCTGTAGGATCTCTTAAGATGAGTGACTGTTAGGATTGGACTGCTACACAAAGTTCAGGGAACCAAGAGAAGGACAATAATGAATAAAGGATCATTTTAACTAAATGGAACTATAGAAAAACTCATTGAATAGATTATAACAGTATTTAAATGCTTTGAAGACTGTGTCAACAGTTCTCTCATCTTCTTTGATGCCAGGTAAGACAAAAGGAAAGGTTTTAAGCTGCAAGAAGATAGGTTTAGGGAAAATACCCCAAACTTTTCACTAACCCCTTTAAATACGTGAAAATATAAGCTATTGAATTTTATCCTTTGGAGATCTTCATGTGGAACCTGAGGAAGAAATTCAGCGTTGTGCTTTGCAAGCATTCCTTCTGTGCAAACTCCATCACTCCTGTGCACTGTTCTGGGGGTTCCCCCGGCACCCCCCCAAGCTTATTTCAGAGGCACAGGAGTAGGAGAGAAGGGAAAGCCCCAATGTGCAAGCAGAAAGCCCTGCACAGGGCACTGCTTTGCCTTTCTGGGTTCATTAAGTGAATCCTGACCTGAATGACTATTTGTCAGGAACTGTTTAGCTATATTCATACGAGCCAACTCCTAGGGGCCGAAGGGTCTTCAGCCCCCCAATAAAATATTTGAGGGGGCCAGGGCCCCCAAAATTAGTGGGCATTGCCTTTCAAATGGTGTTCATGCACCACGTCATGTGATGCATGACCCCCCCCCAATATTTTACTCAAGTGGCATCCCTGGCTATATTTATTACATAGTGAGTTCAAAATTTTAGTTTTTAGTTACACTTCCAGCAAACAAGTTGCTGCAATGCATTAATTAAACCTGTGCAGCATCTGTCAGGTTCTTGTTAATCATTTTAGTCACATGTACTAATTTCAATAATATGGGAGACCTTTTTTTAGCAGGTGGTTTACTAGATGGTTTCAAAATCTTTGGAAGTTCACTGAAGTGTTACTTAAAATTACTTACTTGCATCTTCTGAGGCAGGTCTTCCCTACCAAAGCAACCTGTTTGCAGCTTTGTACAGTAGCCATATCTGGGTGTTAAAGCCATCGCATGATTAGAGTTGTATGTAGAGACTGTAGGGATCTGTTCGCTTATTCCGCTACCCTCTGTGGATTGGAGGGGATCTGCTTCAGGGAGTCTGCTGCCCTGGTGCGATATACATAGAACTCTGCATAATCAGGGAACACAACAGAGGGGTGGGACCTACTGTTCTCTCAACTTGCGAGCTCTTCAGTGCCTGGACAGGGCTACAGATAGGATTAAAGCTATTTCTTAATGGTCCATCTACAGAATTTTGTTCTAGGACAAATGCTGTGTAAGAGAGTCTCCGCACTTGGCTGGAATTTTCCTTAGTGATACTCTTTACCTCTAGCAGGATCCATTGGGAGAGAAGGGCTGTTGTTTTCTCATGCTGTCATACTAGACCCAGGGGCCACACTCTATGTGGCTCATTTCGGCTGCCTGCCTGAGCTACCTAAATTGGTTTGAAGTGCCTATATGCAGTGTGTGGCTGTTCTCTTTATGGGCCCTGTGTTTCCTTCCTTTATTTTGGCTTGCTTCCAGGGGCAAGCTGCAAAAAGGTTCCTGAGAAGGGATGACATTCCTTCCTTCAAGCACTAGGAGGAGCTAAGCCAACCTGGGTCCAGTATGACAGTGCAGAGAGTCCAACGGATCTATTCCTTGCCATCTTAGTTACAACCCTGTATTAAACCCTTACATTTCAACTTGGCAAAAGAGATTCCCTTTGACCATTTTGGAAGGGTCAGCCACTCCATATTTAAGATTCTTCTCTGAAAATTCCAAACCCTCCCCCAAGATTAATTAATTTTCAAAGAGCATCTCTCCACCCCATGCCCCAAGCTTGCAAAAATCATTGGACTGAAGACTTCTGCCCAGCACTAGGTGAGAGATAGACCAAAGAACATATACACCACATAAATACGAAGCATTAATTCTTCCTCTGGCGTAAGATCAATAGCACTATTGTTGCTGATGTGCTCCAATACCATTTGAATTTTGATAACTTATAAATGTTGCTTTATTTGGTTCAATTTCTTAAGCTGCAATAAACAAGAACCATAAGTATCCATCAAAGTTAGGGAAGATGGGGGTGGGGAGCCTTTTTCAGTCCAGACATCAGCAAAATCTATTTCAAAGTCAAATACTGAATAATGCATGCCAAGGCTTGTTAAGGAGATGTATAAGGGACAGAATTAAAATGTAATCAGACAATGGCAAAGTACTATCTACTACTGAAATTGTCTTCATATTGCTGTTCTTTCAACTAGAATACTGGCAGGCATTCCCTGTTATATGAACAGTTCTTATTGGATGGTATAAACTTTATACTATAAAGTAATGGAAACAGACGGGGAGACATTGTTCTAGTTTGCAGATGAGTGCTGCAGTAGGGTTTTGTGCCTGTTTAATTATGGAACTATGTTTGTTCTCAATTCAGAAAATTTGCTTTCTGTTGAGTCTGTTAAATTCATTTTTTGAAGACCATGATCATGCTTTTTCTAGGACTAGTGCTTATGTTAATCACTATCCACAAAGAAACTTGAGCCTGCAAGTATGTGTTCAATGTGATAACTTTTTCCATTAAGTCTTGTGCCCATGACATGAATTAATACTTTGTCAACTGTGTTCATCATTCACCTTCTGAACTAAAATTATAAATGATTAAGGGGTAAATTAAAAATCTAACAGGAAGGAAAATGTGTGTTTCCAACTGTTGCCTAGTGTCTGCAAAAAAACAAACAAAAAAAGACATTAGGATCATAAAATGACATCCTTGCCTTCATCCTTCATGGCATGGGGAGCAGAATGGCCATTGTATAATGGGATGTATTATTGCATGATTTTGAGTTCAGTTTGTGAGACTGATACTTTCCAATATATGGCCTACTCTTGAATGTCATTACTCTTTTTATCCTAGTACTCTTCATATCCTAATTCCAAACCTAACAGATACTCTCCCGTTACCTTCAGAGGTGATGTGATCTTGGAAGCGATTTTATCAATATGTTTAGCAACGTCTGCAATAAAACAAGTCTCTTGTATATGTTATTCTACAGTAGTGATAATGCTTTTAACACTTAACAGGGTAGCAAGCGTGCAGAGTGAACCTGGACACCACAATCTTCTTCTACAGCAACCATTAGGGAGAAAAAGAGGCTTGAGGCAGGTAAGTTCATAATACGTTGGTAGCCTATTGGATGAAATAACTGATTACATTTTGTTCAGTAGAATTTGCTTGAAAATGAAGTAGACCATATCAATGTTAAACATTGGGTTTATGAAACTGATTGTGATGTATGCCTGTTTCTGTGCAGAGATTGCATTGTTCCAACAAGACAACAAGGAGGAGTGTACAGCCCTTAGGAGCACATGTTTAATCACTGCATTTCATTTTCATCATCTGCATTAAAAATCTCAGACACTTTTTTTAAAAATGCAGGACATGGTGAGAGATTATCTAATCTGTCCTAGCAATAACAAGACCATATTAAATAGTGTCTCCCTTGTTCTCATATTATCAAGTAAAATTCTAAAAGGTACAATTTTTTTCACCTGCCTTGTTAGATCAAATAGTGAAAACAAAATAAATGTATCTACTGGGGGGGGGGAAGGGCTATACAGTAGCTCACATTTAACTTGTGAGCATTCAGCTTTATGTGCACGGCAAAAAATTAATAATAAATAAAAGGGGTGTGACTTTGGCAATCCCACTTGCCATCGAACCTAAAAGGTTTTGACGATATGTGATTTAAGCTCTTTAGGCACAATCCTCAGAACATAACTCCCACATATGTTGCAGGCTTACTGTCAAGTGAGATGTATTGCAGAACCACATTATTGTATTTTTAACTTTGTTCCTTCAATGCTTTCCAGCTAAGAAGGCCTCTTTTATCACGTCAGAAAACACAGACGGAACCTCGCAGCCGTCACGGTGCACGTCTTTCTACCACACGTAGAAGCATACAGCCCAAAGCAAAACCAACTGGTAAGGAAACATTTTTCCAATGCTGTGGTTTCATTTTTTAAAGCTCCTGGTGAGGAAAGCAGTGGTGAGCTAGTGAACCTCTGCACATGTAACAGGGTGCTAGCTTCCTCACTGCCTGCTGCACACCCATAAAATCTGCTGAAGAGTCCTCCAACCCTCAAAAGCAAATTTTGAGCATTCTCCCAGGTGCAGTGCTATGTGCTCACCCAAAACTCTACTACCTTCTCCTTCCTCTCAAAAACAAAATGGTACTTTCCACCTATATCAGAAAATGATCCAGTACACAACCACTTGTGTGCCTGTGTGGAGTAAATGTGGAGCTTAAGAATATGATTCAGCATAAGATCATGTCTTATAAAAGATGGGATAATGTTTGCTGTGCTCATTGTGGATATGGAATGGCATTGCTGCTGTAGGTCCAGAAATCCAAACTGCCATCTAAAGGTGGGCAGTGTTGGCCAACTATTTCTCTCCATTCATGTTGCGGTTCGGTGATACACTTTGAAGGAAAGGCAGGGAAATTCTCTGCAATTTATCTGGGGGTCAGTTGTAACCTAAGTTCCTCCTCCTATTGTGAAAGTTATCTCCATTAACATAGATTGTATAATTACTTGCAATAAACTTGTTTAGGATCCGGATGCTAATTTATTGTTTCCTATCTGTATATATATATATATTTTAATCTGTATTGGAGATTTTCATTCTGGAGCAGGAACAAAGCATGATGATGTTTTTTCCTGTGTGCTACTGTACTGATTATCAAATTATGTTTTGATTTGTTGTGAGCCACCTTGGCCTGTTCCATGAAAAGATGACATAAAAATAAATTGATTGATTTACTGATTGAAAACAAGGGGCTGGAAATAGGCATGTCAGAGGATTTCAGTTCAGGCTAGATTTTGGTGTGAACACCACCTCATTCATTCCATAGGGCAAGTCTCAGAATTGTGGTTTAGTCTGCAGATCGACAAACTTTTCTAATGGCCAGTTTAATCATTGTATTGAGGAGAACTGAGGGATTGCTCTTTCTCTTTTCTTAACACTAAAGTTGTGTTGACCAGCTTCAAAGTGCAGCACCTCTGCTGTACCAAGTCAAAACACTTTTTAAATGGTGCAAGAAGCAACTGCACATAATTTCCTTAAAGGCACTATACTAATAGATAGACAGACATAGATCTCTCTCTCTCTCTCTCTCTCTCTCTCTCTCTCTCTCTCTATATATATATATATATATATAATCTATCTATCTATCATCTATCTATCTATCTATCTATCTACCGTATTTTTCGCACCATTGGACGCACATTTTCCCCTCCAAAAATGAAGGGGAAATGTGTGTGCGTCCTATGGAGCGAATGCAGGCTTTCGCTGAAGCCTGGAGAGCGAGAGGGGTCAGTGCGCACCGACCCCTCTCGCTCTCCAGGCTTCAGAAGCTCTGCGCAGCCCTCAGGAGACCGACTCCGAGGGTTGCGCAGAGCTGCCTGCAGTCCCGGGCTCAGCGCAGCTCTGCGCGGCCATCGGGAGCGAGTCCCGCCCCGCTCCGGATGGCGGCGCAGAGCTGCCTGCAGTCCCGGGATCAGCGCAGCTCTGCGCGGCCATCGGGAGCGGGGCGCGAAGTCCCGCCCCGCTCCGGATGGCGGCGCAGAGCTGCCTGCAGTCCCGGGATTAGCGCAGCTCTGCGCGGCCATCGGGAGCCGGGCGCGAAGTCCCGCCCCGCTCCGGATGGCGGCGCAGAGCTGCCTGCAGTCCCGGGATCAGCGCAGCTCTGCGCGGCCATCGGGAGTCCCGCCCCGCTCCGGATAGCCGCGCAGAGCTGCCTGCAGTCCCGGGATCAGCGCAGCTCTGCGCGGCCAACGGGAGCCGGGCGCGAAGACCCACCCCGCTCCCGAAGGCCGCGCAGAGCTGCCTGCAGTCCCGGGATCAGCGCAGCTCTGCGCGGCCACCGGGAGCGGGGCGCGAAGTCCCGCCCCGCTCCGGATGGCGGCGCAGAGCTGCCTGCAGTCCCGGGATCAGCGCAGCTCTGCGCGGCCATCGGGAGCGGGGCGCGAAGTCCCGCCCCGCTCCGGATGGCGGCGCAGAGCTGCCTGCAGTCCCGGGATCAGCGCAGCTCTGCGCGGCCTTCGGGCGCGGGGCGCGAAGCCCCGCCCCGCTCCGGAGGGCGGCGCAGAGCGGCCAGCAGTCCCGGGATCAGCGCAGCTCGGCGCGGCCTCCGGGAGCGCTCCGGATGGCGGCGCAGAGCTGCCTGCAGTCCCGGGATCAGCGCAGCTCTGCGCGGCCATCAGGAGCGCTCCGGATGGCGGCGCAGAGCTGCCTGCAGTCCGGGATCAGCGCAGCTCTGCGCGGCCATCGGGAGCGCTCCGGATGGCCGCGCAGAGCTGCCTGCAGTCCCGGGATCAGCGCAGCTCTGCGCGGCCATCGGGAGCGCTCCGGATGGCCGCGCAGAGCTGCCTGCAGTCCAGGATCAGCGCAGCTCTGCGCGGCCATCGGGAGCGAGTCCCGCCCCGCTCCGGATGGCCGCGCAGAGCTGCCTGCCGTCCCGGCTCAGCGCAGCTCTGCGCGGCCACCGGGAGCCGGGCGCGAAGTCCCGCCCCGCTCCGGATGGCCGCGCAGAGCTGCCTGCCGTCCCGGCTCAGCGCAGCTCTGCGCGGCCACCCGGAGCCGGGCGCGGAGTCCCGCCCGCGCCGGCTGGCCGCGCAGAGCTGCCTGCCGTCCCAGGATCAGCGCACTTCTCGCCAGCCCCACAAGCTCAGGGGACAGCGGGGAGGCAGAGCGCACCTTCCCGCTGTTCCCCGACCTAGTTCTTCCAGCCCCGCACCTGGGGGGGAAATAAAAATATTTTTCTTTATTTCCCCCCCAAAAAAACTAGGTGCGCCCTATGGGCCGGAGCGTCCTATGGAGCGCAAAATACGGTAGCTGTCTATCTATCTATCTGTTGCGCCACCTGGAGAATAATCTTTCAGTTCACCTTGTAAGCACTCCTCATTTTCATGTGTCTTTTCGTGAGTGTTTTTATTCAGGGTTTTTTTTTAAGGATTTCCCTGGAAATACCCTTTAAAAAATCTCATCTGGAACAGGGTGGGATAAAGCATATCCATAAGACATCCATTTATGGAACCAGGACAGGTCAGTCTGGTATAGATTCATCCATTCCTAGGCAGAAGGTAGGCATTCAGGCCATGAAATGGTTGCAGAATTCATTTTCAAATGCGTGTGGTGGTACATCCACTGCTGCTTATGGTCTAATTCTGCAGTTGATCAAAAACGATCTGTAACCTTCACTGAAGCTAAATCCGAGGCATTGACATCAAAGCCGGATCCAGCACCAATTGCAGCCCAGCAGCAAAGCAGCAAAAAGAGCAGCCCTTCAGACGGTAGCAAGCAGGAAGCTGCAAACAGATCCACTCTGCCTCCCTCACCTGCTGTTATTGTGGCAGATCTCCACAGTCAAGTCTCCTCCAGTCAGGTAATCTACTGGGAAAAGTGTGTTTGCTTGCTTGTCACAGCTTATTCTTCTGTTCCCGTTAGGGATGGTGGAAAATTTGATTCAATTTGCATTTAAAGGCTTACTAACCAAATTTACATTTTCTGAAATACTATGCAAACTGAAACACGGCTATCCTTTGAAATTCACACTACCTGAATCTTGCAATTCAATTCTCCAGCCAAATAATGTGTATTTGTACAAAAATGCATATACAATGGCGAAGTGTGCATATAAATGCATATTTGTGAGTGGACAATACATAAATGCATTAGCTTAGGGGAAACTGCTTTGCAAAAATGTGTATATTAGGCAAAATTTCATATACCGTATTTTTCGCCCTATAGGACGCACCGGCCCATAGGGCGCACCTAGTTTTCAGGGGGGGAAATCAAGGGAAAAAATATGATCCCCCCCCCCCGCAGCTCTGGGAGCAGCGGACAGGCTGCACGCAGCCTGTCCACTACTCCAAGACCTTCTCCCTGCTTTTGCGGGAGGTGGCGGAATTCCCCCATCTCCCGCAAAAGCCCAAAGGAGGGTTGGAGAGTAGCGGGAGGCGTCGCGCGCCTTCCTGCTGCCCCCCATCCTCTGGGGCTGGTGATGGGGGAAGCGCTGCTTTCCCCACCGCCAGCCTCGAAGCCGGGTTGGAGAGTAGCGGGGAGGCGTCGCGCGCCTTCCTGCTGCCCCCCATCCTCTGGGGCTGGTGATGGGGGAAGCGCTGCTTTCCCCACCGCCAGCCTCGAAGCCGGGTTGGAGAGTAGCGGCAAGGCGTCGCGCGCCTTCCCGCTGCCCCCCATCCTCTGGTGCTGGCGATGGGGGAAGCTCTGCTTCCCCCCGCCAGCCTCCAACCTGGGTTGGAGAGTAGCGGGAAGGCGTTGCGCGCCGTCCCACTGCCCCCATCCTCTGGGGCTGGTGATGGAGGAGGCGCTGCTTCCCCACCACCAGCCTCGGCCGGGTTGGAGAGTAGCGGGAGGGCGTCGCGCGCCTTCCCGCTGCCCTCCATCCTCTGGGGCTGGCGATGGGGGAAGCGCTGCTTTCCCCACCGCCAGCCTCGAAGCCGGGTTGGAGAGTAGCGGCAAGGCGTCGCGCGCCTTCCCGCTGCCCCCCATCCTCTGGGGCTGGCGATGGGGGAAGCGCTGCTTTCCCCACCGCCAGCCTCAAAGAGCAGACTCTCCTGGCTTCAGCGGAAGCAACGAGAAGCCTCCGGAGCGCAGGCTTCGGAGGCTTCACGTTGCTATCGCTGAAGCCAAGGAGTCTGCATTTGCCCCATAGGACGCACACACATTTCCCCTTCATTTTTGGAGGGGAAAAAGTGCGTCTTATAGTCCAAAAAATACGGTAAATGTATGTAGGAGGAGAAATTGGCACAAAGATGCTGGCAAATTTTCATGAGGACTTTAAAAAAATGCAAACTGATACAGAAATATGGAAAATTGAACATCATACTGGAAAAATTATAAACTGAGAGAAACTGAGATTGACATATTTGCCCACCCCTACTCTGCATACGTTTGCTATTTATTTTCTCACTGTATCTTAAGATAGTCCTCTGTTCTTTCTGTTCCCTTATGCCTTTCCTCTCTTTGTGCACATATTTGAATATATTTCCATAAATATATATTTTATTATTTATCTAGTTACAGTAATGCATGGGAACCTCTCAAATGTTAATTCCCCAGTCTCTTGTATTTCTAAAACGACTTACAAAAGTGACATTACAGTCCCTACAAAATGTCTAATAATCCCACAGAAATCCATACAGTCCAGGACACAAAGAGCAAAATATCAACACAGTACTGTTGCACCAGGCCCAGTGCTCCTGGGCTGCCTCAGCAGGCACCACAGCTATGAAGTCCAGTGGAAAGTGAGAGGCGGAGCAGGATACTGGATTTTGGCATTGCACAGGGCCCCACTGAAATTTGAGGTGTCAAGGTCCGTTGGCACCAGCATCACTCTTCCAGCATGGAGTGACCTGTTTTGCTCACTGAATGTGGCAGGACCCCCAAAGTGGCCACCCCAAACCAGGGCATTCCAGGTGCAGAGAGGGGCTGAGCTGTCCTTGCTGCCATCATGCAATGGCATCAAGACTGGTCCAGGTCTTATTGCGGAGTCAGCTCACAATATGCCTGCCCCACTTTTCACCCTGGCCAGCAACATAAGTGGCAGGGTTTCAGATGTGTGTGCAGCCTTGCCACCCATGAGGGCGGCTGGGGGTTGGATTGCAGCCATTGGAATTTGACCGTTTTAAGGATAGTTGCAGGGTAATGTTTATCTGCAATAACCTTTCTTCATTTCAGAATGTGATGGCTTCTGCTGAGGATAAAAAAAAGGACGAGAATGTGGAGCAAAAGCCAGCACCAGCTCACAGTACCCCTCCACCCACAGAACTTTCTGACACTGAGGATTTTGCAGGCCTTGAAACCACCAGCTTACTGCAGCATGAAGACACTGTCCTTCACATTAGTGAAGACAATGGGACAGAGAATCCCCTACTTTCCAGCCAGTTCAGCTACATGCAGGTTGAGGTGGGACAGACTGGTATTGACCTGGATGAGTCTCATGTTTGACTTGGGAAGCAGCAGGTAGTACACCAGAGGAATGAGAGATCTTCCTCTGGTCTTCCTATTCTTCTAGAGGTATGTAAAGGAGCACTTTATGAACATGTGGAACACATCTAGTATCCTATTGGTAAAGTTGGGCCAATATATCTTAGAAAATAAGCTGCAGCTTTGAACAGATCTAAGTGGACTCAGGGCACACCATAAAATAGAGGAAGAGATTATCACTGGAACCTTCCTAGGCACAGAACTGATTCACAACATCTTTAGCACTCTTTAGCTTCTCTAAGTTACATAACAAATGCCAGGCAGAAATAGAGAACTATATTTTTGGAGGTTATCCACCTTAATATAGTAATCTAAATCTAAAGTTTATTTTTGTAATTTCAGAAAATAGAGAGAAATATATACACACACACACACACACACACACACACACACAAACACAGTATACTCATCAGAGACATAATTACTAGAGATAGAACTGCAGAATGCTTTATGATGGTATTATTAATACCGGTTAGCATCAGAATATTAACCACCAAACAAAGTTCAGAGGAATATTTTGGGTGATCTCTGTTCCTTGTTTACACTTACTCTATCTGAAATATAAACTCTTTTCACTCTCTTGAAAACTAAATGTGGACAATACGGAATGGAAAAAATGATACCGCTATACAGAGTTGTGAAACACTGTAGCAAGTGTTCTGTAAATTATACTAAGTATCCTGCTTTGAATGTTTAAACAACCTGAATATAAAAACAGCAGGAAAGTGTGTGCATCTTAATGCTACACTTATAGTTGCATCTGTATTCCCATTAATATAATCTACATAAAAAACCAAGAGTTTATGTGTACGTAACAAGTATTTTTGCACACTGGGAGTGTGAAGTGAAGATTTATTTTCACATACACTTATATGAATCTGCAGGTATCTGTGATTCTCAGTGTGAAATGTATTGAATTATACCTCTCTTTGAAGCTTATTCATCTAAAATCATGGATGATTTGCAATCTAGACTCAATGAATGAAAGAATGAATGTAAGCATTAATTTTCAAGTAGGGGAATAACATTTTCTGATGTCATTAAGTTGATGTAAATTAATTTGTTTACAGGTTTCTAACATGGATTTATTGTGCCAGCCATATGTATGGTTACCAAAATACCTTTCCAGAAGGCTAAGCTTAAATTATATATATTTCATAAATAGCTGAGAATGGTTTCTGAAACTATGCAGGAAAAAAGCGCTGCATCACTCCTGTCACTTTAAACCAAACCAAGCCTCTGTACCAAGCCTTTTTCACAGAGAATTTGTGTGTCACTTTTTACATGTTATTAATTAAAGTGATAATTTGATCTATTCATAGGGTGGCTTCCTCATTGGATTCAATGAGATTTGAATGGGAAAGTTCAGGAAGCAGCACTCTGTTTCCCAGCTTGTATCCCTCCTAATCAGGGAACACGTTTTTAAGAGCATGATCATGGTCAACAGAGTTATTTTATTCTACATGCATTATAAGAACTGTAATGTAAAAACAAATAACAAAGTGTATGGACCTTTTAGCAAGCTGAGGCTGCAATCCTACCCCAACTCATTTGGGAGTAAGCAGCACTCAATTCAATAGGACTTAATTCTGAATAGAGATAACACTGCACTGTGAAATAGGTTCTACTACTTTTTCTTGTTGTGACATCAGAGCAGTGGTACAGTCTGCCCTGCAGTAGAAGTACTGTATGTTGGATTTGCTTTTCCTTTGGGAATCATGGGTGGCTGTGCACAAGTGACTCCTGCTTATGCGTTGGGACTCCTCATTCCTCTCCTTCCCCATGAATCAATCTGCTCTGGATGTCTGGTGAACAAGGATTTGCAGAGGGGAGAGGAGGAAAGGGAGGTCCCTCACACTTTGTTAGATTCCATCCCATGTGTGGAAAACATTTTCTGAACTACAAATGAAATATTTTAATTAAAAAAATATTAATTGATATTTCAAACCTATAATTTCTGGTCCACTGAGGATTTCTTTATGGTTAAATTTATTCATTTATTAGTGCACATTACGTGACTACAATATGGAAATGACAATGCAGACAACAAGCATATACCTGTATTTTACAAAGATTTTTAGGGAAATGTTTTCAGTAATGACATACTAATTTAGGTAAAGGGAGTATTTATCTGTATGTGCAATAAGTATTTCACCTGATCATAGTTTTAAGAATAGAAAATACTGTGATTCACTATATAAAAGCCAGTGTTCATAAAACTTAGTATCTTCATCATTACCAGTTGTACGGTATTGAATACATTTTAGCAAGCCATAATGAGAACTCGTAAATATCCCTATTGTGGTGTTCTTGTTTTAATTTCTGTCTTTTTTAAGTTGCAATTTTAAAATTACATTAGTGACTTTAAAATAACATCAGTCTTGTGGTTCAGCAAGCCTGCTGCTTAAGCAGTTTATTGAAATCCTGAGCACGCCTGTTTTTCAAGTGTATATCTATGTCCTATTAGGCACACTGTACTGACTAAAGGTGCATACAGATGTGCTCTTAACAGACGTTGTGCTTTTTCCAGTATATTGATAAGTGACAAGTATATTCTGCTGTGAAGAAAAACTATGCTGCTTCCTTAGTGTTAGAGGCCTTATATATATATGTAGTGTTCAAAAAATGATCTGTGTTGTAAAAAAACAACTGTCTGTCAGTGTTCAGTAAAGTTTGGTTGCTTCAACTTTTTACATTAACTTGCTGTCATTGATATTGTTACGAATCACAAAGTCCCCCTTTCTAAAAGACTGTCATACCAAGTTATGAGATTACAGCCTTGAAGTTTACTGTAAATTTCCTCTTCAACATGTGCCTCCTCATAGCTTTTCAAGCAGTGCCCAGTCCCAGTCCAGTTTTATAAAAAGGGAGCATTACTGTATTGGAAATCTTCAGTATGATCATTGTTTTACAATTGTCTTTTCTACATATGATCGTAGCTGTGCTGAATGTCAAAAATATTTGTATATGTGTTTATGTGTACATCTATATGTATAAGAATGTCAAGGGATGTATTTTTAAGAATGCTGCTGCAAGATTTTAAAGAAAAGCTGTTGAGGCTTGAAATGGTTTTAATTTCTAGAGAATTTTGCCAATATATTTTAGCAAAGAAAAAATTGGCATAAAAATCAGAATTCCACTAGTGTTATAAGAACAAGTAAGCTGTTTCCCTCCAAATTTTTAAAACGGGGCGTTCCCTGTAAATATTCATTAAAATTGTTAAGCTTTAATACAATTTATTTTGACACTTGCATTGCCAAAGAGATATGTAAAAATACAAAGGGAAAGGAAAGTCGACTCCTTTTAATAACACCAGATTATACTGTTAGTATACTGTTAGTAAATGATCTCAGGGCAGTCAGGAGAATGTTTATTGACAAATGTTATTGACAAATGTTACATATGGAAGTGAAGGAAGGGCTATCTTGCCATGTTAGATATTAAGGGAGAATATTTGAAATCGAGATACTTTTATTAAAATATTTGTTTATACAAACCATGAAGCCAACCATGAAATTAGGAATTCGTACCCAGTTAAAATGAATTTTTAATGTTAACCAGAAAAATGAAGCCCACTGAGAAGATAGAATCATTTTAAACTATGGGATGTAAAGATACAGAGCTGAAATGTTCTAGATCTGCAATGTGTGCCAAATGACCAAAGATGAAGCATAAAGATGTCTGAATTATGTTTATGAAAGATTACAGTAGTCTAATGTTTGAATATGAATAAATAATAAAAGTTCTCTACAAATGTTTTTGATTGAAGACATTTCTGTTCATAATGGTATATTTTTCAGAGTTGGTGTTTTCAATATTCATACCACTTGTTAACAGGAGCCAATGTGGTGTAACAATTACAGTGTTGGGCTAGGACCTGGGTGACCAGGGTTCCAATCCCCATTCTGCTGTGAGGATGAAATGGGGAGGAAGAGAACCATGTACACCACCTTGAGCTCCTTAGAAGAAAAAGGTAGTCCACAGAAGTAAGTATAATAATTCCATTAGCAACTATGGCTTGATCTATCAAGAGAAATGTTGCCATGGTTATGAAATTATTTTGTGAATCATTTTTGGAGGGAGTTATTGCATGTATTCTGTTTCAGTATAAATGACTATACAAACCTTCACAATTTATGATGCATCACACCAAACGTACTGTGATCTGCTATGTGCTTGATACCCCTTTCCCCTGCACCCTCCATTTTTATAGTCCCAGGATGGCACAAAGCCAAGTCTGTTGACCCACAGTGAACAAGCACACCTGGCTGACAGGCTTTGTGCAGTTGTACATCTTCCAGTCCAGATCTATGAAATTAGACTTTAACAAATGGATGGGAAAATAATCCAGGGGAAAAATATATGCCACTTGCCATGTATCAACAACTTTGTGTGCCCACTTAGCATGCTGTCACCTGTGCCAGTGCGCTACTTGTAAGATAAATGGGTGAGTAGAGTAACTCGCACAGCACATGTAACGTTGCTCAACTGAACAAGCTTGTAAGGCAAGGATTTACCTGTAACAATAATCTAGTCTCATTTACTGGAAGGTCAGACAGGGATTGAGTATCTATATTAGGCATAAACAAGCCAATTCCAAGTCTTCCCCCCCTCCCCCAATGTCTGCTGCTTCGAATGCTACAGTCGATAAGAAGCAAACAAGTATCATCTGTACAAATGCCATTTCCCCCTTAGGCTAGGACCCAAACCAATGGCTTCAAAGGACAAGAAAGGAGATTCCAACTAAACATCAGGAAGAAATTTCTGACAGCAAGAGCTGTTTGACAGTGGTACAGACTCACTCAGGAGGTTGGGGACTCTCCTTCCTTGGAAGTTTTTAAGCGGAGGTTGGATGGCCATCCGTCATGGATGCTTTAGTTGAGATTCCTGCATTGCAGGGGGTTGGACTAGATGATCCTTGGGATCCATCCCAACTCTACGATTCTATGAAAACATCAGAT